GAAAGCGCCTGTTACACGATAATAATTATCTTAAGGCGTAGTCAATTTCAAAACGAAGCGAAACTCAGCACAAAAAGTATTGAGAACAATGCTGCCTTGTTATATATCCCACAATGTTAGAAATGTGTAATAAAATGGAGACCCAATTGTGTAGTGTGTAGTGTACCTAGTGCACTCTTATGCCAGCGGGTGTGGATGCACCCTCACTGCTGGATATATATTGGGTAAATGGAAATTAATAATGCAATTAAAAATAACTTTATTCTGTTGAAAGTAATCAGTAATAAATTAATCAACTAACAGAATTTGGTCGTTACCTATAGTTTTCGAGAAAACTCGACCCTTCCATGCGCTCTCGCCAGAACTCTTACTATGTCGCTCCTGAGTGTCGCTTCACCCCCTCGACCTTCGCTCCGCTACGGACCTCGCTGTGCTGGCTCGCATCGCCACCTCGCTCCTTCGTTCCGCTTGGCCTCGCGGATTTGCTCCACTCAGGACCTCCGAGGCGAGCTTCTGGCTCACCATTTTTACATTCCCTCTAGGGGTAAAGACCACAAGGAATCTTCAGAGGCCCGGGGCGGCAACGGTGAATGAGGACATGATTATGTAGTGGACCTAGTTTTACAAACTTATTAACTTCTGAAAATTTTCACTTCTCATTTGTATGAACTCACCTGTTCTTGTTTTTGTTTATTTATGTAAAAATCTTGCAAGCAATAATTTATTCACATTTGTATGGGAGCTCCCAACTTCAAACCACCTCCTTGGCGGACCGCTCCTTCTCACCACTAGTCTGTACGGAAGAACATATTGTAATCAGTAACCTGTATAACAACACAAAAATTTATTAGCAACTAAAAAGTAGCAATCGATTTACATTTTTTCTTCGTACTTAATCACAAGATAAAATCAAAAAACCTTATCCGCTCGTCAGAAAATTTGTGAGAAATTTATCGGGCTATCTAAGAAAGACATTCCGATATATGGAGGATACATCGGAGCATTTTGAAAGGAATCTTTCTTTACCTTTTCATTTGTCATATTTATTGAAACAGCTCCGGTATATTAACTCATATCGTGAAATACTTTATAATGTCAAAATTTGTTGCTTTGTGTGATATGTATTCATTATATAATATAAAACAGTCTGTCTGTCCCTATGTATTCTTAGATCTTTAAAACTACGCAACGGATCATGATGCGGTTTTTTACTAGAAAAAGTACTGTTTCGTTTCGTTAAATTAAGTTCAAAATATTTAAGTTGAAATAAATAGTTTTCTTATCAGTCCTTAAGTGTCTTTTTGGTTTCAAATTGATCCCATTAGCCACATCTACCATTCAAAAGCATGCTGCCAAGAACGCTAGTTGCATTTACTATATGAATAGTTATGCTTAACCTTTGAGCGAGATAAGAACCAGCCCTCTTGTCACCAGCTGGTCTATGAGTGGTTGAGTGGTTTATGCCACGTCAGATAAAAGATACGAAATAAACGCAGCAAAGACCTTCATAAGCCCGGATTTAGTCAGGTCAACTAATGACACGTAAACGCATTTTAAATATAAGAATTAATACTTTAAAATAAGTGTATATTTCAAATATGCATTTTAAAAACATCTAAGACTAACTGTCCTTACGTTGACGTTGTCAATCAAGACGTTAGTCATGCAATTGTAACAATAAAAAATAGAATTATTTAAATTGTTTCCTTTAATTAAAGTCTTTATTATAATGACACTTATTAATTCAGAATTATTTCACGATGATTTGTTGGCACGCAACGCTGGTTTTTAATACATATAATAAAGATAAAAGCAAAATACTAATGATAATTTACTGGTTTGGTTCCAAGAGACCCGTCACAGTGGGAGGCACTGTGACGGGCCAATACCACAGTTTTTCATATGGCGCTTAAGCACATCAAGCACAAAAAGGTAGCGCTCCAGTCAAGGTTTCAGCATATTTTATTCTAGTCTGTAGATCTTTCAACTTATCAAGGTTTAGGTTTGCTGGCTTTGTTTTCCGAAACCTTCGAAGATGGTGAAGGCACGCAATTTGGTGACTACAAGCTGATAGTCCGTCCAGCAATGCGCACCACGCAAGCCACGGATGATCAGGACTTGTGAAATATCGCTTTGTCTTACGATAGCATAGTCAATCAAATGCCAGTGCCTAGATCTTGGGTGCATCCACGTCGTCTTGTACTTGGCAGGCAGTCTGAACATAGTTTTGTCATTGACAGATCAAATTGTGCACATAAGCTTAACAGCAGCTGTCCATTGCTATTCATGTTGCCGACTCCGTATCTACCCTTAGGCCAGGCCTCAAAGAGCAGAAGGATTTGGTCTCTGAGACGTATCCTACCTAGGAATTTGTTTAGCTCCTCATAGAATTTTACTTAATATCATCATTTTTGTCCAGCGTTGGAGCATAGACACTGATGACATTAAGGTAGTTGTCACCTTCTAGGTGAAGACGTAGCGTAGTGACGCGATCCGAAACATGGACTGGATATTCTTCAAGTCGCTTCGCAAGGCTATTTTTGTTTCAGAGGAGGTTCTACCTTTCCAGAAGAAGATATACCCTCCTCCGTTTTCTACCAGCTCTCCTTCGTCGGCAAGGTGTGTTTCGCTGATAGCAGCCACGTCTACATTGTATCGACCGAGTTCTCGAGCAACTACGGCAGTTTTTCTTTCAGGGCTGGCATTTTCACTCCGGTCAAGAAGCGTTCGTACGTTCCATGCGCCAAAAGTCATCACAAGTGTTAAAAGTTTTTTATTTTTTATTTCGAAACGTCGACCACTCTTTAAAAGACGCGGAGGCAGTCTCGGTTACTATCATCCACGTAAAATTGGGTGAACTTTTTTTAGAGTACCTTTTCTAGCCCCCTCGACGGCTAAACGGGGAAAGCAGTGCCTTCCTAAATAGGGCTGCTTTGTCACTCTAGATGCTGTCGATCTTTCTGTCCCCCAAATGCAGAACGAAAGCGACCAAGATGCATACTGCACCCCTAGAGCCGCCAATGTGCAGGTTTCAGACAAAGCCTGGCTTGCATCAAACCAGACCTCTCTACCTCAACCCATCGCCATACCAGTACCATGGAGGGAAGGAGGGAAATATGGCACGGTAGCTCGAGCAATCCGGGGTTGCGTACCCGTGCCCTGGTTTGAGATGAAGGGGCAGTTCATCATAGCAGGTCCCTCTGGAGGAGTATATAAGATATATATAGAATATAAAGTACCTAGAGGACCGAGCTGTGCTCGGTTTGTTTTTTTCTTACTGAAAAATTACTGAGTAATGAAATATTATTATAATATTTTTCGATCTTACCAACGTAGTATTAAGAATAAATGAACTGTGGACTATATGAAGAACATATGAACTGGTATTTTTCACAAAAGAAAGAACTTTTTTAAAGTTCTTTCTTTTGTGAAACTTCTTACCTAGTAGGTATACTTGCAAGGAAGTACCAATACCTGGTAACGTAAATACGCACATCTCTAAGCCAAAGCATAGATAAGACATATAGACTGAAAACCAAAGTGTACCCTGACTAGTCCTGACCAAGTCTCAAGTATACAAAGTTACAGTTTGGCGAAACTAGGAACAAAAAAAATTTCTATGGACTTTACGCGGCAAATAATGGCGAACATTGCTATCACTCTCCCTCAATGCGGTTTCTCTTTCTTGCAATACAAGAAGTGCCATTTTGTTTGTCAAAACTTAATTTCGCACCGCGTATTTTGAATGTAAATGCTTATTTCATTGTAAATTTAAATTGTTTAGAGTAAACTTTCTCACGAAAAGTAGTGACAGGTGATCAGAGTTGTACTTTTAATTCAAAATGCCTAAAAGACGATTAAAATTGGTGAAAATCGAACAAGTCATTCGAATCTTGAAAAAAGGATGTTTATGGCTAGATTTCCCTTAGATGAAGGCCATGTAAGCACTTAAATATGATACTTTGCAGCCATATGTAAGTAGAGCAGGCTAAGAACAAATAAAATTAACAAATTTATCTCATTTAAATTGTGTGCTAGTGATGTACTGCAACTGTAATATCCACATATCGATAACTACGTTAATGTTTATCATTGAAAAAAAATAAGAAATAAAATGTTGCGTGAAAGAGTAGGGGCAAAAAGTTTTACATATTTGAATGGTGTGCCTACATAAAACTAAAATAATTTTTGGATTTTGATTCTACTTTTATGTTTCAATTATTTCCAGACTCGTGTACAGTAGGACACCAGCTGTTGGCTGAAGAATCAAGAAACAAATTTCATCTTAGTAATAAAATTTTATTTTAATTAACAGAAACCGTTTTTTATCTTATTTCGGGTCCGTATTCAAGTCCAATCTTCTACCAAATATCCCCTCATCAACAATGGACATAAATACGGACTCGATACTTACCTACTAAAATTAATAAAAAATATTAAGTTTAAACCTCGATTTCTACCTAGTATCTTTTATCGATATCGATAAGAAGCTAAGCTAGCTTCGGTAAGCATTATTTGGCTCGTTACGTTGGTACTCATGTTCATTGATAAGACCTAAATACTGAACTCATGTTGTTTTGTTTTGACACCTTTGGGGTATTTTTCTGGTATGGTTGGTATTGGAGTGTCGCGTAAACTGATATTTTTGGCTAGTATAGAAGTCCCGTCTCTTAAACTTAGTGATTACATTTTCTTTGCAAAGTTACTCTATGGCCTATGGTCCTGACTCCTGACCTGACTCCTGTCACAACTCAAGTCCCAGTTCACTTGCGTTGCGTGTATGTTTATAAACTTTACTTACACAAAGTAAATAGTTAATCTATGAGATTAATGCAAACTCCAAATGCTCCAGAACTCCGATGATTTCAACATGAAGCAAATGTTTATATATCCAATAAATGTTCTGAATGAAAAAGTATTGTAAAGGTTATGTCGGAAATAATATAGAATCTTAACATTTATTATACAACATGGAAGCTAAAAAAATTTCATTCGGATTTATGAAAACAAAAAAACAAGATAAGCCTGTCGTGACTGAACAGCGAGAATACATCGAAAGTGTTGAGGAAAATGCTATCAAAGTCATAGGGTATGTTTTTTATTGATCGCTACTTTAAAATGTATTAGAAATATACATTTGTTAACAATGTAATGTTTACCGGCATTTGTGCATAGTGTAAACGATTGATTTTAAATTTTGGGCTTAATTTCAATTTTTTATTATCTTAATTTCATGGATTTATTGTGAATACTCAGAGCAATTTAAATTTTTGCTTAAACATTGATATTAAGGTTAATTATTATATTATTACTTGTATATTATTATACAAATGAGATGGTTCGAATTTTAAGTGCTGAATTGCTATGTACTCAGTGGTGAAGGAAAAAATGGTGAGGAAACCTGCATATTTTCAAAATAACTGTATGTACAGAGGCCTGCTCCCAGCAAGGGGACTTAATGACTACTTTACTTTTTACTTTATTTTCTTATTTATATTAAATAGTTGCTATTTTCCTAAATATATTTTGTAGTTCAAAAATGGTAGCTGCTATAATAATAACACATCATAAAACTAATTTTACTTTGAATGAAACAAAAGAAATTATATTGCCTTTTCAGCAAGGAAATAACTGCTCAAGCTGAACCCCTCATTATTCCAATGAAGCCAAACACATTAATTACAGCGGAAAGGCTAAAAGAAATAGCTGAAAAAGTAGAAAGCTCCATCAATGAACCAGAACATGAAGATGAAGATAAAAATCAGAATGAACAATTGAAACAGTCCGAGAATGAGACACTTGATCAGATGGCAGCAAGAGAACTACTACAAGAAGCTAAACAACAAAAGAAAACAGAAACTGAAACACTTAAAATATTGGTTCCATCAGCCCCTGTAATAGATGGCCAAAAAGAGGTAGGGTGGTACATTATGTCAATAATGATACACAATTTAAACATAAAATGTATTCATATTATTGCAATAGCATGAACCAATTTTACTTGAACTGGACATTAAACTGCAATGACCTTAAAATTTCATGTATTTATTTATTTAATTAATGCCTTAGTTTCTTACAAATAACATAGAATTGCATAGGTTTTCTAATTTTTTTTCTTTACATGCAAAGAAGTAACATTTACCACTTTATAATACATACAATATGAAATCAACCTAAATAAAGTTGTAGGTACAAATTCTACCAATTTTGTTACCACGAGTTATGTTTCGCAGACTTTTTACTTGGATAACATCTCATTAACGGTGGTAGGGCCACGCAGCAGCCTCAGCTGTTGCACTAATGGGCAGGCCCGACCGGGTAAGTACCACAAACTCACAGAATACCAGCGTAAAGTGGAAGTATGACAAATACTTTTGCGTTTCGTCTGGTGAGTGAGGTAGCCGGAGCCCAATTTTCAAAAGGTTGTCAACGCATCTGTAACCCTCGGGTGTGGAGATGTCTATGGGCGGCGGTATTCACTTAACATCAGACTGACATCAGACTCGTTTGACAACTTTTCGCATATAATAAATAAAAATCATAAAAATGTTGGTGACATATTGATTGCATTAGTTGTGTCTATCTCATGCAATTAGTGCAAAAGACATGAGCAGTTAAAAATAAGATTATAATTGAAAAGAACACTGTTTCTTGAGTAAAATACGTTTTAGAATTGGTCTCATTTTTTTTTTTTTTCAAACAGCTATTACTAAATTTTGCTGATCTAGGGGTGTCTTTTAGCACAAGTCTATGCTGGTTCCTTTATGACCTTTATGTTTTAAACAATTTTTTTGTTTTTTCACAAAGTTACATAATAATTAAATGTACAGCAATAGTATCTAGTGTTTTTCCAATTAAGGTCTCGGTCAATAATTACACTTAGTTTCGGTAACTTCTTTGCTTTATGAATATTCAACTTAAAATTGATAAAATTTGATTTATTTCTTATTTATTTCTTTTTAAATTATTTAATTTTAGCCATTCTAAAATTTTGGTCATTTCAGTCATCTCTAGAGGACTATGAGGCAGTCCCAATACAAGATTTTGGAATGGCAATGCTCCGTGGAATGGGTTGGAAGCCTGGCCAAGAAACGTATGTATATGTTTTCCATGACAAACATTTCATAACAAATAGTACTCAGTGATTAATGGATACTAATGTTGCAAACATCTTTGAATCGGATTGCTAAACGCGTACTGAGTGACAGCCCAAGCCGAGGTCCCCTATCGGGCACCCTTGAGCCTGGTCATTCCATGGAGCGTCCATCAAAGCGCCCTAGGAGCTCGGCGGCGCCCCGTGCGCCAGGCCACCTCAAGTCCATCAGATCTGTGAACACCCTTAAGGCCAACAGTGGCTCATCCAGCCAAAAAAAAATTTGTCCATTAAGCATTGAGCACTAACTAGTCCTTACATTGCTTAATTATTATGTTAGATGCTTCAACTTATAGTCATGACCTTTTCTTTTCTTTTTAAATGCGTTTCCTTTCAGTAAATATTACAACTAAGGAAATATTATATAATGTAAAGACATTTCTCTACAATTACATATAGATTTAAATACCTATAAAAAATACTTTTGAACCATTATACACTTCAATAATTCATAAAACAATACAATTGTTGTTATTTATTTTTACCACCATTGGTAATTACAAAATATTATGTTTGCATTTTCAGATCAAAGTACAAGCTGCCTAATCTACGTCCCAAAGGTTTAGGTTTAGGAGCTGACAAAGTTGTAACAGAAAATCAAAAGAAGAATACATCAAAAGATAATAATGACAAGGATTTGGCAATTGTCAAAAATGCTTGTGTGAAAATAACATCTGGTAAATACAGCGGTTGTTATGGCAAGGTAAGAATTGAAAAAACTTATTCAGTTGCCCATATATGAACGTCAGTCTGGATATATATATATATATATAAAGTAAAGATTGCTAGAACTAACTTGGATTAATAATAATTAATCCTAGTTATCTTTACCTTCATAATTTTTTTCCTACTGAGATTTTAAACATTGAATTTTACATTTTATCTCATCTATCATATAATATATTGCTGCCTTGGTTATAAAAGTTTGGAACAATAGTAAACTTCAATCAGCTCCATTGGAGTTATAGCGTTTTTGTGTTGCAACGGTATTCTCCCAAGGCAGTGATGTATTTAATTTAGTCTACGTTATGATATACTATATATAGCCATATAACTAAATATAGCCTCATGTTGGAACAAATACAAAATAAATTCCTAAGATTTTTGTACTTGAAACAGTATGGAGTGTATCCACTTTGCCCGTTGATGGACCCAACTTTATTTATTGTGGGAATGGTTGGATACAACACATTAAGCCTTAGAAGAGATCTTCGTATGGTAGTGTACATATTTGAATTAATTAGAGGAAATATTCATAATGCAGACTTATTGGGACAAATAGGCTTGTGCGTTCCGAATAATTTCATTTGTCGGCGGCGCAGATCACAGCTGCTTGTGGTACCGCTAAGGCGCTCCCAGTTGTTGAATGATGCGCCGTGGAGGCGTGCACTGCGCTCTTTAAATGTTATTGCTAGGGATATAGATTTATTCTTGTGTTCTCTGAGTGAATTCAAAAAGGTTGCATTGTTAATTTGTAGTGGCTATAGAATACAAGGTCTGTTCAAAAAGTATCCCGAATTTTGTGTTTTTTCAAAAATTATTTATTTATTCATGAATATCTATTTTGTCCCCTTCAAAGTAAACCCCTCCAGATATTATACACTTGTGCCAACGTTTTTTCTAATCCTTGAAACACTTCGAAAACTCATTTTTTTGACTGAAAGTCTTTATCTCCTCAATCGTAACGTAGCGTAGCGTCGTCCTTTCATGGGCCTCTTTAGATTCGGGAAGACGAAACAAGTCACTGGGGTGAGATCTGGGGAATACGGTGGCTGTGGTATTATTAGGGTGTTGTTTTTAGCAAAAATTCGCACACAAGCAACGATGTGCGAGAAGAGGCGTTACAATGGTGCAATTTTTGTTCTTCCACAATTCCTAGTGGATTGCTTCGCGTAAATTGCGCATTACTTGCAGATAATATTCCTTATTGACAGTTCTACCCTGTGGCAACAGCTCATGATGCACCACGCCCCTGCAATCAAAGAAAACTGTAAGCAAAACCTTCACATTCGACCTAATTTGGCGCGCTTTTTTCGGTCTCGGCTCGGGGGACAGCTTACATTGGGATGATTGGGCTCTGATTTACTATAACCATAAACCCATGATTCGTCAGGAGTTATAACCCTCTGGAGCAAATTTGGGTCACTGCGGACAAAGTCCAACACCTCGTTAGCAATGTTAATGCGGTTCTGTTTTTGAACGAAACTGAGCAATTTCGGTACGAATTTTGCGGCGACCATGTCTTATGCCTAAATAGGTAAAAATCGAATGACAGGAGTCAATCCATATGTTTAGGTCCTCAGCAACTTCTCTCACGGTGATTCGACGATTGGCCAATACTATTTTCTTCACTTCATCGATTTTTCCGTCTGTTGTTGAAGTGCTAGGGCTTTCAACACGCTCTTCATCGTTCACATCTTCTCGACCCTCTGAGAACATTTTGTACCACCGATAAACGTTGTATCTTGTATTAACTGATGTTTTTTTCTTTCAGTCCCGTGACTATTAAAGCTTCATCTGACGCAGAACCGGTGGGCTTGCCAGAACCCACGGGTTTGGGCCCTCCGCTGTGGGTAGGGCCGCGCATGTGCTCATGCGTGCGTTTAACTATGGTGTGTCATCTAAGGGCCATCGAGGTCGCGGTTCGGACCGAAACCCCGATGGCCGTCGTCTGTGCAACTAGCTAATCGGTGGCTAGGGGCGGTGGGAACCGCTCCGGAACGCGGGTGTACCTTGTGTTGATAAACGTTGCTTCTGTCCAAGGTAGCTTCACTATATGCCACACTCAACATTCGGAATGCGACCGCGCACTTAATTTTGTTTTTAACACAAAATTTAATACTGATTCTTTGATACATTTCTTGGAATAGGCAAAAATCGAAGACGAGCCAAAACACATGCAAACGAAGCACCTGTAAAAAATTAACTGAACTTTCAACATGGCCGAATTTGTCGGTATGAGTTAGAGACATTAGTATCAACATAATGCCACAAAAAAATCGAAAATCGAAAATACCCGTGTGTAACCCGTGGAAATTCAAAATTCGCAATACTTTTTGAACAGACCTCGTATAAGTAGTTTTCTTTATGTCATAGATTGCCGCACTAATGTATTAGGTTAAGTACCTGTAATAATAGTGTGAGGTTTTGTTAATAAATAAATAAATACAATTATTGAACCTAGTAATAACCTAATGATTTCATTATAAATATTTCATATATGTGGGTTATAAAGTTTACTACCGTCCTGTAGACCCTTTTTTTGTGGTAGGGCCACGCAACAGTTTACTGTTGCACAATCGGGCAGGTCCGTCCGGAACCGTCAGGTAAGTACCATGAACTCACAGAAGACCGGCTTAAAGTGGAAATGTTATACTTCTGCGTTTTGTCTGTTGAGTGAGATAGCCGGGTCCCACTTCATTAAAAGATGGCAACGAATCTGCAACCCTACGGGTATTGCAAATGTCAATGGGCGGTGGATATCATTCAACATCAGGTGAACCGCCTGATCACTTGCCACAAAAAAATACCAAAAAAATAGACCCATTTTGTTTTATAAAAAGTCGAATAGTAGTCGAAAGTAAATACCTTATCGTTAATAGCAATAAATCGTTATATTTTCACACACAACACTTGTATACGTTAAACATTATGTTTACAGGTTCTAAGTCTGGACGAGGACAATGGACGCGTCATGGTCAACATTCCTATCAAAAAGGATACCGTCAGTTTGAGCGAATTTATGATGCATCCTGTCAGCAAATCGGAATACGACAAACAGTCGAAAGTTATAAGTAAGTTCGTCACAAAAATAGAGCAAATTAAAAATATTGAAGCCATAACAAGAATATTGTTTGGTTCAATATTGAACCGAACATGCTCCCGGGCGAGAGATAAAATGAATCGTAATGATTGATAGATACATGACAAATTGCAAAATGAATGATGATACATACAATTAACTTAAAGTCTACAATCTTATACTAGAGAGTCTGATATTCGCTTATGAACTATAGGGGAAGTGGCTTTGTCCGGTTTACGCGCACTTCGAATTACACTAGGCCAGCGAGTAACCTTGGTATGTGGCCGCGCACTAACATTGTCAAACTCAATGCCGCATTTATCACTATCACTAAACTGACGGTCAGCTGTGCTCTGCTTTCACGGTAACACTACACTTTTCACCACTGCCCTGGCACTGTCAGACGAAGTGGTGAACAGTGAAGTGTTACCAAAGTTACAGAGTTGTGGTGCTATTTATTTAAGAATCACTTGTATGAACGTGCGGCTTCCACTTTATATTAGCGTTCATTGCATTAAAAATGGTTTCCGTTGCAATAACACCTTGCCTTATTTACTGCCACTTTAGACGCGGACTCGTATGAGGCCTACAAAAAAAGCGAGAAGTCAATCCAGAAGAGGGAAAACGAAGGCTCTTCTAGTCACAAGTCGAGGTCTGCGGACAAATCGGACAGAAAAGAGAGCAGAGATAAGGACGGCCGTTCGCAGAAAAGGGACAACGATACACACTCCAATGGCAAGTGTGGGAACTATAAGAGCACGCAAGATCTGTCGAGCAGCGAGGAAGATCACGAACATAGAAGAAGAGAAAAGAAGAGGCACAGTAGCGCTGAATCCCTTAGCTCAGACGCGGATAGAAGAAAGGTAAAGGAAAACAAAAGGCACAGTAGCAGCGATTCAGAGGGGAAGCATCACAGAACAAGAGAGAAAAGTAGCAGCAAAAAGAAAAAAGATATAGATAAGAAACGTAAAGGTAAAAAGAAAAAGAGAGACAGAGATCGTTCGCCTGGTTACCGTAAACATAGGAAATAAGATTATGAAAATTTGAATCGTCAAAATTTTTTTTTAATAATTTATATTTTAACTTTATATAAAAAAAATATGTAATAAAATTATCAGACTGATTTGTTGTTATTTTAAACTTTTAAGAAAAAAAAAAATAATTTGCATGTTAAAATTTCACGAGATAATATTGGGTCATTTAGTAATAACGATTTCTGTCACGAAAATACAAATTGTATACTAATACATAAACATTAATCTTTGTTTTTTGGACTACATGCCCACTTAGAGTAAACAGAGAGTCTTGCTATTAATTATTTGCAAATAAATATTGATTATTTGAAATAGATGAATTTCCAGAGACTAAAAGAGTCATCTTAAAGTCAAAAGATCATTGGTGAAATATAAGTTTATTTTGTGCTCTTGTTGAACGTCGCAAAACTAACTCCGAACCAAACTATGACAAAGTTTCCACGGCTTGAGTGGACTAAGCTGTAAGAGTCAATTAATAGCCTCAATCTGGCAAGCAGTGTCCTCGAGACATTTTATTACGTTCTCAGATTAAGCTGAGATTGAGGTGAATGAGGAATGAACGATCTGGTGACGGAAACGAATGAATTTTATGTATGTTTACTATTGCATACATAGACTACCATACTTTTATTTAGGTTGGGTACCTTGTAATAGCTCAGAACCATTTTGTATTATTGATACAAGGAATCTCGATTACACGGAGTAAATTTTGTCATTAGGCATTCTGATAATCGAATGTATGAAGAAAGGCGATATTGCACATATTATTGCGTAATTCATAATAGATAGCTAGGTGTTTATTAAAATTACATAAACAAAACTAATGAACAAAAATCAATATTTATTAGGATACACGTATTCGAACATACTACGTATGTGCAAACATATTTTTTTAATTTACATACGTGCTAGCACTTGCAGTGTTAGCACGTATGTAAATTAAAAAAAGTGCCTTAATAATGAAATAGAATACTTAGTTTAATTTGGTTTAAAATATTTAATAATAATTGTCATGTCATGTAAGCCACTTTTCTTTTCATTGCTGTTGCATCAGAAATTCGTTTTATCTGTAGGTAACTTACAGTATCACCACCCTTTGAGACCTTTTCCAGGGCCTGAAGTGCAACATCACAAGATGGTTTCGCATCATTTACCAGATCTATGTTTTCTTCTCTTTCATCTTCTTGCATTTCCTGCTAGTCCAGATATTCGCGAATCCGTATATTTGAAGCCCGGGAAGATTTCACTGTATATACAGAAGTGTATTGTCTCCATATACAAGAAACGTATATGTAAAGAAAATAAAATAAAATCAAAAAAGAAAATAACTGTTGTCTTACCATCTAAAGGTAAAAAAGGTTTTTAAAGAAGTACCTTCAATATCTGTGAGGACTGCGGCGGACAAATTGAAAATATCTAAGTCAAGCATATCCAGAATTAAAGTTCAAGATCTGGGTATGAAGGCTTTTGTGAAATTGTCCGCTCCAAAGCACGTGAAAGACCAAGAATTCCGTGCTAAGCGAGGTTGCCGTCGAGTTTACCAAAAAACCTGAAAAAAATTCTCCTAATTGATGATGAAACTTATGTACCCGTTGACCTCTCTGATATTCCTGGGAAGCAATATTTCCACGCTACCAGTCGTGGTGAGGTGGATTACAGCGAAAAAGTTAAAACAAAGGTTAATTTTTTAAGAAGTACCTATCTGGTTTGGCAAGCTATAGACGAAGACGGCAATGTTTCCGAACCATTTATCTGTACACAATTATTACACGCACGTACTCAGTACTTGATACTGGGTACGTACATGCGTAAATTTTAGTTAATCACCGAGGACTACAATAGTTGACAACAGTTTTGACACTCCACGTTTCCATACTGCAGTTGCCACTCATCTGTTACTGATTCCATACCCATACATAAATAGGTAACAGGACTGGCATCGAGAGCTTAGCCTGTTTATAGTCTAACTACATCATTTTATGTACTTTTCGGATGCTGATGAATGTTATTGTCAAAATCACTTTGCATAAGACCTTTTGGGTGTTTTAAACGGCTACTTTCTTATTCATTCGCTAACATACGTCGCTTCTTCTTTTGGTCTTTTGTGGGGCTTTGACGCTTCCACGGATGAACTTGTCGATTCTTGGGACATTCTAAGCTGCTTCGTAGCCCTAACACAGTAAAAAGCAATATACCAATTTTCCAAAAGGAAGGAGTCCTTAAATATAGTCTTTCTTTGGTGGCTTGTAGCACTATAATTTAGACAAAAACACAGATATCTTTTTTTTAAATTCCTTTTTCTTCTTTTTAAACTAAACTCTCTTAAACGAAATAAGAATGTTTTCAAATCAGTTTACCAATACTTTTTAGGAGCAAAGATGTTATTGCCCAGATATATTATTAACAAACATCGGACTCAAGAGACCGGAATGTCCCGCTAACCTACGATAAATACGCCCGTAACTTCCACAGCGTTTAAAATGTATACAGTTTCAAGGTGATAATGATGTCAATTCGAGTAACGCTGTAACTGCCTCGTAAATGATTTACGAAGCGTTGCATTTTCAAGTACGATACTTGGAAACAATTCAGTGACGATTTACCCTTACACCTTAATTGTCCAAGATAAATAGGTTCTCAATAGCAATGATGATCTGTTAATTATAATTTTTACAAATATATTTTTTAATTTAACCCCGATTACTTTTAATGTGCTACATTGTTTTTTGTTAAATTAGAAAATGCGATAGGAATACGCTCCTTTAACTTTACGCAAAACTTAGTTTACTAGTTATACGTTGTTGGTTTTCACGTTTAGACGACTCAAAGTTACTTTAATACTAAAATATCATGACTTATCAGATATTTCTGTAAGTTTCATAGCAAAGGAGACGTTAAGAAATTGGAATCTTTTACCATATAATGATATACGAATGTAATGTCTTCGTTGTTGCACGTATGGGCAGGTCCGTCCGGGGAAGTACCACGACAGTTTCCGCGTTGGTGCGGTTCGGTTTTTGCGTTTCCGTCTGGTGATCCTTTAATGAGCTACCTTTTAATAAGATGAGCCCCGTGTGCCTCAACACGGGGCTCATCTTATTAAAAGGTGCCAACGCATCTGCAACCCTACGGGTGTTGCAGGTATCCATAAGCGGCGGTTATCGATTACCATTAGATGAACCGCCAGCTTCCATGCCACCTTTTCACATAAAAAGTAAAACTAAAAAAACAATTTTAAAATAATTAATTAGAATTTTTTATTTTAATTAAAATTAATCAACATTTAAATTAATCAATTTACTTTATTTTTAATGTAGTAATTAATAATAAATTATATAAATTTTCTTTTAAATGTATTATAAAATAGTAGGTAGTACAGACACATACATTCTGATACATTTTGATTTAAATAAAACTAACACTAAATGTTAAGTGAAGCTTACTACAATGCATTAGTGAAAGTTGCACCCAAATCGGTTAAACCATTTCTGAGATTAGCGCGCACAAACGCACAGACAAACAGACAAAAATTTTAACAATCATTGTTTTGGTTTCTATTGCGTTTATAAAGGCCCCGCTTAGTCGTTTTTCTCAAACATCTTCCATGTACAGTCAACAATTAGTAAGAGTTTTATTTTGTGTATAGATTGTTGTCGTCCATAGCACTATTACCCCTTAATCACGTCTAAAGAAGTTCTACTTCAAAATTATATAATAACTAAAAACTTTATTCCCTGTACCTTTTTACTCTTTGTTTGTGAAAAAGACTTTTAATGGATCAGATAACGGTTTAATTAATTAAAATTTTACTCTCATATTCTTTTTCCAAACGCGCCAAAAAATATATAACTTATAGTTAACATCGCTATCGCACCTTTACGCGTTTTAGTTTTTGTTTTCCATTAGCACGACACACATTACATTAGACTTAAAATGTGTTAACAATGTTTACTTGCAACACGTTTCTTGGGAGTGATGTCTGAAATATAAAAACTATATGTATACTAATTATTATACTATATCCCACAAGATATTAGTAATTTCAGGATTTCATAATGGTTAATTTCAGATTTAGATTTTTAAAGTTTCGAATGCTTTGATGCTACATCTAATAATGGTTATGGAAAAATTCACAAACCATATTACAAAAGGGATCGAAAAACAATGTTTTTAGAGTAAGTTTTATCTTTATCGGAGAACATTTTAGCTTTCAGTCCAAGGGTGCGTAAGGATTTATCGGTCAGTGTCCGCGAAAACGCTATTTAAATGATAGCACGTTTAAAGGGCAAGGTTACCTTAACTGACATTAGTCCCTATAAATATTTATTGTGCGCATTTTAATCATCAAATACGACATCTAAGTGCAGAGGAATCTGTCTATTTCAAATTAACGTGAGCCTAATAGCATTGAGTTTTCAGCGGCTGAAAGGAATCGGAAAAAAGTTTTTCGCTCCTTTATTCAAAGCGACGCCTTGAAGCTGCATGCACACTGTAACGTTAACTAATAGACCCGAGCGCCGAGTGATGCTCTCATCAGTAGTGATTAGTGGTAATCTGTCAGACGTAGGTAGAAAACCGTCGGCGCATGCCTCCCCAGCCCAGCCAACGCTCAGTGGGCTCAGTGCCTCCGCCGCCTTTAGCGCTGCTACACGCCACGCGACCCTCCCCCGCCGACCGCTCCTCTAATACAATCAAATGACTGAAAAATACCGAAAAACGCATTGGAGAATTCGATAAATCAATACACGAACGAGATAGGAATGTCGTAGCTCAGCTATCTTGGACGCTTCCAATTACGATATTCACCAACCGAACCCCTCATTGTTTGTTTGATTTGTGAAAAGTGACGCCTCGTCGGGTATTTCAATTTGTACGCTGCAATCGTGTACATCGCTATTCGAGGGTTCACGGCAGCATTCGAAAATGATACAAGAAGGCGACGCAGCGTCGCTCTCTGAAAGGATAGTGGCGTTCAAAAGCGATCCGGAGAGGCTACAGCAAGCGAACGAATTCGTCGAACAACTGATAAAGCAAGCAGCGAAGGAAGCTGAACTCAAACAAAAAGAGAAAGACAGTAAGAAATGTGTAAGTATTAATGTATGTTTTGCCCCTACGGAACCCGAATGTAAGGAAACGATAGGGCGGTAAGTGCGACATGTGAAGTTAGAAACGTAGATTGCAAGACGGCTTGCCCCGCTATACGCACAATGTTGATCGATAGTTCTTCATATCATTTCAATTATATATCGAAATGCATGCAATTAGAGCAGATACTGTTTAGAGATGATACCTGTACTTTTTTTTGTACAGACATGACAAATCAATACTCTTCTGCACATGTTTGAGTAGAATCAACCATTTAAGATACGAGTTTTTCATCGCTATTTAGCACAAACTTCGGTTATTATTTACACTTCATATTTATTATTGGATTATTTTATTTTATTATTGCCGAGAGAACTTGCTCACTTTCCGAATTTTCATTGACGAAATATCAATACTCACGCAAACTGTTACAATGACATATTTTGACGTGCTATCGGACATTGAAGAGATTGTAAGGGATAATCGGCCAACGATTTATCTGATAAAACCGTAGTGTGATGAAAATTCCACAAATAGTTGCTTGATCGATAACTCCCCGTATGCAGCATCTGCGAATTGTTCGTGTCCGCGCTTATGGGCGCATCTGATTATTTTCAATTATGATATAGTAAATTTCGAATCATTTCACTTATCGAGATAAAAAATGTAACAGACAAATCGCTATAAACGACGAAATCCAAACGCTTATATCACGAGGCAAAATTGACGTTACCTACCGTTGCATTCAATTTTTATAATGTATTATTTGTCAAGCACTGGTATTTTCTCTTTTATTCATTATTATGATACAATTCTCTAATAACAAATTCTTTAGTTAAAGTGTTATACTTTTAGTGTTCAAAAACATTATTGATATGAGTCCCCAATCTGATTTTAAAAAGCTTTAAGCAAAAATATCTTTAAAAGACCAAGTGCTTGTTAGTAGTTAACGTTAATTTTAAGTCACATATACCTTCGGTCAGACATATCCTGAGGTCCAGGGTTCGATTCCCAGACAAGGCAGTACTATTAAAATCACTTTCTCAACTTAAATGCTATACTTAAGTTATTTGTATCGATAATAATAATTTCTGTTTTCTAAATTTATTTCAAAAACAGCCTAATAGTATAAAGCAAAGCATAATAATTTAAAAAAAGCGCTACTTGTGTCGCATTTCATTTAATTATGCGAGTTCAAGCTTCATTGCTAAAAATACGGAATATAAAATGGGAGCTTCGTAAAACATTTCGTATTCATGGACGACTGTCAGCTTTACTTAGCCGTTTACTTTTAATTTGCCTTTTGACATTTTCATCGAATCCACATTTTCATTGTTACAGGAAGGTCAAGATCCTGGTGTAGGTAAGTACATCTATTTTTGATATTAATCATTGACCATTCGAAAAATTCTCTATAATATGCATCCTTATAGATAAGAGGAATGTTGTCGCTGAGATTAGCATTTCTTAATTGACCTATGCATTTTAGTGAAAAAGTACATAGAGGTTATTCTATTCGCCTAATATTTCATAAATATGTAACAATAAAAGTCATCTGCTTTAACTATAACTCGATTTAGACATAATATATCATAAACATATTTATTTTATAATAATATTTCAAGTTCAAGAAAAATAAAAGTTCTCCAGGAAACGCTACTTTCGCTATTTTTGTTGCTACTTTAATTAATCAATAATATTTTATTAATAATTTAATTATTAAATAACTGGAAATAGTTTCTTCCACCAATTGATAGAAGAATTCATTTTCAATTTAAACCTGGCTCCAATAAAAAATCGTAATGAAATTAGCTAAGGAGAGAATGTATATATTAAATGATGTGCCTTTTCGTAAAGAAATAATTCCTCGAAGATGTTCACGAATACACACTGAAGAATATTTTTAATTTATTTTGTACGTTTAATCGCATACAAGTGTTACAAAATCAAAAAGGGCTGTTGTAAAACTATTTACAAACAAAATCTAACAATTATCTGTAGGTATAGCGCATTAATCCGAATTTGAAGGAGGGAGCTATTGAAAATTATGAAATTATAAATTGGAAATTATAAGCTGTGTTGCCTTTACTATTATACACTATAGGATGAGAATGAATTCCTCATCTATTGGGTACAAGAATTATATGCACATTTTAATTAAGGTCATAAATATTCGTGTTTTAATCGACGTAGATTGAAGACTATATTCAAAGTTATCAGCTTTACAGAGACTTCGCGTATCCCATTAGTCTCTCGTTCGGTATCGATCGCAATTTGTAGTCGTAGACGTGAAATGAAATTGGTAAATCTGAGCTTAGAATATTTCTAACGCGTGACGGGACATCGGTCGATGCTGGCAAGAATACGGTGAAGGGTAACAAAGGATTGCGCGTCTAGCGAAATGCTCTGGATATAACGATATTAAGCATCGTTTAAGAGAAATGGAAACGGAATAAAATTGTATAACAATTAATAAAATATTCAGATCATATAATGGCTATAATAATTTTATAATTATAATAGTCTGGCAACCCATTTCAACAGTTTACTTCTTTCTTTTGATCCATCAATAACTCTAGAGCAGATAATGTCCGACATGTATTTATACCGGTTATTTATGTGCATTAACGTCAACATTTGAAAAACGACGCAAATCAACAAACAAACAGACATGTAACTTTGTTGGAAAAATTTTATCTTTAAAACTGAATCCTTTAGTGTGAATGAACAATGCTTTTGCCATCCTTAATGGGCTCAGACGTTCCTCATTTCAATATCTATTATCGAGGTTATCTTGCAAGTTCTATTTACATTTTACCTTGCGACGGTTTTAGACGTGATTTCAAGTGTATAATAGGTTTATTTATTTTGCAATTTAGATTAATGAAAAAAACAATTATTTGCTAGGTGTATTAAATTACCGTATTTCTTTACCAATTTTTGAACCTTCAAACTGTGAAAAATTAAATGCGGCTACTCGGGCATTCTTTTGAATATTTGCGAATTTTATTAAGATTTAAAAGTACTATATGTTGTACGTATTTTCCATTGTTATTATTTATTATATCCTTAAAATTGAACCAACTTTCCAAAAGTTGACTTTTTCTTGACATTGACGACTTTTCTTCACATTGTTGTGAACAAATAAAACCGGTCAAATGCGAGTCGGACTCGCACATGAAGAGTTCCGTACCGTTATCTATAAAAACGACAAAAAATATCATGACTGTTGTATGGGAGCCCCCACGTCAATATTTTTTATTCTCTTTTTTTAGTATTTTTTGCTATAGCAGCAACAGAAATACATCATCTGTGAAAATTTCAACTGTCTAATTATCAAGGTTCATAAGATACAGCCTGGTGACAAACGGACAGACAGCGGAGTCTTAGTAAAAGGGGACCGTTTTACTCTTTGGGTACGGAAGCCTAAAAAGAATACAATACCGCTTCGTAGCCGATGGTATGCATCAACAAAGGAGCTGTTTGAAAATAAACTACAAGATTATGCACGATGCTTTCGACGATAACAGTATTGGTAGATTGAAACTGTTGATACCAGCCATTTACCTATAGGCTGGGAAACCAATAACTGATGAGTTACAGTCATGTACTGGCAATTGCAGTATATAGAAAGAACATGGAGCGTCAATATTACCGTCAAAAATTTTAAAATTATTGATTAACTCTGGGTTTATATTACTTATCATCTAGTGAACCCGTCTGTTTGCTTGCTTCCTTATTGAATTAAAACAAAATTGCCTTGGGTCTCGCTTTTCAAACCGAACTTCTGTCCTGCCTTCTCCACAACTTTATCAAATATTTTCAATAAAACTTAATGCTACCTCATAATATTAAGAGGGTTTAAAACTTTCCTAAGTCTACAAGTATATCCCTTCTCTTTTTATAAAGTTTTACATAGACGGTCTATTATGGGAACGTAATTCTCCATTTCATACTTATAAGTAACGCGTTTACAGGTTCGCTGGGCCATATAGCGCGCCTTGCTACTCAGCATATTTTGCAGCTGACTCCCCGAGCCTGCTGCCCCAAGGCCATGGGTCCAATGCCCCAAGAGCCACTGCTAACAAGCTGCAAGCCTCTTGGCACCTTGCGCTGGACCTGGTCTGTATTGTGACCGTTTCAGCCGCGGACGGAAAGAAGGATGACACATCGTAATACTGATTTCCCTCTCCCCCCGCGGCCCCACCACTGTTGCATCAGCGGTGGAGTGCCGCCAGGTCGCGGAAGGTTAAGGAGACCGACTTCTCAGGTCACCCGAACCATGAACTGGCCCAGTGTGGATTCCTCGTGGCTTCACCGTGGGAAACCAAGCCTCGACTTGCTTACGAGTCGAGGTTTGGTTGCCTGATGAATTTCAAAAATCAAAAGAGATGTGCGCAATATCTAATGCGAAATTAAGCCTTTAAAATAAACGAAATGCAAAATAGATACACTTTAATGAAGTGACTGTCGCGAGTCCTTTGGACAGCGTTTCGGTATGGTCTCGATCTTAGAAAAACTGAAGAAAGAAATTTTTCATCGACTGTGCAAATACGAATCCTCAAATACTTCGGGGACACATTGAGCACTCCATAGAACGACTAATTGTCCAGGGGTAATTGGTATTGAAAGACAAGCGGTCACATGGTCGATCACCATGCAACAACTAGAGGTGCCTCGCGCGCTTTGGTCAAATAAAAGCATCATAGTCCACCACGATCACTTTATCAAGAGTGGACGACTGAGGAGAAGGAATATCGCTCTTCCTCCAGGTCTTGTCCCAACGAGGAGGGTCTGCACAACATTATTTTACGACCTTTGCAGACTATCATCATCTTTGGGAACAAATACCCAGGTACGGAACGTTGATGATATTTAAAAATGTTTTTAATTTAAGATAAATTAAAAATCTTAGGTAAGATATAAATTTGATTTAAGCTAATTTTACGATAAAAGGTAACTCGTATATAACTTCCTTTCCTTTCAACGAAGCTTTGACCTGACCTAACCGAAGCATAATCAAGGAATCCTAACAATCGGACTTAAGGTTTCATTACCATTTATTTCGCCATCTAAATGTATCATTGTTTCTCCGAGCAGGGTACAATTTACGTATAATGAAATAAATTGCACGCAAATGAATTTATTAATTCGGTTATTTTACAAAAATAGGACGGGGAATAAATATCCTGATAAATTTTTGTTCCAGATTTCTGTATTTAATTTTGTTTCATATTTTATAAGGAAATGCTTTTATGTACTCACATTTGTTAAATAGCAACCCTTTACCGCATAGCGATCCATATATGGGTCACCAGATTCAGTATTTTTTTTTTCATGAAATGACGCATGAAAAAAACTTATCGCATTGTTTATATTGTATTTAATATGTTGGCAATAAGAAAACATTTTTGTTGGCTATTGTCAATACGTTAATTTAGTTAAAACTTCACTGTTAAAGCGCGGATGTGAAGTTCGACACAGTGGCTGTAAATTCGTTTTTCAAAAACGTTTTTCTACATAAAAAGGGCAAGATTCGTTAGTGAAAAAATTAAAATATTGCTACTCTTATATTATAAGTATGTTTTATTTGTTTGATACTTTTTTCTTATTTGTATCATATTTGGTGGCTTTTTGCGTGAAACCATATATGGTTTCGCATGCATTATAACCTAAACTTACCGTTTTACTGCGGAACCAAATATGGTTTCATATGCACTTGTAATATTTTGTTATAAGCATGAAATTAATTTTCCTTGGTTGCAGAATGGATCCTGCTCGCTTTTATTTATAATAAAATAGGTGACATCCACAAAGAACTAAGTATAAACAATTTCAAACAATTTGTAAAAGCTGCCTTAATGGCAAGGGCCTACTATAATATCCAAGAATACATTGAGGACAAGGATGTTTGGAAATGACTCTTGCTCTGCACTTGCAAGACCCCTGGCTGCTGCTGATTTTATACCTAAATAAGTGTGTATAATTGCATAAAAAAAATAACAAAAAGAACAAGACCGCAGAGTTTCTTGCCGGTTCTTCTATGCGCAGGTCTAGTTTAGTGAACCGGTGGTAGATTTTTTGTTGACGTTCAATAAGAGCTTAAGTTAGGCCTATATTGAATAAATATACTTTGACTTTGACCTTTATGGCTCTTATATGTTAATCCTATATGCGGTGATGGCTTACAAAGTGGTGATGAATTTAGATTCCAATTCTGATAGAAAATGTGTTCCATCTAAAGAATTTCAACGTCACTCAAAGAAGATCTCTTGTTATAGTCGAAACAGATAGTTATGCCACTGATAACAAAACTGACCCTTCACTAGCCACGCCGAAAAAAATTAAAAAGCATGCAAATCATAAAATATTTTTGATGATTTGCCTGAATGCCAAAAATGTCTTCTTTGCGACCACAAAACTTACACCATGTGCAAATGTATGGTTCTCTTATGTTACAACAACAAACGAAACCGTTTGTCGGCATTTCATGATTAAAATTACAGTGGTAATTTATATTATTATTAAAACTAAAATTTCTAATCGTTTCTTTACTTCACATGAACGCATATATGTTCAAAGTAATTTCATTTAAAATTTGTTTGGGCCCATACGAATCCATATATGACCTACATGTATTTTTCAGTTTTTATGAGTGTTTTTTTTTTTTTTAATTTCGTGAGTGTAATTAATTTTATACTTAAAAAAGCAATAACTACCATTAAATATTTTTTTTCATTAAATTTTTTTATTCATAATTCATGCAGTAAAGGGTTAAGTTTGTTCAAAACATAAAAAAATAACCGGCTATCAATACATAGTATAAAACAAAGTCGTCCCGCTGTCTGTCTGTCCCTATGTATGCTTAGATCTTTAAAACTACGCAACGGATCTTGATGCGGTTTTTGTTACTAGATAGAGTGATTCAAGAGGAAGGATTATATGTATAGTACATTGCACCCGTGCGAAGCCGATTCGGATCGCTAGTTATATATATAAATGAATGGCAATGACTTTTAAACCTAAGATATCCTAAAAGAGGAAAACATTTGGTGTACGGGCTATAAATGTCTAAAGGTTTCAAAACATTTCTTGTTTAATAAGTGGGAAACTGCTGCTATTTTTAAAACGTACAACGCACATTGTTTTACTATCTGTACTACGTCATTTTCATGTATAACATATTTGTAAAGTTTAGGAACAGTATCTACAGGGTCGAACGTTCTTCATTATATTGCATATGCTTTAAAAAATCGCAGTTGTTATACATTTAACCTTACCGTATCGTATTATTTAGCAGAATTTTTAGATGTGATGTACAAATACCTCAAACTGTCTTGTGTAGCCAAAAAAAGGGCTAATTAACATTTGCGATGTAATTATTTAATAATACATGTACATGTTTTTTTTTTATAAATAAGAGGGTTGCAAGAGAGCAGGCAATTCACCTAATAATATTTTAATAATACGTAAAATTAACGACAGTCCTCTGCGATGTCGTGGTACCCAGGACGAGCCTTTTTTTAACGTGAGAAAATATCGGGACAGCGGCAGGGCTATCGCATTGTACCATCGCACTGGCCGAGGACACGGGAACACGAAGATGCAAGCTTCTGGTAGGCCAGAGTCCTGCGCCCTAGTCTCCGACGGCGGATATCATGGCAGTTGCCTCCATTATTATCTCCGCGGCCACCTTCCGGATGATTATGTCCTCACAATATACGAGAACAGCACCCCAAGCTCTCACTCGTTAGTGTCACAGTCGTCACAGTGGTTTCATTGCGCCGTGGGCTCCCTCCTTGCCACGCGAAACAGATACCTCCCGAAACAACCGTCTCCCGAGAGGATCTGCGTCGCATGGTAGGTGAGGGAGCCGTGTCGCCTGTCCTGCTAACTCCTGAGGTGAGAATGTATGGCCTCTACGGTTCTTAAGCCGGCACTGAAATGCTCCAGCCTCTACTTCCACTCGCCGATGGCGATTGAACACAGGTGATCCCTGCGCTCTACCAAATCCTCCGGGGCTGGTATATGGCCCTGGGCTTTAGGCTCCTCGTGCCAGGCGTGCAATTACGCAAGTTAGACTCAGTTTCTAGATCGCAAGGCACGGCCACACCGTAGAACGTTCGATAGCCCATATTAGCCCCTGCGGTTTTCGCAAAAGCCCAGGATGAGCCTGCCCATTCGTGCAAACAGTAGCTGTCGCGAGGCCATACACATTAAATCCTTCCACCGGCTTAATAATTTGTTCGGTGAACTGTTTTGTTTGTGTATTAACAAAGGCGATCGTCGCCGTTCATCCGTGTCCGTGAGTCTCGACTAATTGGTATGCAATTGTTGCAGGTAACCTTAAACGCCGCTTGGGGCGCGCGCGCGGATTCGTCCTTCGGATGTTCGACGCGCTGTGCAACTGTACGCAGACGGCCGCGGCCGCAGCGGCGCGCTCGACCGCTCGCAATAACCCTTTCTCCAAACGCTAGGCTGTCCTGACCCCCTCGACACCCCCCCCCCCCCCCCCCCCACCTATTTACCCGTCAAACACTGATCCACGCCAAGCTTCCAACCCGAAACGGCTTTAGATGCTTTCCGTGCAAACGCATTTATACTTTTCAGTCATTCGATCCCTGAATGATAAAAATTCTATACTTCCGTTTTGTGTTATCTATTGAATTGGTGCGTTAAACGCTTACAATCATGGAACTGGGTAAGATAGGAAATTGAAAAACAACTTTTTATTGGGTTGTGAAAAACAACTTATTTTTCTAAAATGTACCTAATGGGTAAACGCTCTTTTTACATCTTTTACAATACAAATAATAACAGAATTTACCTATTCAATTACAAATTACTAGAAAACTATAGGAGTATATTGTTGTGGCTTCTTAATCTTCTTATCAATACTAATTAAGATCATTATTGTGCATTACCTAAAACTAAAATTATCCGTAGTGGCTTTTGACACGGCTACGTTAACTTTCGACATATCCCTCATATACATTGATATATCTAACAATTTACGAATTACAATTATGAACAAAAACGGAAGAACTTGCTTTTGGATTAGATTGAAAAGTTAAATAAAATTGAATGTAGCTTCGAGCTTAGGAAATGTTTTGATGGAATCAAAAGTTTAAGGAATTGGGAGCATGTAATAAAATTCAAATATGATAAAAGTTAAAAATGAAATCTATTTCTGAACATTGTTTGTTTTTATACATATTATTTATTAAAAGAAAAAGAATTCTTTTCAATGAATGTCTTTTGAAAAACAATTACTATCCCTGTTTAATGTGATCGGTGTGACGACGCTTATAGTGACTAAGATAATTAATGTTACAAAAATATGTAAAAAAAAAACCCCGGTAAATTGAATGTTAAAAATTGTGAAGCGTTTTCACACCAACAATAGTTTCATTATTTTATATCTCCATATATTGTTTGAACCTTTAGGCTTTAAGTTTAACTTTTAACTTATAATTGATCCCTAAAAATGGCAAATGTACTTTTAAACACAGATTTGTTTATTATTATGAAATAGATGACAGATCTTAACAAAATAACGTAGTTTTTTTTTTAATATTTTTATGTATAATTTATGAAATTTTAGATACTTTTTTCTTATTTTTCCGGGCTTCCATGTGATCACAGGAGTGGACTGTTTGTAACAAGTATCTTATACAAATATAGAAGTGTTCTGTTTTACTAAAAGATATTAACAGATACATTTAGGCTCAATAATGTTCTCAAATTTGACGGCAACAAACTAGACTTTGAGACTGGTGTGAAAACGCAACAATACTGTACGCATATTAAATATTATCGTAGTAATGTATATGTATTATAAGCAAAGATTCCTATGTGTAGTTCCAGTATTTAGTGAGTGGAATCCATTACTTACAGACTTTTAGTCACGAATTTGTAGAGTTCCTTTCTGGGCGATCGTATTGCTTTGTGTTTGAAAGCTATTTGTTTTAATACTGTGCATTTATAATACAATCAAAAAATGTTATACACATATTAAAAAAAATCTTTGTATATCTGTGCAAGCTTTACTGAGTATAATGTATATCCATTGATTCCTTTCGAATCTTTAGTGGAATCCCCACTTAACTGCTTTGTAAGAATTTTATAACGTATAAAATATCGGACCCAATTAGGAGACGACTGTTTTTTCATGTCATGGAAACCATCCTTCAATTTCACAATAAACACTTGAATGCGATGTTATGAAAAACAGTTAAGCAAACAAAAACAATATTTTGTTAACAGTCATAGAGATGAGTAATTAAAACGCTCCTTTGAGTGTTCTACAAGATACATCGTCCATTAACATCTGTCCGAAAGTAATGGATAATTTAAATAAATTATAATCTAATTATTTATTTCTCTGAATAAAAATCTTGTATTAATAGATCTTATTATCATTATTTTTTTTTTATCTATAAGTAATTAAACGTCTATGGTTGATCTATAGATATAATAATTTTGATGTAAAATTAATGTATTAATAAAATAAGAGAGAATTTGTAATATTACACGTCTTATAAAACATAAAAATAGGTTATTTCAATGTTGAATGTGATATCCCGCCTGTACTTCAAATGTGATCCAACTTGTATCTTCTTCTTGAATAAAATAGATTTGTGAATATTTGTCTATTCTGTTTTATATTTTATTGAACATAATTATAATCAAATATGTTTTACACTTAACATCTGGAATGAAAACTTCGTCTGTAAATCATACACGGCTTCTTCTTCTTCTTCTAAGGCAGTTGGAGGTCCATATAGCAACGTCGATCTGCACAGCGAAGCGAGCCGAACATCATCCCAACCCTCTGGTGGTAAGCGCAGCAAATTACCAACCCGACATAAACGCGAACGTCAACAAGCGTCGCCCGCGAAACGTCCCCATCGACCCGGTCGAGGAAGGGGACTTAGATACGCCGGACCCACCGCCGGGGGTCCCGCCGGATAACACTACACCCACAGCTAGTGTAACAACAAACACAATAATTCGCCCTCGCCTCCGAGCACGGCGAGACCGACACAACGCGTACACAAGGTACACCCGCGTTCCAGGGCGGTTAGCTAAAAACACAGTCGACGGCCATCGGGGTCTCGGTCCGCACCGCAACTTCGATGGCCCTTAGATGACATGTCGTAGTTAAACGCACGCATGAGCACATGCGCGGCCCTACCCACAGCGGAGGGCCCAAACCCGTGGGTTCTGGCTAGCCCACCCGTTCTGCGTCAGATGAAGCTTTAATAGTCCGGGACTGAAAGCAAAAACATCAGTTAATACAAGATACAAGGTACAGGTCCATATGATATCGCCAATGACCCAATAATATATAACTAAATCGGATAAGATTGATCTTTTGGGGTTTTCGAAAACTAAAAGCAAAAAAATTACTTCCTCGTTTGTCGCAGCAGGATAATTTAACTGTTTAATAATTTTATTATTCTCTATCTAAGTTTACTCAATACAATAAAACAATAGGTTTCTCGACTCAAGTTTGAATAAACAAATCTATTATGTTTATACCATTAATAATAATAATAATAAATGGCGTAGGGAAGTGACGACCCCATCGCCCACCGGCGTAACAGTTCAAGTGACAGAACTGTTACGTCGGCGCAATCAGTCTGCGCCTTGCCAATGGTGTTAGCACCGTGCCTCGGCAAAAGTGAGGGCGCATAGGCCCGTCTGTGCATATGGCCATATCCCAGAATACGGTGCCGGTCTGGGGGCATCTTCCGTTAAACGACGCCCCACCTTAAAATGGATGATGGAAAATCGAAGAACGCGCATAGGGCCGCTGCCTGTGGGCCGCCAGGGCGCGTCTGGAGCTGGCGCTGGACGTGGCAGCATGCGGGACGCCAGCCGAGCGCGGGGTACTGCACGACCACCAAGCAGTACCTCGCATCCATCATCCCCACCAGTCGGCTTGGTGTCGGCAGGATCCTCTCGGATCCAGCAATCGGCACCCGCCGCTGGTGGAATACGCCGCTTGCGCTGGACGTCTGAAATGAATCAGAACGCAATGCGGGCGTATTTTAGGGCAAAAGGGAGTGAAACTGGAGGGTTTGCGTATCGGGCAAGGATGCATCGCTTTTTTGCTGAGCTGGAGCCATCTTTAACCGTCACGGAGCAAAACCTAGCAGACAGAGTTCGGTACATCATGCGCTCAAAAATATTTGATGATGCCGAGCTCGAACGACTTCGACGTGAGGCTGTTCCCTCATCGGATGAGAATGCAGTAGCCGGAAATGCGACCCCGCAACCTTCGGATCTCGCAGGGTTACAAGCGGAAGCGGAGTCCGCGTTTTACCCCCCGGCTCCTGTAGATTCGTGCGATGATGGAATAGTCGCCCAAGAAATAGAGCAGATGAGAAGTATATTGGAGGAGGCAATTCTGGAGGTGCGCGAAACGCCTCTCGAGTATCGACCACGTCTCCCCCGCATACCCCTAAGTAAGCGGAGTCGGTCTGTCGTGAGGTCTCTTAACCCGATGCTGGCAACCTATTTGGAAGCTAGCCGGGATCTTTGCGATACGGACTCAATTCTCTTTGGCGCTGCACTGGCAGTATGCCGAATCGTTGGCGCCAAACTTCCCAAGGCTGGACGTGCTACCAGACCAGGTAGCACTATCCCAGCATGGAGAAGAAGAATTGAGGACCGTATCGCAAAGGTAAGGGCCATCATCGGCAGGCTGATAAGCTTCAGGTCGGGCAATAATAGGCCCAGAATTGTGCGCACCGTTAGGATGGCGTTCGCTGGGACCAACATCAACTTGTCCCAGCCGGATATTACGCAAAAACTAACGGAGCGCATAGATGACCTGAAGCAGAGGATCGCTGCTTGGGGGAAGCGGATTCGGAGATATACCGAGAGGACGGCGCGGTTTAGCCAGAATCGCCTCTTCCAGAGTGACCAAAAGAGGCTCTACAAATCGTTGGAGCGACCAATGAGCTGTGGAACGGGCCAAGGACCGGACCAGGCAGACACTGTCGCCTTCTGGCGCAGCCTGTGGTCAGAGCAAGTAGACCACAGCGAGGGCCCTTGGACACAAGTCGTGGCGAGCCAATGTGCAGACATTACACCCATGAACCCCGTCGTCATAACACCCGACGACGTATCTGAGGCAGTCCGTAGAGCCCCGAACTGGAAAAGTCCGGGACTCGACGGGCTGCATCACTACTGGCTGAAGGGGTTCGTGGTGTGTCATGCTATGCTCGCCCGACAGTTCCAAGAGGCTCTCGATCAGAGGTCGCTCCCGAGCCTCTTTACTACTGGGGTCACTCATTTGGTTCCTAAAGATCAGGTTACCACAGACCCGAGTAAGTACCGCCCCATAACGTGTCTACCTACAATCTATAAGACACTGACATCTATTCTGAGCGTGAGAATCACCCGGCATATTAATATGAATCGGATTATGTCTCGTGCTCAGAATGGATGTCGGGGCGGTGGTCGTGGAACCAAGGAACCACTTCTCATCGACGCGGTCATTGGCAAAATGGTTAAACGCAACCGTCGGAACTTCTCCGCCGCCGCCTGGATAGACTACAGAAAGGCGTTCGACTCGGTGCCCCATACATGGCTAAAGAGGGTCCTCGAACTGTACAAAGTAGACTGTACAGTAAGAGACTTCCTCGGGTACTGTATGGGGCAATGGAGTACGATCCTTTGTCATCTAGGCGAGCGGATGACGGCTGCGGAATACCGGATAAGGATACGACGGGGTATTTTCCAGGGCGACTGTTTGAGTCCAATATGGTTTTGCCTCTCCCTGAATCCTCTCAGCGCATTACTGGAGGGCTCGGGGGGAGGATTTCAGCTTCGGAGAGGAGGGACAAAAGTGACCCACCTTTTCTACATGGATGACCTCAAGTAATTCGCCTCCAATCGCTCCCATTTGATGGAATTGCTTAAAGTCACTTGTGATTTCAGCAATTCTATCAAAATGGAGCTCGGGACGGATAAGTGTGCGGTCCTTCATGTCGAAAGGGGTAAGGTCACTAATACGGAGGGCATAGACTTATCTATGCCCGTTAACATAAGGACCCTCTCTGAGGCTGAAACATACCGATACCTGGGTATGTCACAAAATATGTGTATCGATGAGGCTGGCATGAAACAGTCAGTTCGTGACGTGTTTTTTGCACGCCTGACAAAGGTTTTTAATAGCCATTTGTCAGGCGGGAACAAGGCACGTGCTTTTAACGGCTGGGTCATGCCAGTCCTCATGTATACCTTTGGCATACTCAGGTGGACTCAAACTGAGCTCAACGCCCTGGACCGAAAAGTCCGCACAACTATGACGTCCCACAGAATGCATCATCCGAGATCGTCAGTGATGAGGCTGTACCTTCCGCGGAAGCATGGCGGGAGGGGCTTTTTAAGCGCCCTCACCATGCACAATCGCGAGGTGTGCAGCCTCCGTAACTACTTTCTGGCGAGATCGGATGAGTCAATCTACACGGACGTCATTAGTTGTGATAAAGGACTTACCCCTCTATCCTTAGCCAACGAGCAATGGCAGGACCCGGGAGTACTGAGCGTTTCCGACCGAGAGGCTGTATGGAAGGAGAAAGAGCTCCACGGGAGGTTCTACAAGGCTCTACACGAGCCTTTCGTAGATACTGTTGCCTCCCTGAACTGGCTACGTTTCGGTGACCTCTTTGGGGAAACCGAAGGTTTTGTCTGTGCGATACAGGATCAGGTTATTAAGACGAACAACTATAGGAGATACATCCTAAAGGATGGCACCGTCGACATCTGTCGAGCTTGTCGCCGTCCCGGGGAGTCGCTTCGGCATGTTATCTCCGGTTGTTCTATGCTTTCTAACTCTGAGTATCTGCATAGACACAACCTAGTAGCCAGAATCCTACACCAGGAGCTCGCTCTGAAATACGGCCTCGTGGAACGGAAACTGCCGTATTATAAGTACTCTCCGGAGGCCGTGCTCGAAAATGACCGCGCCAGGCTCTATTGGGACCGGTCCATCATCACGGACAGGACAATTGTCGCGAACAAACCTGATATCGTGTTGATGGACCGGGCACAGTCGCGGGTATTTTTGGTCGACATTACCATTCCATATGACGAGAACCTCGTGAAAGCCGAAACAGATAAGAAGACGAAGTATCTGGACCTGGCTCACGAGGTGTGGTGGTGGTGTGCCGACCGAAATTATCCCGATAGTCGTGTCTGCGAATGGGTTGATCCCAGTCAGCCTCTCTAAACATCTGAGGCGACTGGGACTCCGGGACGGATCGCTCCAGGCTCAAATGCAGAAGGCGGTGCTCCTCGATACCGCCCGCATCGTCCGCCGGTTTCTCTCCCTTTCGCCCTAACCCTCGGCCGTTTGGTCTCCCCTGCCGAGGGCTTCCGTCTGTTTGGGTCCTATTTATATATGTATTATATAAAATATTTATATATATATATATATATATATATATATATGTTTATTTTTATCCATAATATTTATTTTATATATGCAATATATATCTATATCTTTATTTTTATTTTTATTTATAAATCCAACCAGACGAGAAAACAAATGAATATCCCCCCAATAATAATAATAAATTAAAAAAAACACGTTGATATAGATAACACTGCGTCTACTAAGTCTTCATTCCAAGGTTACCCCTGGCTACTAAAACAATAAATGAACTGGGATCAGCTTATATGAAGGTACGGATTCAATTCTGACGTGCTGCCTGTTTTAAGTAAGCCCGCATAGAGACTGATAAATATTCAGTTATATATAAATCTAATTTTGTATAAATGAAGTAAATATTGAAGTCCGCGAAAGCTAGCACTTTTTCCAATATATACATAGAATACATTATTATTACATATATACGTATTTCATCCGTGTGTCGTATATTTAAAAGAGTGTCTCCTTCATCGCATTTTTTGCAGCATCATTTTATGAGGGAAAATGGCACGTTACCACGCTAATCGTCGAGTAACTACCACCAGCTATGAACATCCGCAGCAACCTTTGGGTTGCAGTGGCGTTGCAAACCTTCAGGAGGTTGGGACCTGTTACTCCGACGAATATCAAAATATGCACACCTAAACCAATCTTTTCACGCGGTACTCCTCCTAGAAGAAGCCACATGTAGCGAGCACATTTATTTAGTTTCTAGCTTCTGCAGACACTGCGCGGCTCTGTTATAGTAAAATATTTATAAATGAAGTCAAGCAGGAAATAATTGAGCCCTGATAACTCAGTGCCCGGGCGCTCGCTTAATTCAGTAGTAGTTTCAGTTACAATAATAATATAAATAAAAATATTTCGAAGATATGTGACGTCCGCCAATATGTAAAGTGGTGAACTATGCCCTGATACTCTTTGTACAGAGAAGGCTTTTGCCCAGCAGTGGGACATGTAAAGACTGGTACTTAATTTTTTTTAGGAAATAAAGTTTAATTGACAATGAACTGCTCAGTTATTAATATCAGATATCAGAAGATACAGACTGATCTTAATTACGGATTGCAGTTTATTTGCATGAATTCAATATCGAGAAGAAACCAACGAACACAATAACGGCTTCCGCAGTTCGCGTTTGTATACAATTGCTAACAATAGTCGCTAATGTAACTGTGACAAATATAGCCAGGCTAGAACATTTGCTATTTTATGACAGAAAACAGTAATTTACCTAATGGATTTCCTATTGAAACTTTATGGTTCATTGTATGTATACTTTTCTTTCTGCTAAGATAACTGTAATTTTCGCAAATGCGCCAAACAAGTCGTTGTTTACTTATACTTTTCCAAGGCTTACTATTATTTATTATATTCAAACTGTAATATTTTCGATTTCGATAATGTCGCCAAAACGTCATTAATTAACTTAATCTTATCCTTTAAACGAGCAATTCTTGTATATATATAATTGGAATCTCGGAAACGGCTTCAGCGATTTTCATGAAATTTAGTATGTGCGTAGCGTAGATTCGGGGGCGAAAAATCGATCTAGCTAGGTTTCATTTTTAGAAAATGTCCTTTTATACCTGTTTTGAGGGAATGAAAAGTATCATTCGAATACGACGTTAAATTTCGCCGCAAAAAAAAATGTTATAATAGCTCGGTCGGTAATCGGGCGGCCACAAAACAGACGGCCGTGGTATCACGATCAGGTACACACTCATTTTTTTACTTTTTTTCGATTCTAGATCATTGTTATTTTGTTAATTTTTTCCCTTTTTTTAAATTCTTTCTTTTGTGAAAAACACCAGTTCATATTTTCTTATTATTACGCCGGTAAGATCGAAAAATATTATGCATATTTGTATCTAAATGTAATTTCCAAAATACATGATTTACCAAAAAAAAACAAACCGAGCAAAGCTCGGTCCTCCAGGTACTGAGTTATAATAAGTTAGTTTTGGCGTCAAAGCGTAACAAACAAAGTTACATTCGCATTTACAATATTAGTAGGTATTAGGGATTAATCCAAATCTGTACATAAATATTAAAATCGATTATGTGGGTATGATCCCTATGACTATATACTCCAAAGTCGCTGGACCAATCTTAATTTTTAAGACAATCGTCTGATTATCCCAGCGGTCGATCCTGTGAAGTTTGGCAGCTATGATAGCAACGGCTTTTTGGATAAAAATTGCACCTGTGCTAAGCTGGCGTAGGGCGCTCGTAACATATAATATTTAAACCCACCGAAACGGTTCCAATTCGGCCTTATACAGCGAAGTTATGTATGAACAATGACCGACACATAATTATTGTCAATGGAGATGTGAGAAGACGGACGACTAAACCCTATTATAATATATACTCTATAAAAAGTTGTGGAAACGTGAGTACCCACAATTTTAAAGTTCCTTGAGACATGTCGTTATAAATTATTTTTTATCAGTATGATTCAATAACAATGGTTTAATCAAAGCATACTGGATAGAGAATACTTACAGGAACGCTTGCTAATATCGTTCTGACTCGTTTGTGTTGCTTTTGTATTTGTGTTTTGCTTTTGTGTTGTTGTAAAGAGCACCTATAAAGAGAATTGTATGACTCAAAAAGTATGTATGTATGTTGTATCGCTTAGACATAATAAAACTATTATTATGTCGTTACAGCGTGTCGTTACCAACGCGACAATAAATGAACACACACATAGAGGATAACTTTTTAAAATTGTATCAAAAATTTACATTAGTTAAACATCAATATTTACAGAGTTATTAAATTTTCTTACATATAAAACTGTAATGTAAAGTTCATTTGTAAAGGTCACAAAGCATATGAATTTAAAAGAGACAAAACATACTGTTAGAAGGAGAAGCTTGTAATGCGACGCTGTGGCGCGAGTTGTATAGGATGTTACAAATTTTGTTTCTTTTTTACTGAATTAGTTTGTTTGAAAAATATTTTTTTGTTAATTATGGATGTTTCTTAACGTTGTCCTCGTTATTAACCACCTTAGACTGTCAGTGTCTCTCTTGTAATTCATTATACACAAGGAACCGATGTTCAAATTCCGGTGCCAATACCTACCAATGAAATAGTCATTTGCAATTTTAATTGCCGACTTAGAACGTGCTCAGCGGTGAAGGAACACATCGTGAGGAGACATATGCATATTTTCGAAATAATAATAATAAAAAACCTTTTGAAGATATGCGAGGCCTGCCAATGTGCGGTGGGGTCGCGTGGTGGACTATGCCCTAATGCCCTCTGTACAGTGGAAGAATTTGCCCAGCAGTGACACATTTAATGGCTGTTACTTTACTTTACTTTTCCTTTAATATCACCGATGGTAATCATGAGGCAAAGACCAGGCATTGAGTACTTTGGAACAAAAATAGTTTACCAACAACCATAATAGCAATAAAATGAAATGATAGACACAAAATTTCTCTATTACCACGACTACATGTGAATATTCTCTGTAGAATACACTCCCAAATGAGATATATAATATACTTTCAGTATATTTCTCGAGTAATGACAGGCATCACGTCAGCTTTCACGATATCACGATATCTGTACGAACCGCGCCCTCCCATTACATTTATAGAAAACTAATGCTCCTTCACCGTACATACCTATACTTTTTTGGCTGCAATATTTTTTTTATGCGAAAAGTTGTCAAACGAGCAGATGGTTCACCTGATGTTAAGTGAATACCACCGCCCATTGACATCTGCCTCACCCGAGGGTTACAGACGCGTTGACAACCTTTTGATAATTGGGCTCCGGCTACCTCACTCACCAGACGAAACGCGAAAGTATTCATCATACTTCCACTTTACGCTGGTCTTCTGTGATGTCGTGGTACTTACCCGGACGGGCCTGCCCATTTGTGCAACAGCCAAGGCTGCTGCGTGGCCCTACCACCGTAAATGTCTCTTGAACATAATGTCTCTTAAACATAATGTCTCTTAAGCACTTTGCAACAATATTGAAACGTTTTTTTTGCTTTTTTTTTTTGTGAAAACATTGCCCCTTACTTTAGGATAACATTATCCTGTGTTGCGAGGATGTTTTTACATACATAAACTTCACTTCACCCCAGATGCGAAACAACTACCTGTAGGTCACAGAAATAGTTGTCCTGTGTTGGGAATCGAACCCACGACCCCCGACGCCGAAGTTAATACCTTGACCACTGCGTCACGGAGTTACTGGGCTATCATTACAATTACCTTAATAAAATGAATCCAATTAATTAAATTTGTTTTCGCCATTATTAAATAGTTCATACCCCTGATAATATGAACTGTGAAAATTATTGACCTCTTAAGTTTTTTTATGTTGCGCCCCGAAAATGATTTACCGTAGAAGACGTAACAGCTATGCCTCGAATGGGTCAAAGGAAATTTGCCGTAAAGTAGGTCAGGCGGAACCTTGAGGCAATTTAGCTTGCTAATGATTTACACCTTCATACGTATATATTTCATTTTAAAATTTTAGTCATAATATATATTGCTTTTTGCATAGCAATGGTTTACATAATAAAGAATATATTGCGTTATATACATATATATACTTCACGACAGGTAACCTACCTGTAACTGATAAACATTAACACTGTAAACACCTCATGATTTCGTAAAACTTTCGAAAAATTCAACAAAAGGTCATAGCATTTTGCACCAAAGTCCACATACTATATTTAATATCATAAATGCGTAAGTAACTCTGTCAGTCTGTCTCGCTTTCACGCCAAAACTACAGAACCGATTTATATGAAATTTGGTACACATATAATCTAGAGCCTGAGAAAGAACATAGACTATTTTTTAATTGGAAAAAATGTGTTCTATGGTTGAAAATATCTATCTTTAAGAAATATATATTTATTTAAGAGCATCAAGGCGAGCGAAGCCCCGGGCGAAAAGCTAGTGTTCTTATATAGCAGAAGACACTGTAAAAGAACAAACAATTTAATTATTATATATTAAGTATTTTAACTTAAATTAAAAAACGATAACTTTACCCTCAAACGGTAAAATTATAGTCGTAGGACGAGGCACCATCTTCGGAGACGTACTTGTAAAAATCATCAACATAGTTTATAACATCAAAGTCATATCAATGCTCTCAATTTGGTGTCACGTCACTGTCTTAAACAAATATGCAATGTTCACCTAAAGCGATACGGAGTTGCCTTGCAAATATTAGTGCAACCCTATATTCTTAAGTCGTTAATGAGCATATTTTGCTCAATGGTGCGTAAAGAAATTGTCCTAATAATATTTGTAATACAGTTGCATAGCTGTCTTTTTATGTGATAACCGCCGCCCATGGACATCTACAACACCTGACGGCAAATGCGTTGCCCACACTTCCTAGGACGGACCTACCCATTCGTGCTGCAGCCTAGACTGTAGTCTGTTGGCCTTACCACAGTTAAAATATATTATTTTAATATATTTTTGATAACAAATGAATTGACATATTAATTTAAAAAAAAGTCTATCACCAGCAAAACTAAGATTCACTACAAAAATATTACAGATATTACTTTTTAACAAAAATCTCAGCTGTAGCAACTTCATTTATTTTTATTAGTGAAGAATTTTCAGGAATAAAAAAATGTACGTTTTTTATTTCGTCAGTTCTTCTTCTTTAACGAAAGACGCTCATCAGCAAGGTTTTTGCACATCCGAACATGCTACGCTGCCCGTGGGTTCCTTTGGATTTGCTTGATTACCTGTGCATTCATAAAAGCAGTGTCCATCCCACCACCAGGCTGGGCCTGGAGTTGGCACCCGGTCGAAGCAAATCTAAAAAAAGCGTTGATTTAATAACGACCGTTGATATGGAGAAGTTAGGCCGTTTAACTCAGTGGGTAGAGCGTCGGGTGCGAATTCCGGAGCGCAGGCTCAAATCATCGCAGCGGCGAAATACTTTTCATCCATTATTTTACGATTTTTTTACTTTTTTACTCTGAAGGCAGCGATCTTCACAGCGTCCCCTTTTGCTAGGCGGCGAAGTCACCATAATTATTTGTCCTTTTTAGTAAATAATGGTAGCCCAAACCAATAAAATGATGAACTGTAATTGTGGTGCACTGTAACTATATGTCAGGCGATTTTCTACGTCAAAATAAAATTGTAAAATTTACTTACTTTGCTTTGTGCCTTAGTAGCACATGGCGATGTTTTATCTTTTCCAGCTGTCGTCAACGGTGGACCTTCTGCTACAGGCCCTTCCACTGGAGGTTTGACAGAGTTCAGAGCATTCCTATCGAAATAGTATTGCGCCGAGTATTTTAGCTGTACGCCGCGAGGTATATCCGGTGGAGGAATACTCCTCGGAGCCATTGCTGGTGGAAATCGGCCGTGCAAGGTATGTTTCCTACCGAGTAGAAAGTCCCTAAACTTTCTTAATATATTAGAGACATCTCTAAATCGATAATTGGGCTTCGACATTGCTAACGTCAGTTATATAAGTTATAGATTAATTATCAGTTTTAATTTTATTTAAGTTAGTTCCTAGTTCTGACATCTAACAGTTGTGACATTAAACTGCCAAATAGTTCTCATAACAATTATATTCGAAGAAGATTTTATATCTAAATATAGCACTTTTACTTGGATTTTAAATTTAAAAAAACGTTTATATTCGGTTACGATCTCGGCCTGTTTCGCCCAAAGAATATAATTTTGGTAAACCAGAAATGGTTTCGAACGAACGCTCCCAATAAAGGAAAAGTAATTTAAAATAGTAAATTATTAATAACAGTAATATAGAGACATAAGAACAAGATAATGATTTCTTCAGTTTTACGTTTTTTCTTTTTATTTCTGCTCTTTTTTCAACCAGCCATTATAGAATGGTACTTAACATTAGTTGCTAGAGTTAACCACAAAAATATCAACTCCACGGTCGTAAGCAATGACGGATTTACCCTAAGGCCCAATAGGCCCGGGCCTAGGGAGGCCACATATTAGGGGTGGCCAATCGTGACAAAAAATTCATTGATGATAACAAGATATATGATGGGCGCTGAGAAAGGGGCGGTTGGAACTTACTACATGGGCTGGGGCCTAGGGCGGCCATGACTTCAAATCCGCCACTGGTCGTAAGTTCATAAAATCTAACCAAAGTATCCCTGTAGTAAATGATTCATTCATCATATAATTTACACATTACAATAGCCCATGGTGAAACTTAAATGAATTTTTTTTTTTTTCAATAGAAAAATTGGCGGAAATTTTCCGCCTGCGTGGATAACGCGCCGAAACGCTCACGACAAGCTCAGCTAAAGTTAGCTTTTGACAATTTATCTATCAATGTAAGTAGCATTTAATTTATCACATAATTACTTAATTGATTGATATGTACAACTAAATATATGTGACAACTTTTCAAATATATTTTGAAAAATTATAGAACGGAACGTAAGATGTAAGATTTACTCACTCCCGCGTTTTATTTCTGTTTGTCAAGTTGTCTGGAAACTGGAAAGTTCATCGTACGTTAAATGTGATTGTTTTTATTTGTATGGATGATTTAAAACAGTAAAATAATTAAATAGATTGTTTTTATCACAGACCAGTAATCGTTTTACCTGATTCTATATAATGAAAACTCATAAATCACCCGAAGAAGTCGACGTAACTCCTTCCAAGAAGAAATTAAAACAAGCGCGACTTCCTTTCAAAATTTTAAGTGATGTTACTCCAGTATCGGAATCTCCTCAAACAAGAAAAAGAAAATTATCAGCTCCAGAGGCGGAACCAGTTACAAAAGTTGGAAAAGTTACAAAAGAAAATGGCACAGCGCATGATTTGATTGTTATAAGTGATGAGGATAGTAAAGACGCCCAAAAGTTACAAAAAGAAGACAAACACTAAATCCGTTTGTAAAATTAGTTGATAGTGCTTGGAAAAAGAAACTGCAAAGAACAAAATCTGCAAGAAAGAAAAAGAACTCAAAAAAAGTAAAAGATGATGACAGTGAAAGTAAAACCATTGACTTGGAGGAAACAAATAAATCTATATGTATGGAGGTAGATAGTGCAGATGATGACATTAACGTGGATTGTAATCATAAGTCCTTGGAAATTACTTCACATAACATAAATCCTAAATCTATTAATAGTGAATTTAAAAACTCTGTTGAAGGCAATTGCAATGCAAATTGTGAGAGTGAAAGTGTTATAATTTTAGAAGATTCAAATAAACTACCTGACACTGTAATGTCAAATCATGTTCAAACTAAAAATTTTTTATCAGAGAAGACTGAGAATGAAAGAGAGGAACCTATAGATGTTTCAGCTGTGGAATCTAATACAAATAAATCACTTGAAGTCACTAATCCAGTAACCCCTAAAAGGAGTAGTCGAACTAGAACTAAGGGTGAAGTTGAGCCAGATTTAGATAGCTCTCAGACCACTGAAGATGACAAGTCTGCTGATTTAAACCCAACAACACCAAAACATAATACAAGAAGTTCTTCAATATCAAGTAATCAAGATGTATCATTAAATAATTCTATTACTGGAACACCAAAACAAGTAAGTCAACTGATTAATTTTATAGTTTCACAATGCAATTAAATGTAAGTCAACTTTAAAAACTATCCTTAACTAAGAGTTAAGGATAGTTTTTAAAGTTATGCTTCTTTTGAACAAATTATGAGAGTAAAATTTCCCCAAAGAGGAAGATGATGAATCAACTTTTGCAGTTCAAGTCTTATCGAGAATTTGAATTTATTTACATTCACAATTTGGTCCACCACAAAATGCTTTTTTAATTCGTTTTTATTTTGCTGTCGGATTTAACATGTGCAGGATAACATCTGTAAGGTCTGAATTTTTTTAATGTTATATTATAATATTTAAAAAATTTGAATTCTAAAATGTATTATTTTGATACCTTTATTAAAATTTCAATTTTTAATTCAAAAATAGTTTCTAATTTAATTTTTTTTTTTATTCTTACATGATATTTTATTTAAATATAATTCAATTGTTTCAGCAAGCTCAAAAAAATCTGGATTCTGCAAAAAAGAAGGAGAGAGAAAAAGAAAAACTAGAGAGGGAAAAGAAAAAACAACAAGAAAAGGAAGAGAGAGCAAAACAAAAGCAAGAAAAGGATGAGCAGAAAAAAAGGGAAAGGGAAGAAAAAGAAGAAGCTAAAAGGAAAGAAAGAGAAGAAAAAGAAGAACAAAAAAGAAAAGAAAAGGAAGAAAAGGAGCGCCAAAAGGAGTTAGAGAAAAGTATACACATATTTTAAACCGTAATTTAAAAAGATTTATTTTTCTTCATTTTTATTATTGGTCTTCAATTTAAGCATGCTTTATAACCGTGCTTAATATATAATTATATCCTGTTATTGACCTTTATAATAATGAATCCAGCAATGGAATGGTTTATTTTTTAAACTATAGTCACAAGAATTAGTAAATTCAAATGGTTTAAATTCCATACATTAGAGTAATAAATAAGATATTTTACCAGAGTATAGTTTATTTGTTATAAGAATAAATAAGTATTTAATTTGTCATTATTCCAGAATTAAGAGAAGAAAAGGAAAAGCAAAAGCGAAAAGAGAGGGAAGAAAAGGAGGAAATGCGGCGGAAGGAAAAGGAGGCCAAAGAAGAGGAAAAGCGTAAGAAACAAGAGGCTTTAGAATTAGAAAAACAGGAACAAGAGGAAAAGAAGAGAAAGGCTGCTGAGGCCTTTGTCAATTTCTTTGTTCCAAAGCAAAAAAATGAAAGAGATCAACACACTATTGGACCGGTTAGTAAAAATAGCATGCTATCAAGCTTCACTATAAAATCAGATATGAGACTAGCACCCACAACTAGAAACTACATAAGTGATGAACAAAAACAAGCTCTTGACAATTTCTTGGAGGAACAGAATATGTCCAATGGCTCATTGTATATACAAAATTTAAAAAGGGGGATAAATAAGCCAATGACAAATGCAGCAACTTGGCCTCTAAATGACAAGGAAAATGAAGATGATGTTATGATAGTTGGTAAGTACATTTTATGTTAGAAATATTTTCACTGCTGTATTTATTACTGCACAGGTATTGAAAATAGATCCATAATTTCATTTAGTTTTCAATGTTATGAGCTATTTTGATCGTAATCTTTGTTTTATCACTTTTTATTGTAATTTTATGTAGTATTTCACATTATGTTAATATTCTCACTTAAATACTCAAACTACTTTGCAGAAGATGATTTGCCTCCAGTTGATGATGCCGATGAAATACTACATTTGGAACCAACCATACGTGAAAAACTTCGTCCAAAACTCCTGAGTTTCCATGAAAATAGACGTCCACCATATTGGGGCACCTGGAGAAAAACAAGTGCATTTGTTAAACCCAGGCGCCCTTTTCATCAAGATCAGGTATTAATAAATGTTTTTCAGAAAATAAAATACATCAAAGGAGAATTTCATAGCAAGTATAACCTACTAAAACCCATTAGGGCCAAGTAAGTGCATTTGGAGACACTAGAGTTTCTATAAAATGCACTGGCGTACCTGTGCATAATGTTTATTTATCTCAACAGAGGCAATGAAAATTTTAGGAAGGTGGTGCCTAACCAAACTCCATTGTTACACTATCATAAGACCACTTCAAATTGTTATCATCATCCTCCTCTCCTTATCCTTGTTAGATGGGATCGGAACAATATGTGAATCATGTTGTATTCTTCATGTTGTAAAGTATTAATAGTATTTTTTTTTTTAATAACAAGTTCTCATATATTTTGCAAATAAAAGACAATCTTTATTGATCTAATATTTACAAGATTAAATCTATCTAAAATTACATATTATCTAATAAACCTAATCCACGCGGCATGGTGCCAAGAACGCTAGCTGCATTTCCTCGCTGAATAGTTATGCTTAACCTTTGAGCGAGAAAAGAACCCAGCTCTCTTGTCACCAGCCGCGGCGTTAAGCCTAGGACATAAACTTTTAAAAAAATTTGATGTGCGGGGACCCCACGGACCTAATGTTTCAACAGCAAATGGCACAAATACATAATCTGAACATAAAGACTCATATTTGCGCCATTTACTTACTTCAGCTGCCTCCGATGCCGCCCCGGCCCTGACCGAAGTACCCCTTAGATGAGAGGCAGCCAAAGTGTCTACACAAGTGCCAACACAAGTCCCAAACAAGGGCTTTGCCTCTCTCCCAAGGGATCAATGTTAAACCGTCGGGTCTCTTACCATCGTCGCGTAAAATGCCACAGGGCTCTAAAATAGATGGAACATTGATGGAAACAAGAGCCCTACGGATGATGTCGTTCAGGGAACCGTGGCGAGAAAAACGACCAGCACTTTTTTGACAAGAAAGCCCGTGGAGACCAAATTTGTCTACACTGACACCACAAGGGCATTGGTGTGGTTGACAAATCGGTGCCCCCAGACGGATTCCTACAGCAATGCGTAAGCTTTCATCGTCAAGTAATGTGCCCAAGTTACTTGATGGTAAAGCGTGAAGCCAATAACTCGATTCTTTAGATGAGACTCCTAGGAAACGGGCACGCTCTAAATTACTTTCTAAAGATTGAAACGTATCTCTCTGTACTCTCCGCACCAAGGATGTTATTACATAAATTATTTACGCTATGCACGGAAGCAAGGAAGGCAGGTAGAGCGACACTAGAAATTTTCCTTACACCGATACCACCAAAACGAATTGGCAGCGTAGCTTGAGTCCAGCTTAATTCATTAAGAGATAAATTTAGAATTTTTTCTAGAGCTGATTTAAGATGGAAATCAATTTCGTTCAAAAAGTCACCGCATTTCCAAACTGGACTCGAGCGAAGGAGGTACGTAAATTTAGGTACAAGAATACAATGTCGCAAAATAGTAAGCGCAATATGCGAATTTAGTAAAAACAATTTATTCACATGATCTAAAAATTGACTTAACTTTAATTTTAAATGAGGTTCCAAACTTGGTATCAACAAAGGAGCACCTAAGAGGTAAAGTGAATCTGAACGGACTATGTTAATTCCCGGTATGATAGAGCTAAAATTTTGGGTCAAAATGATACAAGTATACAAGTATATATTGATAATAATATATAAAAGTATGTAAATTGGTCCAATCTCATAATGGTCTGCTGTTCTGTTGTAATTGGTAGGAATTGATGATATTAGGAAGAATGATTACTTTAATGTTTTTTTCATAGACTGGAAGGTCCAGAGAATTTTAGTTTTTGAAATGTTTCATATTTACATATAATCTGTACAGAAACATTTAGACTATGAAGTTGACAGCGATGAAGAGTGGGAAGAGGAGCAAGAAGGTGAAAGCATTGATGGTAGTGCTGCTGGCAGTGATGAGGAGCAAGAGGCTGATGAGTATGAGGTAGATAATGAAGTGTTTGTGCCCCATGGATATCTGAGTGATGAGGTAATTATGTCTTTATACTGCTAAAGTTAATATTCTTTTACTATTTTAGATTATTTTATATTACTACTAGCTGACCTGGCAAATGTTGTTTTTCCATAAAATTTTTTGGCGTGGACCACCCTTATCATTTAGGGATATGAAAAATAGATTACAACCAACTCTCTGTCCTACCAAATATACATAAAAGTCTATTGAGCCGTTTTGGAGGAGTACGGTACATTATGACATGAGAATTTATATATAGATTATATTTCTCAACAAACTTAATATATTTAAAAACCATAATTTTAGGAAGCTACCATGGATGAAGATGATGTCTTGTCCCTCTCGCCTGAAACGCAGAAAGCAAGACTAAAACATTTAGAAGACGAATTTGAATTTGAATTAAAAAAGCCTACGGAAAAATTGAAACCTAGAATGTATGGACCACTGTGGGAGACAGTTGAAGGGGAAAAACCAGAGAAATGTGTTGATGCCTTGTGGAACTACTTAAGAAAACTGTCAATGATCATGAATGATCCCACCCCGTTGCTACAACCATCTCTTGAGCCGGATGAGACAGAAAAAAAGAAAATCAAAAAGAAAAAGAGTGCACCTGATGGAGAAAAATCACCATCAAGCTCAGACAAAAAGAAAAAAGCAAAGCAAGAAATAAAAGAAACAAAGAAAGCTAAACTGGAAACAAAGAAGAATATGCAGGAAATAAAGAAATCTCAACCTGGCATAAATACATTTTTAACTAAATTAAAATCTCCATAGACATTCAGCAACAGTATTTTTAAATTAATTATTTCAGATAATATTATTTTATTGTGGTACAACTCATTAAATCGCTATAGACAATGAGACTCTGTCTGGCTTAAAAACTAAATATTATATTCTAATCAAACAATATTGTAATTGTGTGTCTTATATAGTATTGTTGATGTTGATGGTTATTTGATTGTATTACATGTTAAATAACATATTCGAATTATATAAATATATCACGACTTTAATGATATGATGTCGACTTTCTGTGGCAAACATTGTTTTGTAAGCATATGATTGTTTTAAATAATTTATCTTGTACTTATATATTTCTTCCTTAACATCACTAGCTTACAAATAATCATTCAATAGCTATATTCCAATAAAAAAAGTAAGATTGACGTATGAATGCTGTGAAGCGCTATCTGAATTCAACACAAGGAATACTACATTACAATTTTACAAGCAAATATTATAATAGCAAATATATTTTTGGACGGTTATAATGTAAAGTTGTGAAGTGTTTAAATAAAATAACAAGTTAATATTTTATAACTTAGAGCAATTACATAATTTTATATATTTTCGTGTCTTTTTTTCTTTGAATAATGTTTAACATAAACTACGATTTATATATAGATTGCTAATTAATATAGATGCCAAGCATTGCTTCAAATGCTAAAAAACAATGTAGATAAAAGACGCTTAGTGGTTAAAGCGTCAGGCCGCGAATGTTGAAGACGTGGGTTCGATTCCCACAGCGGCGACAATCTTTTCGTACTTTTTCTACATATTTTAATGTTCAATGTTAAGTGTATAGATTAGCATTATAAACAATTTAAATTTCTAAAAAGTAATGGCGACATCTCGTTCGCATTATCGTTGTAAAACGATATTCGAAATTGCTTGTGTGCTGGAAAGGATACAACAATGGATGTGCCAAGCATTGCTTCAAATGCTAAAAAACAAGTAGATAAAAGACGTTAAGATATTCGTCGGTGTCGCAATCAGTCGTTTAGCTTAGTGGTTAAAGCGTCAGGCCGCGAATGCCGAAGACGTAGGTTCAATTTCCACATCGGCGACAATCTTTTCCTACTTTTTCTACATATTTTAATGTTAAGGTTAAGTGCATAAATTAGCACTACAAACAAATATAAATTAAAAAAAAAAGTAAAGTAACAGCCTATACTTGTCCCACTGCTGGGCAAAGGCCTCCTCTATACAGAGGGTATCAGGGCATAGTCCACCACGCGGCCCCACTGCGGATTGGCGGACTTCACATATTTTCGAAATATATTTTTTTTTTGTTATTATTTCGAAAGTATGCAGGTTTCCTCACGATGTTTTCCTTCACCGCGGAGCACGTGATAAGTCAGCACTTAAAGTTAAAAACTTCATTGGTGCCGGCACCGGGGATCGAACTCAGGTTGCTCGAGTATATTGAATTAAAGGCGAGCGCCCGGACACTGAGCTACCACGGCTCAAATTTAAATAACTACGATTTATATTCAACAGCTACTGTTAACTCATCTGTTCGCAACCTAACAAATACAAACGTACATTGGAATATTATGAAGTGAACATAACGGGTTAATGCCACTATCAAACTAAATTGACTGTGCACATTATATAAAACTAGCTTTTACAGCACAAGTACATTATTATAGTGTAAACAATCACGCTTACGCAATCATATTGTGCTGCTAATAAGAGCTCCCAAAGATGGCATGTTTTTATGTTTCTTATTTCTATGTGAGGTGACAAGCGAAGTGGTGGTTTACCTGATGCTAAGTGACAAGTGCTGATTAAACAACGCTCAGAAAAAGCACATGCATACATGAACAGACCAACGTTTTGGAAAGGATATAAATAGTAAAATTATGAAAGCGCCATCTTCATTCTTTATTGAGAACGGTGAATGTGATTGAGAATATGCTGTCATCTATAATAAGCGGTTTTACTTTATAGGTATGACTTTTGTGTTACAGTGATGCGCGTGCATCTTAAAATATCACTCTTATAATTTTTTCTTAACTCGCCTAAAGAAGTATAACTTCAAAAAATTGTGTTTGTCTCCACAACAAGCTTCCACTCGATTTAAGCTGTATCCTAGCACATTTCTACTTTTAATCCAGCGAAAGAACGCAAGTGCAGCACCTTGAGTTTAGGTTTAGGAGGCTTAAAGATGTAGGATAAATTTACAGACCGGGGTCGACTGCACGTAGTTTTTGAATGAGAACTGTCTGCCCCATCTAGTATTGGTATACTTGGCATCGACATTTCGAGTAGCGTCCAGTTTCGCGGTCAATTGGAAGGTAAGACCAGGCGAGACAGTGCTTCACGTCGGCTCAACGCCTAAATCTCTATAAGGCGAAAATTCGGCCTCACATGGAGTACTGGTCTCATCTCTGGGTGGCATCCCCCAATAACAAGCTTCTTCCATTTGATTGCATTTAACATAAGGTGGCTCGGGTTATTGACGAGCAAATTCTTTTCGATCGGCTTGATCGATGGGCAAATCTTGAATGGTAGATGTGGCTAATGGGATCACTTTCAAGCCAAAAAGACACTTAAGAACTAATAAAAAAACTAATTATTTCAATTTTAACATTTTGAACTTATTTTTGATGGAACGTAATGATTATGAAATTCACGTAGTGAATTAACGTAGTCATTAAACGTAGTGATTACATTCTCTTTGATGAAATTCATGTAAAATACAAGAGTTATGTCAGATAGCATAATTTTTTTTTTCGACGATTTTTCTGAGTTTTGTGCATGTTTTAATTGGGACGATTCCTTTTTTTGTCATGCAGTTTGACCTAGACCTTGTTAACCCGGCAACCTTTATTTGTAAGAGGTGCAGAGGATCAAACGAGGGTTTGAACAGCTACCATGATCAATAGTGAAACCGATACAGAGGAAGTAAAAATAAGTACTTTATTGCGATTTAAATTTCAACCTTATTACTTTTTCTACACTCGTCCAATCGGTTCAAACCTCCATCTGAGGAGCCCTTAGTTCAAGTCGTTCATTCCCTTTTTAATCGCATTGTCGATCTGTCGTTAACAGAGGTCGCAGAGATGCAGCAGAGCCAACGTCACCATCGTGTCATTGTTGTGTACCAGATACGTTATTGTCCCGAGTTCGGGGATCGTCTGCCAGCGACTTCCGAATCTATCAAGGCCATTAAGCCATAGAGTCAGCAACAGGCTCGAAAAAATAGGAAAAAGGGAAAAATAAGATACTAGTATATTCTACATAATGAACAGCGATTAAAAATCGATTTTACTTAATTAAAAATGTTTTAATATTTTTCTCTTGTGACAAAAAAAATATAAAACTTTTTTTTTTTTAATTATGGCTCGGCACCATTCGTGCATTAAGCCAGTGTCAAGTATTTTACATTTTTTCAACAAAGCGAGGGAAACGTATAACGCGAATTAAAATAATTAAAAACCGTACCGGGAATTAAACAAAACCAAATCAGAATAATTTCATATAACAAACAAAATACAGAAAAAATAATATACAACAAAATAAAAACAAGTAATATTAAACTACAATCTAATCTTATTATTTACAATAAATTTATTTAATGTACTATATACACAGGGTCTATTATCTCTAAGAAGTAAGTAAATATTAGAAGGAAGAGGAATAGAGAGAGATATTAGAGATTCGTATATGGAAGAGTGGTCATATAAAGGAAAGGAAAAGAAAACATGATTCATATCGCAATAACTCTCACCACATTCACAGGCAGTACTAGATACTATGCCAAGTTTATGTAGATGTACCGGAAGGCAAATATGTCCAAGACGCATGCGGATTAAAGACGAAGTAGCGGTTTTATTAAAAAACATATAAAACTATGTAAAGGGCAATCACAAATTTTAAATTATGTTAATAAGATGATATTATCTACATTCTATATCGAGTCTATACCATAGATTCTATATTCTACGTCTAAACGTAGAAGATAAATTCTCTTTGATATCTAATTCAAGTCAATTATTTCATACTTCATTATAGAGATGCCGAAAGTCGAAAAAAAAATCGATATATCGATATTTATAAAAATATAATATCAGCCTCAATATATCGAAAAAAAAATCGATATATCGGCCCAATTTTCAGTTTAAAAAAAATATATTTAGTTCAGTCTGATTCAATAATAAGTAATAGTAATTTTTATACCAAATTAAGATTATTTAAATGAATGAGAAATTTTAATAAAACGTTAATTATTTCTTTTATTAATTTAAATTTCTAGGTATGTTATTTAGCAAGACCTTCATTGGAAAAAACAAACACTTTATTCAGTATGATAGATCAGTATCTTCAGACCTGAATCGAATCAAAAAATAATCAATAAAAAACATATAAATTTGTAATAAAACATAAAGAATTGTTTAAAACGAAGTTAATAATGGGTCAAAAAGAAACCCTCAGAGACTTGTCTCAAAGACAGGCCTTTTTTTACGTGGTAAAAATCCTTTACGGATCCCTTATGGGTAGACAGCGAGGGTATGTGGGAATCCTCAGGAATACGAGGGTACCCACTAAAAACCCACGTTGCACTTGCGCTGTCGCTTTTGCCGATGATACGGGAACACGAAAACGCAATCTTCCGCGAACCCCGGCGTGACTATGGTCTTCTAAGGCCTCCGCTCTCCGGATGTTTAGACACCCGGTCCAGCCAAATGGTGACGTATCGGTGTAATGGACACGGCACCCCTCTCGATCCCTCCACGGGGTAGCAGTTTATCCCACATCTGCCACCCCAGGACTCGCTATCAGGGGGGAAGGTTGCGCGCGTAGGCCATCCTGCGCCTTGGTCTCTGGCTATGGCCTCCACAGTTCTTAGGCCGGCGCTGATGAATTCCAGCCTTTGCTCTCACTCAAAGATGGCATTTGAGCGCAAGACATTCCTGCGCATCCCCAACTCTTCTCGCGCCAGAAGTACAGTGACGCGAGGATTTCAGCTTCCAGGTTCCAAGGCAAAGAGCCAGCCAACAGGCACGCCGCCTCACCGGATATGGTCAGGTAGCCCCGAACGGCTCGTATGGCCAACACCCTTTGCGGTTTGCACAAAAGTGCTTTGCTCCGGCGGCTCATGGTGTCCCACACGGGAGCCCCATACAGGGCCATTGACCTCACGACTCCGGCGTATAGGCAACGGCACGTATCGTTGGAACCACCAACGTTTGGGAGCAGTCTGCCGAGAGCTGTTGCTGCTTTCACCACTTTGGGAGACAGCCGCTCAAAGTGGGCACAGAAGTCCCATCGGCGATCTAGGACTAGGCCGACATACCTCATGGTAGGTTGTACGTCGACACGGACGCCACACACAATAATAGGGGCGTCCGCAGGTGGTCCTTACTACTTAACGCCACCTCTAGCCCTCGTCGCTGAATACGTCTCACCACCTGAGCCACTCCCACAGTGGCGAGAATAGCAGCCCGGCGAAAGTTTGTGGCGCGGGCGGTCACAAGGGTGTCGTCAGCATAACATGTCACCTAGACACCCCTGAGGTAAGCGCCATGCAGCAGCCAATCATAACCTAAATTCCACAGGAGCGACCCTAACACCGACCCCTGTGGAACCCCACACGTCAACTCGATGGCTCTTCGAAGCCCGTCTCTGCATGGATACTCTACACGACGTTCTGACAAGTAGGCCCCGATGATGCGGCGCAGGTATAAGGGCACTCCATGATACCGGAGTGCCTCTCTGATGCAAGCCCAGGCCTAGGTATTGAAGGGATTGGTGATGTCAAGAGACACCACCAAGACGACTTCACCCTGGGAAACTGCTTCCTGCGCGAGGGAACTCACTCTCAGCAACGCGTGTATTGTCGATCGACCCTTGTGGAACCCAAACTGCATATCCGCAATATTAGGGCCGACACCATCAGCTCATGCGAGCAGTACTATCGGCCGATAGGCAGAGTATAAGTCCACGGGACGTCCATCCTTCCGGATGAGGACGAGTCTGCCTGTCTTCCACTGTGGAATTGAGGCTTGAGCCAGACAGGCAGTAAACATCACCTAGGCTCCAGGGCGTCCTCCAGGGTCAGGGCCAGGACTCGTCCAGGAATACCGTCAGGACCCGGGGCAGTGGTTTTGGCTTTCATCTTTAGATCGGCAGCACCAAGCTCTCCCGGGGTCACCACAGGCACATCCACACTTATGTCGGTCTCTTTATGAACGGGTCGAACCATCACAGGGGGCGTATGCTCTTCTCGCTGAGGGAACAAAGCCGTGGCAATCGCCGTAACCAACTGATGCTGCAGAGTTTGCGTGAGTGGGAGGCCCAGGGGCGAATTTTGTTCACCACCATCCTGTATTACCCTCCACATGTATCACAGTTCAAAGAAGTCAGAATTTCACTTCTGGCAGCAGCGACCGATTTGGCTATTTCGGACTGCAGTGCAATTTTTTTCGCTCTATAAGAGGCGTAGAGCAGCGCCTCCAAGCCTTCCTCCCTGTGCCTTCTTCTTCGGCATCGGGTGAACCGACGCCTTGCCATCCATGACACACGCTCTACACATTTGGGAGAGCTCCTCAGACCACCAATACACTAGGCTCTTTTGTGGGAGATTTCTGGACCGTGCCATGGACGCATTACAAACTTCCGTCATTGCGTCCGGAAATCATTCGGCCTCTCCCGTCCTAAAAGACACGCCTAGATCAACAGAATTTAGTAATAGTTGTTTGATTGACATGAAAATGCTGAACGACAATTTAAAGAAGTTACATATGTTGTTAAATGATAATAATTTTTATGACGTCAAATATTTTTTTTATGAAAACTCGATATTATATTATGTGACATTTAATTATTGAGAATTAGATAATAATTAAATTCTTGTTAACTTTATATATATATATATATATATATATATATATATAAAATAAAGTAACTTTAATTGCCATTTATAAATTAACATAATATGTAGTGCAATATTAATGATTTGTTACACCTCTTTACCATGCTGTACCTAAGATATTGATAGCAGAAGTACCATTACCCTTAAATTGTATTATAAATACCTTAATTATAGTACAAAATGCAATTCCGCATTCGCGACAACAATATTAGGCCACAGATTTTTCCGATCATTTTTATCTTTTACGGCTTTGAATCAGTTTGAATAAAAATATCGTTTTTGATACGATTTCAATATTCAATTTTTTATATCGACATATCGGATCAAAATATATCGCCCAAAAATATCGATATATTGATATTTTTTCGGCATCTCTACTTCATTTTGAAGTTGGTTGGATTTCGATTCGGTACTACAAAACGTATTACTTTTTCTATTAGACATAATTTATATTAATTGACAAAAAAAAAATCTGTGTATATGTAGGGTCCAAAAGTAAGAAATGACCACATAACTACAATGACAAACGTATGTCCAGGATGAGTAAGATGTCGAAGAACAAACTAAACCTGACCCTCCCACCAGGGTCTATTGATACCGGGCCAGCGGTTTCGCCATGTAATATGACTCCACAGCTAAAGTCTGCCACTGCTTCAGAGTAAGTACAATTTCCAAATAGATATTGATTAAAATAATATTACAAGCCTATCACGCCTCATCAGCATAATTATTATTAAACTCTCAGAAAGCTCTATTTCAGACCTAGAGCCGCAGCCTCTATTTCCTTCTAGCAACAAGCAGTTAGAGGATGCAAAGTGATAAGCTAAACTATCTTCATGATATAATACTATACTGATTAGTTGACAAATCAGCACCAACTTTTAAAGGATTTCTTGCTTTGCATCCTAAACTAAATTACATATTCATGTGTTATCTGAAAGTTTTTTACTACTTTGTAAAACAATTTTGTGGGTACTAAACATTAGATTTGTCTGTAATATTATTTTAGAATATTTTTTTAGATTATTAATGTTTTTATAAATTTATTTGATAATTTTACAATTTTTTCATCTAATATCACTTAACAAAATTTCTAAATAAGATTGAAACATTGTACATCAAATAATGTTTATTTTAATATGTATTCTGTTAAGTTTTAAGTTAAGTAAACCTAATATTCATTATTTAATGAAATTTTTGATTTAGACGGCAGGGCTTAGTTGGAAAGTCAAAAACAAGCATAGAAGCACTAACGGAGAGACTAGAGCAAATAGAGATGGATGACACACAGAGACGAAGAATAGAAGTATTTTTGTGTCAAAAGGAAAAAATTGGAGAGTTGAGTGATGATGATTTTGAAAAGTTAGGGGAATTGGGTTAGTTTCATGATTCTTTGTGTTATTGTTGTTTAATGGACAGTTGTGTTTACAATAATAAAATGTTTTGGTTGGTTGGGTGGTAGCTGCAATAATATTTGTATTAACAATTTGTTATTTTACTTTATATGTAACAGTACATTAATAAATGATGTAACAATAATTTTCTAAAGGTTGCCAACGCATCTGCAATCCTCGGGTTTAGCTAATGTCTATGGGCGCCGGTATTCACTTAACATCAGGTGAACCGTCTGCTCGCTTGGCAACTTTTCACATAAAAAAAATAGTAAAATTATTGTTACAAACCTCTTTAACAAGATATTGCACTGGATTTTTTTTAAATGATTTAACTTTTACTATCAGGACAAGGGAATGGTGGTGTAGTTATGAAGGTGCGTCACAAATCAACCGGTCTAATCATGGCGCGCAAATTGATCCATCTTGAGGTTAAGCCAGCCATAAAGAAGCAAATTATACGTGAACTAAAGGTCCTGCATGAATGTAATTTTGCACACATTGTGGGTTTCTATGGAGCATTCTACAGCGATGGAGAGATATCAATTTGCATGGAATACATGGATGGTGGCTCACTGGACCTTATATTGAAGAAGGCCGGGAGGATTCCTGAGTCTATTTTAGGTAAGATTATCAGTCTATGTATGTTTGTTTGTTTCTTTGGTGAATATTTATTCTACGCTCTTGATTAACAGTTGTGTACAACATTGTGCTCATATAATTTATTTCAAAACTTCATTGTTCCCAAAAGTGCATGAAACAAAACTGTTATTACAAATAGTTCCCTTTCTTAAATAAAAAAAATATATTTTAATGGCATTATTTGAAGAACTAAGAAATGGTCCACCTTCTTAATTTATTTTGTCAGTTTTGCATATATTTTGGGATAATTAGCCCATAATCTAGTTGTTTTTTTTTGTGGAAGGGGTTGGTTAATAATTCCCAACAAAGACTGTGGGCGAGACGATCTATTGTAGTCTTCTATGTGCCCCAACATTAGGATAATATTATCCTGAGCTATAAGGATGTTTAACATTCGCGAATTTCACGTTGACAAACATCTAGATCTGAAACAATTATCTGTACGTCACACAAATAGTTGCCCTACCCACTGAGGAAACCCGTGGGTTCTGGCTAAGCCCACCGGTTCTGCGTTCGATAAAGCTTTAATAGTCTAAGGACTAAAAGCGTAACATCAGTTATACAAAAACAAGAAGTTGCCTCGTGCGACAATCCGACGCGCGGCTCCCGGCGCCGAAGACGGTACCGTGGCAATTGTGGTCATATGTCGGCTAATACTTTACTTTTACTTTATGAAAAAGCCCGTATTTCCTCCCCCTAAACCTACTTACACACTCGCATCTAATGTGACATTATTAGGTTAAGCGCATTAGCCCGGGACCCAATTTATTAAAAGGTGGCAACGCATCTGCAACTGTACGGGTGTTGCAAATTTCCATGGGCGGCGGTTATCACTTAACATCAGGTGACTCGCCAGCTCGCCTGCCATCTTCTAACATAAAAAAAAATATAAGCCTGTTCACTATCGCTTCAGGCTATTGAACTGGTTGGTATCTTACCGCACCGCAGGCACAAATATAAAGCCCAATGAAAAACTGATGAACGCGATGTACCTTCAAGGCGAGAGTGAACTCGCGTTCATCAGTTCAGCCTATTGAACTGGTACCTACATTGCGTACTGGTAAACTACATTGCGTTCATCAGTTCAGCCTATTGAACTGGTACCTACATTACGTTCATCAGTTCAGCCTATTGAACTGGTACCTACATTGCGTACTGGTAAACTACATTGCGTTCATCAGTTCAGCCTATTGAACTGGTACCTACATTGCGTACTGGTAAACTACATTGCGTTCATCAGTTCAGCCTATTGAACTGGTACCTACATTGCGTTCATCAGTTCAGCCTATTGAACTGGTACCTACATTGCGTACTGGTAAACTACATTGCGTTCATCAGTTCAGCCTATTGAACTGGTACCTACATTGCGTTCATCAGTTCAGCCTATTGAACTGGTACCTACATTGCGTTCATCAGTTCAGCCTATTGAACTGGTACCTACATTGCGTACTGGTAAACTACATTGCGTTCATCAGTTCAGCCTATTGATCTGGTACCTTACCGCCCCGCAGGCACAATAACCTCGGCGGTTCTGAAGGGCCTCAGCTACCTGCGCGACAAGCACGCGATAATGCACCGCGACGTGAAGCCGTCCAACATCCTCGTGAACAGCAACGGCGAGATCAAGATCTGCGACTTCGGCGTGTCGGGGCAGCTGATCGACTCCATGGCCAACTCGTTCGTGGGCACGCGCAGCTACATGTCCGTGAGTATCGGTGCGCGCGACGCTTACACAATTAGCGGGTGTCCAGTGGCGTTAATAAACCGACGTGAAGCGAAAGCTTTTGCGTTTCGCTACCCTTCGCCTCGCTTCGTATGGCTTCCCCTTTAGGACTCGAGGCGCTCGGTGGCTTCACACGAGATACTGAAAAAGAAATAGAACAACGCAGCAATTAGGATCTGAAAGTCTGGTTGCCGCCTTTCATTTAGAATGTTACTCGATCCCTTTAATCTGTAATGGTGTACACAGAAACTGCCTCCAAACATTCTCCCTCCCAGCGTCTAATAAAAAAAATGCACGCTACAACATGTTTTTGATAATTGAAATGTGTAGACAAATTATTGTCGAAAAGTTTTTCGCCGCCGAAAGTTTTAATGTTTCATCTTAAGTGCAGGGACTAGCACTATAAACATTTTAATTGACAATAATAGTCAAATTAACAGCGTAAACCTCACATTTCGTTTGAGCGTTATCGTAAAACAAGTAAAAAAGGAGGCTATACAATCGTGTACGAAAATATTAATTAAGTATTAAATAGCTTAATACTTTAATTATTTTAATTTAATCATACATGAAACACGTATTTCAAGTGGCGCAGGCACTAACTGACTGATAATTCTTCATTGTTTAATATTTCACTGTCTTATGCCACGCTCAGACACGTTAATTAAAACTATCTACAATAAAATTCTTTATTGTCCAGAGTTCAGTATTCATAACTATTCATAGGCTCCACTTATCGAGTAGATTATGTTCTGTGATTATGTGGATAAATGATTTTAATGTTAGTTAAGCTAGGCACTAACTGACCTCTCTGCTGTCGGCTTAACTTGGGTGTTACTATTATTATATACTAGTATATGTTTATCGGTTAGTTTTATGTTTTATGTGTATCACTATTCTTTCTATTCAATGAAACAATAAAATTTTATGAACAAACCGAGAATTTCACGAAAAATGTATCGTTACAGTTTGCCGTATTTAATTTCAATGGAAATTATAAAAGAAAAACTAAATTCAATAGCTAGAAAAGCTTTTTGATGTAAATAGCTTAGTATGACGAAGGATGTTCAAAGAAAATAATCTTATCAAATAATATTAATCATGTGCATAAATATGGTAATATAAATTGGGTCATATTTTCCGAAAACTTATCGTTTTTGTTTAATTCAATAGACACTTGAAAGTGGGATAAATAACACTTTAAAGTTGTCGACAAGGAGATAATTTTAAATACGCAAAAGAACTTGTTTACTGAGTGTTTAATTATTAACGAATACTAATTAGCGAGCATTCTTGAAGGTGGGAAATAAAGGACGTTGTCGGGCTATCGAGACACCCATTCTTTTTAATTCCATTTAAACGTTTCGTATTTTTAACATGAGTGAGGTAACTGGGGCCCACTTTTACCAAATATTGTAGATGACCATGAAGCGGCGGCAATCACTTAACATCAGAAACCCTTTTTCAACTCTTTACAAAAAAAAATATTTTTCGTTTATAATCAACATACGGTCGTTTATGATATGTCGAGTTCAGAGCAATTGAACTATTTCGAATTGTAAATACTAATCACATCTAAAGTATGGTAAAGATAAATAACGAAAAAATGTATTAGAGTGAACACATTTTGGAATAATAATTTAAAAAATTTATAATGTTGTCATCAAATTTTATTTAAAACTCTCGATATGAAGATTGCAATATTTACACGTATACGTATTAGACCGTACTAAACACCGATATATCACATGATATATCGATATAACACCTTACATTGCATTACCGCGGTATAATATTGTACATAATATATATAATGTATATTAAGGGTTTGAATGTTTGCCCATACAAATATACAAATACTTAAATTCAAATTCAAATAATATCTTTATCCAATATAGAAGCATTACACGTACTTATTGATTGTCAAAACGCTACCACCGGTTCGGAAAATAAAAGCCTGACCTGAGAAGAGCCGGCGAAATAAAATCAGCGTGACATTTTTTTTACCATTATTTGACAAAGAACATGTTTACATAAATTTATCAATTGATAAGTTGTGAATGTTTTCTGGGATTTTTTTGTAATGACATATACATTGTCGCATAAAAGAATTACTTATTTTACGAAGTCTGATTGTGTTTAACATTAATTTATGTTTGTTCCTAGTATTTATATCATGCACCATAACCATGTCTTGAAAATTTAAAAACATAAAACTCTACCTTTCTCTCTTTCGTTCTAAAATATCGTTTATTGGTCCTTGCAGCCGGAGCGTTTGCAGGGGACTCACTACTCTGTGCAATCGGACATTTGGTCTCTCGGTCTGTCGCTGGTCGAGATGGCCATCGGAATGTATCCGATTCCGCCTCCCGACGCGAAGACCCTGGCCGCGATCTTCGGGGGCCAGAACGAGGATCACTCGCCGGGTCAGGTATAAATGAAAACGTATTCTTGCACTCTTAAGTATACAGCGTGTCGTTACCATCGCGACAATAAATGAACATGCAGATAGGGGATAGATAGATTTAATACAACTTTTTAAAGCTGTATTAAACATTTAAATTCTTTAAACATCAATATTTACAGAGTTATTAAATTTTCCAAAACAAAGAATTTTAGAACACCCTTAACTATAAAAGCGTAATGTAAAGTTCATTTGTAAAGGTCACAAAGCATATGAATGGGTTGAATGAATTTAAAAGAGACAAAACATACTGTTAGAAGGAGAGACTTGTAATACGACGCTGTGGCGCGAGTTGTATAGGATGTTACAAATTTTGTTCCCTTTTTACTTAATTACTTTGTTTGAAAAATATATTTTTTTTAATTATGGATTTTTTTAACGTTAATATTTTTTTATGATTATTGGCAAGTAGCGTTAGACGTGTGTTCATTTATTGTCGCGATGGTAAAGACACGCTGTATAAACGCAGACGGTGTACAACGAGCTATACTTTATCGCGCCTCTGAACTTCGTCCCAGTCGCTGTGCTCTCCATAGTAGGAATCGAAAGGTCTGAGTATTGCCCTTTCGTTCGCTCCCCTAGTATAGTAGTTTTCTATTATATTAGTTTGTTCGTTCAGGAGTGAACTTATTGAATCCAATGCAGCAGTAGGACTTGAAAGGACTAAAATGTAGTAGTCGCTACATGTACTCTTACTCGCTACTACTACATTTTAGTACCCTCTTTTTCGCTCCGCGAGCTAAATCGCATTCCATCCCGTTCTAACTTTACACGATTCTTTTAGCAGCAATAGTGACTTAATTAATTGCAAGCCACCTTAATGAAGGTTTTGAATTGACCGCCCTTAGGCATTGTATCACAGCACGTGGAGAAAGTCAACACGGTGCGTGGAGATTGTGTTGCAACAGTCACAATTAATAATCGATAGTTATTGCCAATCTTTCACTATGTGACAAAGGAAAATAGGAAACAGACTGTTGGAATTAGTACTAACTAGCGACCCGCCCCGGCTAAATGTATTATACATATAAACCTTCCTCTTGAAGCACTCTATATAGTAAAAGAAAACCGCATCAAGATCCGTTGCGTAGTTTTAAAGATCTAAGCATACATAGGGACAGACAGACATCGGGACGACTTTGCTTTATACTATGTAGTGATAGTGATATATAACTTTTTTTTACTATTAATCGTAGGCGCCCAACTCGCCGCGACCGATGGCGATATTCGAGCTCCTGGACTACATCGTTAACGAACCACCGCCCAAGCTGCCGGCCGGCATCTTCTCCGACGAGTTCAAAGACTTCGTGGACCGCTGCCTCAAGAAGGATCCCGACGAGCGGGCCGACCTGAAGACCCTCATGGTGGGTGTCCTCCCCACCCCAATCAATCCAACCCCCACCTCGTGGGTCGTGGGTTTGATTCCAGGGGACAAGTGCTTGTGTGACCAACTTAGTTGTTCCGGATATATGGATGCCTGTCCATGTGTGTGTAAAACAGGTATATTGGAATAAACTTGTGTCACAGTGGGGATAGTTGTTATTCAACACCCACGGGCCACTGTGGCATTACACCAATTATTTTACAAGATATATGTACGTAAATATTAAGGAAACCTCACTGCCTATTACTATTAGGTCATGAAGAAAAGTATTCTGAGAACAACTATGGTTTCAAATTTTTAATGGTGAAATTTTCATGTTTCCAAAGGCAACACCTTAGAAACTTGGCATAATATTAGTCTAAACAACTTATAATGTTGCCACTAGGACATCGCATATATTTATAATTAGGAAACATATTGCAATACTCCATGAGAAATTTATTTAAAGAATAATGTTCCGAAGTGATTTAATCTTCATCTCTATGGCATTGGAATATGGTGTATAATTTTGTGTATGTCGCAGAACCATGAGTGGATCCGTAAGGCTGAAGCAGAGAAGGTGGACATTGCGGGCTGGGTATGCAAGACCATGGATCTGATGCCCGCAACGCCAAACTCCAACGTGTCTCCTTTTTCTTCATAAGCTGCAAGAAGTGCATACTTTCATCAGCGAAAAAGGGTCAGTGTGTGAGCAAAACGGTTGTTGGTAAATTTTAAATTTAAGAGTGAATAATAAAAATGCTGTTAGAAACAGCCAGTCTATAATTTTAAAAAGACAAAGATGAAAAAGTTTGCTACGGGTACTTTAAATTTTGTTTATCGTTTTAAATTAATTTATTGTTAGTTATTTAAAACATTTGCAACTATCACTACACATTTCCTTGTGCAATATAAATATATTTTTATTGCTGCTTTTTAAAAAAAATATTTTTTTTCATATTTAAGTTACTTTTTTGAACAATTTGAAAAAAAATATCATTGGATACAGATGAGAAGGTTTGGCACATAACGCGGTTAATTTAACTTTTATTTTTAATTTGAATTCAACTCATTATTATTAATTTACAACTTGTAATTACCACTGGACAATTCCTCACTCCTGTAAACTATAGGTTTATTCCCATTATATTATTTATAATTGCTTAAGACGATGATTAAAAGTCAAATATGCATTTCAGGTCAAAACATTTCCCAAGAGAAAGCGGGTGAAACAATCAGTGAGGACGCTGGCGCAGAGGAATAGCCGCCCTTAGACCAAGCGATGTGAGAGTACACAATATGTCAACTCTAGGTACCATTGTCAACGCCGTAGCGGAGCCCGGAGTTGTACAACATCCGACGTACAAGCCACCGCCTGCCATTGCAATCTCAATCTAATCCCCCACGCGTAGAAGCGTTTTTGTAACGGACGCGAGAACGTGTCTATAATACTGTCAACTTCGGGAGCATGTCCGTTGCACACAGCAGCGCGTCTATAATACCGCCAACTTCGGGAGCGCGTCCACTGCATACAGCAATGTGTCTATAATACCGCCAACTTCGGGAGCGCATCCGCTGTATACAGCAACGCGTCTACAACACCGCCAACATCGGAAGGGCGTCCGCTTCACATAGCTCTAGGGCGCTTTGGGCCTTCGCGATTTGTCCGGGTCTTCGATTGGCGGCTCGAGCGCCTGCAAACGCGCTTTCCGCCCCGTATACAGGCTATACGTCGGCGCGAAAGCGTTCCGCCGTAACAGTAGGTACGGTGAGACCTCACGAGGGAGCCAAACGGAACATCACGATTAATGGTCGGGTAGAGTTGATTCCACTAGTCGCGTGTCGTAAAGACGTTTGTAGTGTTTTGACATATTTTTCTTTGCTGAAAGTGCGTGATTCGTGTCAGCTGGTACATGTTTGGTAATAGTGTAGTAATGAAGGCGCAGTCGCCCCCGCGGGGGCGCCCGAGAGGCGGAATACTCCAATGGCGGCGCGATCGCGTCGGCGTGAGAGCGTTCCGCGTCTCGCCGAAACCTCGACAGTCTGTTATGAAATAAGTAAACGATAAAAAAAAACTAGAATACACGAAAACGAAAAAAAACGTATATAAACTCGAGCACGTATTTTTGCCGTTCACTTTTGCACGGTTTGTTTGAATCGTTTGAACCTTTCCGTTTTCGCTTCGTTCTAGCGTGGCAACTCCCCCCCCACTCACCCTTGCACCCCGCGCACCTTCACCTCTTTTAGCCAGCACTTAGCACTACGTAGTTTTATGGCATATATATTCGCTAATGCTTTGTCTGCGTCTCTGTGCGCACTTTGCTCTGGTAGGTACGGTGACTTTTTGTTTACACACCACTACACTATTTCGTTTCCCGCGCTCATGTTGCCGAAAAACACTTTACGTTCTAGGCCCCGCTCTAGTTGAAGATTGACGAAATTCGATTATTGAACTATAGGTCTACTTAATAAACACATCGACGCTTCCGACGCCACTTTCGCAGTGTCAATTAAATATGTCAACAATTAACACTAACGGCCGCACACGGGAACCACTAGCACTTAACTGGAAACGTTTTTTTGACAGTTTGTCTTAATTAAGCCTTCACTAGAAAAGAAACGTTTAATTCGAGTTAAGCGCCAATTCTACCCTGAGTGCGGCCGTAAGTTTGTAGCGATTGTAATGTATGAATGGACAGATTGATGAGATTTAATTATTTAGGACGCTTTCCTATACACGACGCTCGTGACGTCACCGCTTATCGACTCGAATCGTTCGCTTGGCATACGATATGATTGGCCACGGCCGCGTCATCCTGAATGCCGTTTTAATTTCATATCACGCTTTCTATGTATTTTGTATACGTTGTAGGTGGAGTGTTTTGACTTTGATTTACTTCGTTGCCTTTATTGTGTGTAGGTAAATGTAGTTTATTATCGTAATTGAAATGTATATCGAGTGCAATTCGATGTTAATTACGTACGTTATTTTATTATTAGACGTAATAATATTGTATATCGATATTTTTGCGATTGCGACTATATAATTACTATGTACGCGATGAACTGAGTTTTTAAAATCTTTATATATTTCTAATTTATGAATGTTTAATGATAAATAATCAATATAATGTATCCTAAACTGTTCTCAACGTATAGAAGATTTTCTTACTAAAAGCATACTCCTATAAAATACGTTCAATTTGTTTTTTGATGACTTTGTTCTTAAACTAAGAACTCAAACTTGTCAGTACTCATTTCATCTTAATGTTTCTATGACTGGACCGTACAAGGTTTACCAAAAACTTAGATTATATTAACCGGCTTACCGAATGTTTTAAAGATAAATAGTTCATAATAACTTCAACGTAATTATCGTCCACTTGCCAATTCGGTGTCTATGCGTGCGTCTTTTATATTATATTACTTGATACTTTTACATCGCTTACCATATAGCTGAGGACAAGTTTGTACGTAATATATTTCTAAAGTTAACTGTAATGATTTCTGGATGTCTATAAATTGACTGGATTGTTTCCGTCATTTAAATATGTTCCGGAAATGTGTTTAGGCTGTAGAACATACAGTCTAAAGATTAGAAGATATTCTGGTTGCATTGTTTCCGTTTTAATACTCCTACCTTCTTTTAATTATTGTATGAAGAGTTGAAGACACCGAGTTATGTTGTATATAATTGCATGGATATCGATGGATTATATAAATATGATTTTGATCCAATTACGATTTTCTCGTTACATTTTTATTTTATTTTAATATTTATACGCACGGTTTAAGCTTAAATGTTATTCGTAGGTAGTTATAAAATCCAAATCGCATTTTCGTAGGTATTTCATCTAATGTATCGGTGTTAACATTTAAGCAAGGAAATCTTTACAACGAGGTTTATTTCGGCACCTGTGAAGGCCGAATTGTCTTCAATATTAATCGCATTACAGTTAATCGTGAACGTCATTTGTGTATGGTTCCTGAAATTTTATTCTTCGGCCAGCAACTGTTAGGTTATATAAATAAAACTTTAGCGGAGATGTTTGTTTTCTTTACCTTATCCTTAATAATATAGAAACTGCGTCGATACTACCTCTATGCAATTTATTAAAGATTTTCTGATTGTGATGTGATAAAGTTATGAGGCAGCGAAAAGACTCTGTACTGATGAAATCTGTTCGCTACCGTACTAAGTCTAGTACGGTACCTAATAAATATTTATTACGTTAGTCTAATAAATGAGACGGCAGATATTTCGCGACTCGTATTCCTTACATTACAGTCTGAAGGTTTACGGGCATTCGTCACTAGATGGTAGTTATACTTTCATTAAAACGGTGTTATAAGATTGACGTGTCTCTCTGTGTGCCTGTCTGTGGCAGCGTATCTTTTAATGAATGGACCTATTATGCAAAATCAAAAAATCATTTATTCATCGACATAAGGAGGACATTACATTTCATTTATCGATAGTCATATTTTTTTTTAAATCTACCACCGTCTATCTACGAGAAGAAACAGGCGAAAGAAACTCCGTAGGTATCCTCTTTTTTGTAATAATTTTTTTTTCTTAACAAAATGTTAAAATAATATTTTAACTTTTTGTTGTACAACTGATTTTTTTCCTTTTAGAAATAGCTTGGGAGCGATCAACTCATTCCCAGGGGACAGTAAGTCATTAATGTATTCATTTGTATTATAATTACCTTTTTTATAAAGTTTTTCTTTAATAAATTTCTTAAACCTGTTAATAGGCAGGTTTTGCGCATTTACTGGGATTTTGTTGTAAAAGCGTATACACCGCCCCATGAACGAGTTACTCTATGGAGTCTAGTAACTGGCATTGCGTTTTTTATTAACGAAAGTTGACGTGATCGAGATGATTCCTACAAACATAAGTTCTCAAGAACCACAGAAACAGCTCCGAGCCCGGCCCTAAATTAAACCCCAGCCGAGTGATTAAAACACTCACTATCCACTTCCTTTGCCTTCCGGTGGCAATACTTAATGCACTTCCAGTTGACAGTCCTTCCCGATAAGTGGAAAGAAGCTAAACTAGAATCTTGTTTTCGACGAGCAGTACAGCTTTAGGTCTGGACATTCTTCACGTGCATCGTCCCAAGAAGAACGTTCTCTCTAATGTATGCTGTGCCGACTCCCAGAAGGAGAGTCGCGTGGGGTTAATTTTGTTCGATATCGCCAAGGCGGCTGAATATACGCTACGCTCGCTATGGGTGCTACAAGAGTATTCGTCGAGCAATTTCTCGTTTTTTCTCGTCAAAGATTAATTAATGAGAATTATTATTTATTTTTATTTTAATGTTGTTTTTATAAATTAATTTTTTTTATTAATTTTCGTTACCGATCGTTGGACGTTAGTGGTGTATGTCTGGTGATTGAATCCAATTTCGACATTTTTCTTTCTATGAAAAGTTTTGTCCAAGCAGAGGTTCAAACATTTATCTGCGGGTCCCTTGGATAGTGGTGTGCCCATTTCAGTCATTATCCATCTTTCATTAAAAAGAGTCACGGACTCGCGATGCAGCGGAGTGGACCGCGTGTCGTCGTCGTGCACCACTTACGTTGTTTCTCCTGAGTGAAAGAGGCGGACGGCTGAAAGTATTTTAAGGACATTCAGAATTGAGGTTGATTGTACAACTTTATAGGAGCCGTGATAGCTCAGTGTCCGGGCGCTCGCCTTTAATTCAATTTACTCGAGCAACCTGCGTGCGATCCCCGGTGCCGGCACAAATGAAATTGTCAATTTTCAGTGCTGACTTATGCCGTGCCCAGCAGTGAAGGAAAACATTTTGAGGAAGCCTGAATATTTTCGAAATAAAAAAAATATATTTTGTAGTCATGTGAAGTTCGCCAATCCGCAGTGGGTTCACATATTGGTCTATGCCCTAATACTGTCTGTACAGAGGCCGCCTTTGATCAGCAGAGGTACATTAACAGGCTGCTGCTTTACCTTACTTTTTATATACAATTTACTTCTTATTTTTTTATTTTACTACTTATTTACCGATTTTTTTGTGTGAAAAAGAAACACGTAGGCTGATGGCGAAAATAAGTGCGGCGAGCTTAAGTGAATATGAAATTATATACAAATCAATGAACAATAATGATTTATTAAGTAATATAAATCTGTCTTTCACAAAAATAATATCAAAATGCATACATACATTTATTAATATAGCAGTGATGTAATAACATGGATTGTTCATTTAATTTATAATAGGTATTCAACTGCAATTATCACTTAACATAATGATTTACGAAGTTCAGATATCAAAATGAATATTCTGAGTGGCACCGCATAGTTCTATTAATTTCATTATTTACACATTGAATGTTCTTCAAGATGATCTCATATAAAATATAGTTTGTTCTCAATGTAAGTACATTTTGACCAAAGTAGGTATATCTATTTTATATCTTTAATTTTTGTTTTTTAAATGTATTATAAAATTAGTGTATGTCTATGATTACAAAATAGGTATGTGCAAAAAGTAAGTGAAAACTACCTTATCTCTCTGGAAGTTGATGCCTAATCATAAATGACAGCTTTTTTTATTATTTGTCGGTTTTTATACGAAAATGCTATCGTTTCGGAGCGTAAACTGATTGATAATAAAATTATTGGGATTCATAACAAGAATTTTGTTACTTCTGCCTAGACATTAATTTATTCGGTTACCATGGGCACAAGTCGTAAAGTTTTCATCTTAATTCCGTTACTTTAGTCTAGATAGTCTAGATTTCCATTTATTACGTTACCATGGGCAAGAGTCGCACATACAGGAAGACTTTTCATAGTGTATCCATTTTTTTAAATTAAGTTTTAGACATAAATAATGTTATATAAAAAATGATAAATATTTTAAATCACTCGTAACATTACATTCATTTGAACTTATCTCAAAAAGTGCGTGATTTAGACGCATCTTATCCTTTAAACGAGCAATTCTTGTATATATATATATATATATATATATATATATATATACTCGGAAACGGCTCCAGCGATTTTCATGAAATTTAGTATGTGCGTAATTCACGAAAAATCGATCTAGCTCGGTTTCATTTTTAGAAAATGTCCTTTTATTATACATATTTCATTACTCAGTAATTTGTGTCTAAATGTAATTTCCAAAATACACGATTTACCAAAAAAAAAAAACAATCCGAGCAAAGCTCGGTCCTCCGGGTACTTTATAATTAACACGCACACAAGTGCGTGAACAGTGAAATTTAGGTATTTATGAATGACTACCGCGTTGTCAACAAGTTCTGTTTTTAGGGAATGGAAAGGGATTTTTTGATAAAAAATAGTTTTTTTTAACTTCAATAAACGATTATACTACCGAGTCTGAACTTCCTGTGTAAATTTGGGCACCTTTAAAAAAGTCTGCCTGTATAAACAATTTATTAATAAAGGGGAAAGGTTGTATGCCCATATACGTATAAATAAAATTTATTTAACAACTTCAAAAACACATTACATAATTAATTTACAATGCTTAATAAGATGAGATATTTAAAATGTACTTTTTCCAAAGAATTCACAATTTTTTCTTAGTCTTAACTTGTGTAAAAAGTTATCGTTATAAACCCATAGAGAATTTGTTCAAAAAATTAACCATAAAAGTTTTGCTTCAAACAGCATTACATTATAATACACATACATTATAATTGCTAAACTTAAACAGTGCAAAACACTTATTAATGTTTTGTCTTGAAGCAGTTTAAGCATTATTAAACTCGATTGCGGATTCCTCTCTCCTATTGCCTTAAGATTTGTAACAATTGTTCTATTAACTTCTACTTATAACATGTAATACAACTAATAATAATGTGTGACAATTATAATAAAATGTTGCACTATTCGGTCACTTAATGATCAAACTAATCTAAGAACTATAAATAGGTATGCAATTAACAATACTGGGGATGAACTTTGGTTGTGATAATATTCTTAAAATTATCTAAAAAGGCATTTGAAAATCTAAAAATGAATGGAATACCAGCTAGGTTTTTACTAAAAACTACTAAAAACTTACGACACCGTCAGTGTGGGAGAATCTAATTCCACAACAAAGCCAATTTAACTATAAAAAGTTTTACGATCTAAACATTTTAAGTAGTTGATATGATAGAGTTTATCACATTTACCAACTGCTTTATGACTACGGCATTAGTACGTTTATTTGACCAAGTTTAGAACATCGACGAACAAATGATGACTTAAGAATAGAACGTGAGGACAGACGTGTGGTTGCCTCGCACGAACAGCATCGGTGGCAGATCTCGACTCATCATCTCCAGCCACGCCATGTACAGGGGGGCCGAGATCGAACCCTGGACAGAAAATATGGTTTTTACATCTGAGCTTGAAGGAATTCAAGATTGCTTTAGTCAATACAAGCTCTGGCCCCTTTTAACTAAAATGAGTACCTTTTTTACTTTTTGTAACTGTAAATTTTTCTCTATTTATCTATTTAAAAAATAACACTGCATCTACGGTACGATAACATTATCCTGTGTTATAAGGACGTATTTACATAAACTCTTTGAATTGTTATTAATTCAGAGAGTTTAACAATCCTTTTGGCAAATCAAATAACATGTGAAAAATATTATTACTATTGTTTAAGACATTCATACGATACTTGTTCATGATTACTTGCAGCAGTATGTATTGGATTACCAAATACCGATGCCAATTAATTCAATTAATATTCACTAAAAGCAAAGATTCGATGACCGCGAAGCTATTTACAATATTCATTAGAAAATATAAATAATGATCATCGTGAAAAAATATCTCTATATAATCTTCATTGTGCCCACCTTTCTAGGCATCGGCAGCGACATGACCACCAAGCGGGCGTCTTTGGAGTTAGCCAGCAGTAGTTCCCGCAAGCGCAGTTGGCGATTCGTCTTCTCAGCCAGCGTGGACAGCTCCGTCTGGCTTATGCGGCACTCTAGGGACCGAATATTAGACCTTATATCGTATAAACGAAAGTGGCCTATATTTTTAACAAACCGTTTTGTTAATAGTAAAACTCGTCAAAGCCAAAACCGGAATTAAACTACTTGTAAATATAAAAGGGAGTTAAGAAAGAAGAAAAAAGTTAAGATTAAGAAGAGCATAACGATGGGGAAAGTTAAATGTAAATGACTAATATAATGAATAGTCCAATATCGTTAACTTTTTATTTTACTCATTATTTCATTTCATTTTTGGTGTTTATATGTGTATAATATTTATTTATTTACAAAAGAAAAGTATGTTTAAGTATGTTTATCAGTTATCTAGTACCCATAGTACAAGCGTTGCTTAGTTTGGGACTAGAAAATGTTGTCTAAAAATGTGCCCTAAATTTATTTCTTTATTTATTCGGCGACAGCTTCAACCAATTTACCTTCGCTGGTGTTCTCGTCCGTGAACTTCTTTATGGTCTCGTCGAACAGGCTCTTGGTCTCTGGTTGCGGAGGCTCCGTTATGTCTTGCACCATCGTCAGGGATGAATAGTCGATGCGGAATTTCGCCAACAGGTTGGCCATGCTAGGGTTATAAATAGAGTTAGGTTGTACATTCGGTTCTCTTGTAATTCTTTACTGCATTTTCAATTCGTGGAAACTAACTTTTTTACGAGTTACGCTTAATTAAAGCTTAGATACGGCTTTATATTCTGCTAACTGGAAGCGTAATTTATGTTTATACAAAACATAAGAAGACGCCGCACAAATAAAAATAACTGTAGTGATATCCACTTGATTTAATGCGATTAGTTGGATGAAAAACGAGATATGAAATATCCTGAAATCTGCCAATTTGGGCAACATTATTTGGGAAACTCGTCAAAACTATAGGCATATGCCTCATGTGTCCAAAAACGGCAATAGCATCTGCTTCTTCCAATGTTTTTTTTTATGTGAGTAGATGGCAAGCTGGCAGTTCACCTGATGTTAATTAATAACCGCGGCCATTCACATTTGTAACGCCCGCAGGGTTGCCTTTTAATCATTGCCACCTTTTAATAATTGGGCCCCGGCTACATCACTCACCGGACGAAACGCATAAAATTTCTACTTCACGCCGGTCTCATGGGAGGTCGTGGTACTTACCTGGACGGACCTGCCCATTTGTGCAACAGCGAACACTGTTGCGTGGCCCTACCAATATCATAAGTTATAGTAGCCAATTAAGGTGGTACCCACTTTCTCTCCTCGAGCTCCAGTTCGTGGTGCCTGTTAGCCAGCGCGAAGATCCTGAGTTTGCAGTTGGCCCAACTGGAGCGCTGCGAGATGATGTACGGCAGGAGGATGGTGAGACCACCGTCGTCGTACAACCACCACACGTCCAACGTGCCTTTGTCCTTGAGAATCACAAAGTAAGCGTCTACAGTTACGTCATAAAGGGGGAGAATTGTTTTGTTTGTTTGTACTGCGTAATCTCTGAAACTGCTGTAGAGATAACACTGTTTCGTTAAGATTTAAGCACTGAATTAAAACTTGCAAAAATGATGAAGATCTCAATTTTAGTGGGTAAAGTTTTTAAATATATACAAGTGATCTTTAAATTGTTGCATCTTGCATCAAGTAACATATAAACGATTTTTCTCTATTGCCCTTGCATATTTTACAAATACTTGACCCATAAATTTTACAAATTTTGTACATTAATTGGTCCTAGTATCTGCAAAAAGTGATAAACCAGATGTGCATATATAGCTAAAGACTAATAATGCTATTATGTATTTTTGAAAAACACTATAAATCTATTGTAAGGGGTAGGTTACATTTGACTTTTTACCTGTTTCCGTTGGAAAATGGTCATCTGCGTCAACTGATCGGTGGACACTTCTAAGCCCGAAGACGACTTATAGACGATTTGCTTGTGAAAGTCCAAAGGTTTTTTATCCTTTTTCTTCTCCTTTTCTTTGTCTTTTGCGTCGTTCTTCTCAGATATCGTGAATGAGCGGGACGTTGTTAGTGTGAGTAAATCTGTAACAAAATTATTATCTATTTTATTTTAAATGACCATTTTAAACTTTTGTAAGCTGGGATGATGATACTATGTAACAAAAATGTTGTACAGCGGGTATTAGAGCATACTTAACGACAAACGCGATCCCACTGCGTATAAGCAAAGTTCACTGGCAGGTTGTAAATATGAAGGAATAATTAAGCGTCTAGTTAAGATGATTCAAATTTTCGAACATATTTCAAAAACCAAACTAAACGGATCTTTAAAAGAGCCGCGTATCTGGCAAGCGTATGCGGCTGTCCGCCTGACTCTACCACAGTGAAACAGCTTCATTTGAATCGCCTGCGTTGACAGAACTGTTTCTGTCAACGGATGGTTTAACCGTCAAAGTGATTACCGCCACCCTTGGGCATCTGCAACACCTAATGAAACACACACCTATGGAAAAGTGTCAATTTTGCTGTTAAGTCCCTTATAATATTCACGCGAACGGTGTATGGCACTGACTAAGATCGTGTAATGAGTTAGAGAGAAGAAGGAAACTAAGCGTAGTACAGGCTGAGATTCTAAAAGAGAAAAAAATTAAGAACCGAAGTTGAGTGAAGAGAATGAGAAGACATCTAGACAATTTAAAAGAGATAGTGGCAACTAAGTAAAGTGGTGATTCAGTTGCCTAGTTCCTAAACTATTGGCCTCGGCGCCTAAGTTAGAACCTATAATAGGACAATTATCTTTGCTCCCCACAGATTGTTCCAGATCTGGATTACTCCCAAGGAGTGTTCATGTCAGGTAAGTTCGCTGGCCGTAAAAAATAACTAGCCAATAACATTAATAACAATTACCTAGGTGGGGCTAGGTAAGCAAGAAAGAAAAACTGAAGAGTGTCTGAACTGAAGTGAACAAAGTGAGGGCGTGCAATGAGAGTAGACACACTAATAAGAAGAGCAGTTTGGAAATCCTGAAGAAAGGGCTACAGACTGAGGTTTTGTCGACTAGAGAGCAGAATGATAGAATACTTATAAGAAGAGGAGTTTGGAAATCCAAAACAAATGGGCTACAGACTGAGGCAGCGTCGGCTAAAGTGCGTAATGATAGGAGACAAATAGAAAAAGGAGTTAGGAAATCCAAAACAAACGGGCTAATTACTGAGGTTGTGTCGGCTAGAGGGCTGCGAGTCGGGGTGTAAAGCTCGCAGGTCAAGGTCAGAATCCGCGTGCAGGATGTTGGCAGCGCGCACCCGCAGCTCTGCGCTGCTACTGGAGGTGGCGGTGAGGCCCCTTGAAGGCGCCTCCTCGCAAGCCACTGCACCAAAGTCCAAACCGCCCGCCACGCGCACCATCGCCACTGCCAAGCGCGTTTCGAACGCAGTGCTGTTTAACAAGAACAATATTGTTAAGAAAAATAAACCGACTTCAAACATATCTCTCAATATACATTTTCTGTTTGATTTTGAGGAGTTCCTTGAGGTATCACTGGAGCCCAAGGTTAGATACAACTATATTAATTGAATAACTAAACAATAACAATGATGTACGAGAGAATCATTGACTAACTGGACAGTAACTAAAACAGCAAAATAAACTATACATACATAGATATATAATGACTAGGAATGGAACTAACAGACGTTGTAAAAAAATTAAAGACCACATCTAAGCTCGGAACATCGGAGTATATGTGACCGTATAGGTGACCGCATTTTGTATAGCGTAGAACCCTCTACGCTATACAAGGCGTGATCGCTATACAGTGTGTCCCACACACATGTAATAACTAATCAAAATACATTAAAAAGCCAACGGTCGGACGATTTCAGCTCGGAACGTCAGAGTATTTAGGTCTCTACGCTATACATGGAAAACGGCCGGATGTGTATTTAATGGAGCAAATTGAAATAGAAGACGAGATCTCAGCTCGGAACATCAGATTACATAGAGCTACGCTATACAAGGCGTTCGGTGGGACGTGTACTCACTGGAGCACGTTGAAATAGGAGACCAGCTCTGAGCCCGGACTATCGGAGTATATAAAGCTCCATGCTGTACATTAAAAACAACCGGATTTGTACTTACTGGAGCAATTTTAAATAGAAGACGAGATCATAGCTCGGAAAATCAGATTACACAGGGCTCGACGCAATACAAGGCTTTCGGTTGACGTGTACTCACTGGAGCACGTTGAAATAGGAGACCAGGTCGGGGCCCGGGGCGGTGGTCCAGTCCGCCTTGTAGCCCATGAGAAGCACGTTCGGCGCGAGGCGGCCGACGCCAGCCGCCTGCATAAGGGCCCTGGCGCCCTCTTCGAACCCGTAGCCGCTCACGGACGCGTAGAAGGCGCGCACCTTCCTACCGCGCAACCACTCGTCCGCCGCCCGCGCCCTGCTCGCCCTCTCCTTGTACGACATCTTGCTCTGCAACCACATCAGTACAATATAGTGAAGCGCTTTGGCGTAGTCTCAGTTAATCCCATACGCCTGGTCACTCATTCCTTTCCCTGCATCAGAACGGGTTTTTATTACCTAGACATCATTGTTTCAGACGATGTTATTTTAATAATTAATTCAATAAATTATTAATTTAATAAGTGTTCAGACGTCATTAGGTTATTAGACAATAGCAAAGCTGGGTATAACAAACCCAATGTGATGATGAGAAACAAGAATAGAACGTACGAAGGTGCTAATTTACATAAATTCATTTATTTTTATTTTTTCATTACATAGTGAAATAACAAAAACTTGAAAGTACTACTAAGTTAAAAACTTATAATTAAAATAAAAAGGTAAAAGAGACTGACATTAAGTCAAATGTTCCAATTTATTTTATTTTGTTTTGCTGTTATTTGTACTCCTTATTCATCGTATATTGTTAATTTACTCACATCCCTGCTGTAAGGAAGTACTCTCTGCTCTGCGTTATAATTCTTTTGGCGCGTTTGGGTAAATTTTTACGACACTGACTCAAAAAACGACATAATGAATTTGGCTGCAACTTCACGGCATTGCCATGGACACCAATAAAAACTTTTTGACATTTATCTATAATGCCAAGTTATCTAAATACACCGCTATCAATTATCTTTTCACAACCAAAGAGTACGGCACAGGGGATAAAATTTTTAGTTACTTTTCCTTTGTTACGCTGCAGAAGTATAAAGTTTTACACAACGTTTTTTTTGGTCTATATATCTCCTAGTTAATTTACAGGTACTTTTTATACAGTTTCTTAAGTTAATGGACATAAACACTAAATATCATTACCGAATTTACCATCTATTCACTGTTACCGTGCCAATTATTGTAATCACTGTTATCTTAAACAATATTTAACGTTAACTGTCCTGATATAATAGTCTTTATTTAAAAAACTTCACAACTATAGAGGCGTTTCGACTTTAACTAAAAAAAAACTTATCATAGTCTCTCTGATTCAAATGTGAAACAAAGCAGAATGAAGTCTTCTATATGCCTTTAGAAATAAGCTCTCCTATCACATTTTAAATCATATTAAAGAGCAAACTCCACTGCAAACTTAGTTCCTTTATATTGTACCCTTCATCTCCGAACTACTAACTCCGCTCTACTCTATTAATTTTGTAAAACAATATGAAAAAATTATTGGATTTATATCGAAGAAACCGCTAAACTACTAATTCAGAATGTAGGTTTCCTATAGGTAATAACCGTCATTGTCGCACCGTTAAGTAATTATTACCTGACTGCTTGGGACCTCTGACGTTAAAGGGTTTTGCCGTAACATGTTACTGCGAGGCAATTATGAAACGAGAGCATTTGATTTAATAACATGATTTGAACGCCTTTATTTTCATTGTAAATACTAGCTTTGATTTGGTATTTTTTTTTTAATTTTAATTGGCTGGCGATATACGTAGGTTTTAATGTATTCCCTGGCTTCTCAAAGAAAAGTCAACAGGCCCGCACCTGCGATATGTCCCCGACGACCATGAGCGAGCCAGCCTTTGTGATGAGGTTGCCGAGGTCGACGAGTGCGGGCCGGTGTTGCGGCCGCCCTGTAAGCACCAGGAGCTGCGGCCAATAGTTCTTCACGTGCTCCCCGGTGCGAGCCAAGTTGTGCGCGCTCGAAAGCGCCGTCTTGTACATTTGCGCTTGCGTGCTGCTTCCCCAGTTGACATCTGCGAAACATCATTTTGAGCTGTGGTTACCCAGGCGGGCATCGGTTTCTGAATCTGAACCCGAATGGTTTTCCAGTCTGCAATACTTTTGTGTTGCGCTAATATATTTTTTATATGTGTGAAGGTGGCACGCGCGTTGGCAGTCCACCTGATGTTAAGTGATAACCGCCGCCATGGACATTTGCAATGCCGTAGGGATGAAGATGCTTTGCCACCTTTTAATTAAGTGGGCCCCGGCCACCTCACTCACCAGACGAAATGCGGAAGTATAATGCTTCCACTCCACGCTGGTCTTCTGTGAGGTCGTGGTACTTACAAGGACGTATCTGCTTACTCGTGCCACAGGGTTTGTGGTAGGGCCACTGTTGCGTGGCCCTACCACAGTTATATATCAGGTAATGTGAACCGCTTTTAAGTTGGGCAACGAAACTGCCGTCTTTATGGTATCCATGGGTGGTAGTGACTGCTACTGTGGCACTTTTCACTATGCAGCATACTATTGTCATGTCATTGTGTAAAGTAACAGTCAATATATGTAGGTACCACTGCTGAGCAATTGCCTCTTCTGTATTAGATCATAATGCACCGCGCCGACCCACCGCACTTTGGCACACTTATCATCTCTTTCAATTTTTTTTCTATTATTTAAAAAATCTCTGCAGGTGTCCTAACGACTTTTTATTTGTTATTAATAATTTTACTCTACTCGAAGATATTGTTATAGGTCGGTCAAAACCCTGAATAGTATACTCCTGCAATACTTTTTAATACAATTACAAAAATGTAAAATAAAATTCAACATCGAGGTAAGAATGATGTTGAATATATTAGAATATATGTTTTAGAGCGTAATAAAATCTTGCAACTCAACAGTTTACAAGTCATTATAATTATGCTTATTCAGACATAACTTTATAAAAATGACCTCGAATTAAATTGACAGATTGACATCACGTGTTTAATAGCTTTCCTGTCCGTGACAATTTACTATAATTTTGTAGGGTAGATAATATATGTGCCCACTTCATGCAGTACGCTTAACTGTTTGGCATATCAGATTTATTTATCTGGTAATGAGCGGATGTAGTAGTCGTAATGGAAATCGACCAGCAGTTTTAGGTATAATTAGAAAAATTTAAATCTGCACAAACTGTTTGACGAAATTCTATCCAAGCTTCAAATCGGTCCGCTTTGTTCAAATCAACGCAGTGTTTCAACGTTTCGGGAACGCGAAAAGGCTCACGAAATATGGAGTGCATGGACGTGCGAGAACGATGCAATAATTCATTGAGACCGAAACGGATTTAGCTTTCAGTCAACAGTGGGCCGGGCTATTTCCGTGCGCCCACTCTCGCTGATTTGGACGTGGCAACACGTGCACGCGTGGATCAGGGACAGGGTCAAAAGTTCATCGCGAGGGGAGGGTCCCATAACCTACAAAACCCAAGTATTCACAAATAACTAAATTAAACAAAAAACAAAACGATGAAGACAATCCCTTGGGCATTTAATTTAATTTTTGCTACCGTTCTCTGCGTGGTGAAAAAAGAAAGGGGACGAATTATAAAAATCCTTTCATAGTGGTAATCTAAACTGTATCGTAATCGTTGCTTTTCATTATTTAATGTAAGCAAAACTCACGCGTAAATTCAGTGTTTTCTTTGTCAGTCAGTGTCAGTTTATTAATGGATGATAATTTCTACTTTGATTATATACAACCGTTTAATCCGTCAAATTCAATCCACTTCCAAGTTTTAACTAGAAAAAAAAACTTTCAACCAGAAAAACATAACAAACTCACCAGGTTTACGGTAGTGGACTATTAGGTACAGGGTGAAGAATATCGCGAAGGTGACCAGCGACATCACCCAACTGATGAGGAGCATGATCGCCACGCACATGAGGAAGCCCAGGAGAGATACCCACACATTGTAATACTGGAACAAAATAACCGGACTAACAGAAATATCATTGGTTCTGTTGAAGTATGTTTCTTCCCGCTTCAATTCGCAGTGTTTGAGCGGCTACGAGTAAAATAGAGATAGTACTTGAATTAACAAGAACAGTATTCCACATACTTCTCTAACGTGAAAATTAAGTAATTCGTTTCAAAACGAAACACGTGGTCGAGGCCACAAGTAATAGCTAGGAATGATATCCGTAACATAAACGTTGATTGACTTGATTCTGAATAAGCCAATCGGGAGTACATTCGATTAATCGCCTGGCTTGTTAAATAGCATGTCGACAGGCCCACAGCCTGTCAGTTGGCCCAGTTATTAGGGATAACATGCAAATAAATAATACCAATTTGTCGGGCTAATTTAAGCCAGTCTTTGACACGGCAAAACGAATTTTGATGGTAAATTATGAACAGATTTGTGCCAATAGTGCATTAATAAAGATAATAAGCTGCAGACCATCAAATTATTAAAATAGTGGTGACTTACGCGGAAAGTCGGCCGCCAGCCCAGAGGTCGCACTAAAGCGGCGTGGAACGTGCAGAAGTTGATGAGGGCGTAAGACGCCAAGTAGAAGTTCGAGATCAACGGCGCTATGGTGTTCAGGTCGGCTATCATGTAACAATTTTTAATATTACTTCTAAACTTTATTCCTTACGTACGACTTTTGAATTTTAAGCGACTTCCTTTCAAGGAGATGATCACAAAGGAAAAGAAAAAGAAAAAAATGTGAACAAAATGAAAATAATATCAAAATAAAATTTTATGGAGACGTGTACAATTAAAGCAAAAATTAAATATAACGGAGACGTTAAAATCAAACTTAGAAATGAAGACTTATTAAGCAAAAGTGAAAGTATCTGAAGATGAAGTTTACGATTCGTATGAAAGAAGAGTCAGAAAAATCTGAGGAAACAAGCAAGTACCTATTAGCAGGAATATTAGCGAAACGAAGAAGGTGAGCACGTATCCGCGGTAGGGTTCGCCGTGGCGGCCGTATGGCTTCGCGAAGAATATCAGTCCCGGGTAGATCCTGTCTACGCCCAGGGCCTGGATCAGCCGCGGCACTGACAGCAGGTTCGTAAGTGCCGTAGAGAGCGTCGCCGCCCAGCACCCGCCGTATATCAGGGGGCCCCACGCGGACATCAGTTGCATAACCTACATACGGGGAAATCACATATTAGAGCTTGGATACATCTTAAGAAGTTTAGCTCCCTGTTTAACTTCAAACCAAAGACTTCGTAAAAACAAAAATGATAAACCAAGGATCGGGTGCGAAAACTGTAAGTGAAATTGAAGTTACAATGACAGTTTATAAGTTAAATTCCCAAAACAAGAGACCATCCGTGCAATCTTGTTGAAAAATTACAGCAGTTAAAGTATGTACATGTTGTGAACTTACGAAATGTGGAATTGATAAACCATATCGGACTTGAAATAGACCCACCAAACCAGTCTAGTCCAACGAATACGATACGTCTTTATATTAACTATTTTATTATTCAATTTGCTATAGTTTTATTGTGGCTATAAAAATATGCAATAAATAGTGTTACACACGTAAAAAATTGAAAAATACTTACCGAATAGCTATTGTGAAGGCCATATTTACAACCGAGCGTGGCATTGACACAGCTGTCGACAGCGCTGAAGTCAATGATGGTTCCATTCATCGCGATAACGTCAGTAAGATTTCCGCTGGCGTCCCTCAGGGCGCCGGCACCGGATATCAGCACCATCAATGCGTAGCTCACCATAGAGATTAGTAGTGCCAAAAGAGTTCCCTTAGGAATGGCCGACGCAGGGTCCTAAAGGCAGACATTCAATAATTTTGACAGTATTTTTCAGAGAATACAGTCGAAACGAGGGTCAAAACATTTTGATTTGTGCTGTAATGCAGTTGCGTTTTACTTTTTCTTAGTTTTTGTCACTATTACATAAAATCGTAATGTTGGTGGCTCAGTATCCTGGTCCTTGTTTTAATTCAGTGTACTCGCGTAATTCGATCATAATCTTTGAAAGAAATTGAAACGCAGCTAATTTCAATTTTTATATACATCTGTTAAACTATGTAGATGGCATTCTGTTTAACAACTTTTCTCCATCTTTCATGTATGTGGCATTTTTGATTTTATGGAAAAAGAAAAGTTATGCAACAAAGTTCGCTTGGTCCACTACCATATTTAAACGCGTATAAAGTAACAAAAATTGACATATATTTTGAAAGAAGTTTAGTTACGAATATTATACATATTCAATGAGTAGTTTATCATACATAAACATACATATGAACATACATGAACATACATTCCTGGTAAAAGTATAAATCAGTAACAGTTCCAAAATTGCCACCAGCAGCCTACAGCCTTTTGAATTGGAATAGAAAATCTGTGGGAATTATTGGGATTCGTGGGATCATTACATTTTCACATTTTTTTAAGCCGATTGAGACGGTGACACTAATAAGTTCCGAAGAATTTAGTTCCGTCCAAGTTGTGTAAAACGAAATCTCGTTCCGCTACATTACCGAGGCGCATTTAAATTTCGCATAAGCATGCTCATAATTTCAATTTCACCCTGAATATTGTATTAATATTTCCAACTATACATTTATATCAATCCAATTGTTCTTTTTATTAAGAAAAGAAATACGCATCATAATGGATCTTTCCATGGGAATGAGATGCACTTAATAATCTCCACATGCAATAATCATACCACGCTCTGTTGCGACGTGAAAGAAGGAATTAACAAACACACTTACTCATTTATGATATGAGTATGGATTCAGGCCTCTTCTAATTCTACCTACAGAAAAGCGCCACAACTTTCAGGGATACATACCAAAAAAAACAACATTTCTATGAAATGTGAACTCTATCAATAGTCTCAGGGTCTGCACATCGATATTTGCTTACCAACGGGACTTGTAAAAAACTCTCACTTATTTTCTATTATTTCATATTAGCATATAACAGTATTTTTTACATAAACGTTTAAATTTACAGTGAAACTTGAAAAAAATTTAAAATTTATCTTAAAGTAAAATACTCATAGCTGCTAAAAGTAGATTATCTCTACGTCCAGATGTTGCGTTATATTGAAAGCTTTTATAAAAAATATTTATGGGCGTGCATTAAGGCGATGATATTATGTTTATGGGAATATTTTAAGCACAAGTGAAATACTACTCTGCCGACCAAACTGACATTATCGCGTCAGAGTATGGAAAGTGCTAAAAGTAGATACAAATCTCTTATTAAAATTTATAGAAATATCTCTTATTATTACCAACGGACTTCATATTCGCGTTATCATATTTACATCTGCAGTATTATATCTCAGACATATTATATTACAATCCCACGATGAAAAACATGTATATAGGTTTGACTTTTCTGCTAATGACGTTAATAATGTGTTTAACACTCAAAAGGATTTATAAATAAATTAAAAAACGCTTATTTATTTAACCCTTTCACGCCCAAGGGAAATATTTTTCCCTTCTACAAAAATCATTATCGATTGTTCAATTATTATTGAATTGATATTTTTTTTACTAAATGTCAAAGTAAAACGTATGTCCAAGGCGGCAAATGTGTTTCTGAATGAATAAACAAAAAATAACTGTCTAACTTTATTGCGCCAAAACCAAAACATTCGCGGGCTGAATTAATAATATCTAGGAAGTGTTTTGGACTTGAGCAAATAAAATAACTTTATTTTGTCACGTGTTTTACATTATTTGGTAAGTATAATTTTTTGTAATAATACAGTAAACTGCAGAACATTAGCACAAGTACCTGAAAATTGCAAATCATCTAAAGGGAAATATTTTTCCCTCTGGTCCATATCTGGTGTATTCGTTGTATTATTATTATATGTAGTGCTTTATGATAATGTAGGGATTTCTTGTATTTTCTTGTATTTTATACAGTTTACCTTCATGGTTTTTTACAGAAAAGACTAAAAGTGCAGAGAATTTCATATTCAAGATGAAGAACTATTGCTTATGGCGATAGTAGTGACGGAGAAGATAACTTACTACAGACTACAGTTAGACGAAGAAGACCAGCAGTTCATAGCTCAAGATGTAGAAAATGGAACCGATGTTGTTGAAATTGAAGATTCTGTTCAAGAAGTATCATCAACATGTAGCACGAGGTCTAATATTTTTTTTTATGGGAAGAAAGCGGCAAACGAGCAGGAGGCTCACCTGATGGTAAGTGATCACCGCCGCCCATGGACACCTGCAACACTAGAGGGTTTACAAATGTGTTGCAAGCCTTTTAGGAAAGAGTATGCTCTCTTTTTGACACACACGGCGACAGCTGGTTCCACAGAGCGGTTGTACGAGGCAGGAAATGCCTTGAAAATCTCGCTGTTGAGGAACGCTGGAAATCGAGGTGGTGTGGATGAAATTTTTGGTTTTTGTCCGATGGTGAAATTCGGCCGCCAGAATCAATCCAAACAATTCTTCGGAACACTCCCCGTGATAGGTGTGGTAGAAGATGCAGAATGATCCAACATGTCTACGCAGAACCAAAGTATGAAGTCGATCGGAAAGACTTTGATCGTCGATAACCCAAGCTGCCCTACGTTGGATGTGGTCAAATGGAAGAAGTTGGTAATAGGCGGCTCCCGCCCAGAGGTGACAACAGTACTCCATGTGGGGCCGAATTTGCGCCTTATAAAGGTTTAGGCGTTGCGCCGACGTGATGTCTCGCCTTACTGAGCGAACCTACCTTCTTTGAAGCCAATGTGGTCTTACTTTCCAATTGACCCCGGAACTGGACATTGCTCGAGATTTCGACGCCAAGTATTCCGATATTTTACATGTAGACAGCAAACAAGAATCACTTAAGTCTCCTCTGAAAAGCTCCGCATTGGAAATAAACTGAAGCGATACGTAAACTGTGCAGAACGACGTATAGAAAATAGGAGACATAATAAATGTGTTATGTGCAATGAACACTTGTGCTTCACAAGTAAACGAAATTGTTTCGTAGAATACCATAACTAACTATTTATTTTACTTTTCTGATAATTTTTACTGTGTTTTTGTGTATTACAAAGCAATAAATAAAATACCGATAAAATAAACCTTACTCTTTATTTATTTACTTTTATGGTCCATAGGGAAAAATATTTCCCATTAAATTATAGGAAACCTATACATCCTTCTATGTTTTTCTGGAGATATCCTCTTACTTTATACCCACAATAGCTAAAATATTGTGTTGTATCGGCATATTTAGTCTTGGACATCTTATGGTCCTGTAAGGGTTAAGAGATGCATTTTAGTGGAAGTGTACGGATATTCTAAGTCACTCGGTATCGATCGATTCGCACTGTTTGTAAGGTACGGCTAATGAATAGATGCCGTCACCTGCTTTTAATAGTTCGTAAAAAACTTCTACAGGGATTTTCCGTGCTGGGCGAGGACTAAACCTTAACAGAAATGATTTTAAGAATGAACGGAGTTGAAGAATTAATGAAATTGATAAAAATGAAGTTTTACCAGGATTTTTAATAATTGGGTTAATAATTCGTGGGATATAGTTCAAAATCACCATGATGATATATTTAACAGATGCGAACAGCTATCGCGTTATTAAGGTCAAGAATATTTACATATATTGAACTATAAAAAGGTAATTTAAACAAACAGGTTTATCCATCCAGAGTTAGTATCCTTTATATTCGTTGTGTAAATATATTTTCTATTCATATGAATAGAAAATATAATTCAGTTGATTACATATATTTATGAAATACGTAATTAAAAAAATATCACGTCTCTTATTATCTAAATATCGTTGAGAAATCATTATTTGCTCACGAGTAGGACGTGTTTAGTCACTGTAAAGAACACATCATTACCACGAGAATAGTTTCACGTAAACAAAACTATTAAAACAATACTTCGGTTAATAAATTTAACAATGCCTACGTCGTTATATATTATACTTTATTCATTTAATATGCGTAATTATTCTTATTCGCGTAAAAACATAAAATTAATATTTATACATAAATTTTCACCCTCTTTCTACACGAAAATAAACATTGATATTCACAACGCCATCCTTTAAGCTCTCTACAAAACTAATAAGGTATATGACAAATGTACAAAACTACTCGGAGTATATGAAAACACGAGGACTTTGCCCCAAAATACGTTAAATTGTCAAACCGTTTGCCTCTGTACTAAAGGGCGGTAAATTATACTCAAATGTAATCAAATGAAAGACAACACAACAAATAACAAAAGTAAAGTAACCATATTTAAATGTCATAAATCTTTTAATATCATTAAGTGTTGACAAAGTCCGAACGTTTTGTATAAAAATATTATCTAAAATGTTTGTTAACGAGTGAAATGAAAGCAAAATCTATTTTCATGCAAAACTCACTGAAAATACCCGTAACTAACCATAAGTTGCACTCAAATTGACGGCTGTAGATTTATTCTGATCGATTCGCGGAATTCAATGATGGAATTCGGACATTTTAAGATTCAATCGAATTGACCTGTCACTGCTATTTGCGTCCATGCAAATTAACGGCCATTTGCGCGAGCACAATTCCGTGCGTGCTTTTATTCATCAATTGCTCAGTTATTTATAGTAATACAAGATGAGATATCTTCTTATGAATGAATGAAAAAAGAAAAGTGACAACAAAGATACGGCAAACATTGGGGTATTAGCGTTATTTTTTGCAAAAATAAACATTCCTTTTTATTCTTGACCAAATTTTCGATTCCCTTGTGAGACTGTTCGCAAATTTTAAAAGAACGTCAATTCTTCTGCTATCGCTAAAACGTTGGTAATGGTATCTTTACTTACAAAGATAGCAAACGTGCAGGCGTTTCACCTGATGTTAAGTGATTACCGCCACCCATAGACTTGGACACACCTGATGGGCTATGCGTTGACAATATCAAGTGGGCCCCGGTTACCTCACTCACCAGACGAAACGCAAAATAATTATTTAATTCTTTAACAATAATAAATAAATAAATAATAATACTACCGCTTCACGCCGGGCCGGTCTTCTGTGAGGCCGTGGTAAATCCTCGGACGACCCTGCCCATTCGTGTATTTCGAAGCTACTACGAGGCTCTACCACAGTAAGAAGTGACTACTAGGTTTTTAAATGAAGTGAGATGAGATCTCACACGTAGCATCAATAAGGCTTGTGGTTTTCCCGTCTGATTTATGTAATGGATGAACAAAAACTTTCCACGAAGTGTCAAAAGAACCGAACGGAAAATCGAAATACAATCAGGCTCATTACAGGCGTCCGTTGAGTGCGTGCAACAAGTGTGACGTCACCGCACACAGCGCCCCTCCCATAGCCGTAGATCGATATCACCACCATGTGTTAGCATTAGGGCAGCATAGCGTCCATTACATTCTGGGATATCCTTCGAGCTGCCCGTGATGACTTTAAATAACGTGCAATTCTGCGATGATTAGAAGTTTTTATTATCCGACTGCCTTAAGAGAGTAAAGTTTTTGAGTTTACACTTACGTATGTATGATAGGTGTTCGAATGTACTATATGACGTATGCATACATAGGTGGTAACTTAGTATTAATTTTTATATGAAAAATTGACGTTTCATAAGAACGCGCAAACGTCTATGTGAATAAATATATTTTGATTTGATTTGATAGAATGTTTAATTCTTTTGCGCGCTCTACATCCCAAAACTTGTGACCGATTCCAACTGTGTCTGTCTGTCCGTCTGTCACCAGGCTGTATCTCATGAACCGCAATAAACAGTGGAAATTTTCACAGATGTTGTATTTCGGTTGCTGCTACAACAAGAAATAATAGAAAAATATTCATTCGCGTTTCATCTGAGAGATGAGTGAGGTATCCAGGGCCCACTTTTTAATGGTTTTGTAACGCTTTTTAATCCGTCATGTTTTGAAGATGTCCGTGGGCGGTGGTAGTCACTTAGCATCAGATAAACCGCCATTTCGCTTGGCAACCTTTGAGCTGTGAGCGTTGATAAAACACTACTGTAAATTACTTACCGTGGTAGGGCCACGCAAATTCTTCGCGGTTGCACGAATGGGCAGTTCTGTACGGAAGATTTCTCAGAAAATAGGCGTATAGTAGAAGTTTTATACTCCTAAGTTGCATGTGGTGAGTGAGGTAGCCGGGACCCACTTTAGTAAAAGGTGTTGCAAACAATGGGTGACGGCTAACACTTAACATCACGTGAACATCTTTTCACATAAGAAAATTACGTACAATAGCCATTGTCGGCCTTATATAACAGTGTTATGGCATATGTCCCTAAATATAAGAGATACGTAGGGACCGTATATTTGTGTCGCACTAAAAGACGTATACAAGTGATGTATTGCAGGTCCAATTTTGCCCGAGCCCCAACGTCGCCTTGACCCCATTAAACTAGCTAGCGAATATTCCGACTACTTCGTAGAATCGTCCGATTCATCAAAAGATACTAACGCGGATGCTTCAAACGGTATCCGATTGTTTATTTCGTCTACATACTTCAAAAGCTCTTCTATAATAATTGAAACGAATTTCTACCCAATAAAACATTAAAGAGCAAATTTCGTCGACAACATTTGATTGCACGAACCAGCGTGTTTTTATATAAAAAGTTCACTAATAAGATTAACAAAGTTGTACAGATGACTGTAAATATACTTAAATAAGACCTTAAATTTGATTATTAATTGTATAACAAAAATACTAATCTCAGCTTCAAGCTTATTAAACCAGAAAGTTAAGTCTAAAAACAAATCCAAAAAAACGGATACCAAAAAGGTATCAGTTTTTTTGGCGATTCAACTACATCATTCGGTGAAATCTATTACTATCTAGTATTGTTACAGCTTTAACCCAGCATATATAAAGGAAGTACGTTACAAATATTGTCTTATAAACTGCCTACCATTTGATCGAGGCGCCCTGACGGCGCGTGCTCCAATTAAAGGTACAATTGATGTGCAATTTACGTCGCAGACACGAGTTAGGGCGAACAGCATTTGGTTAAGAAAACGACACCAACAACAACAAGGTATTTATTAAAATTCCAATAAGATTATTCCCATAAAATGTCGAGATATTTGTCTGTTTCGAACACTTATGAACAACTAATTCTAAGAGTTGAATTCTACTAGTGTGTCATCTGAATTTATACGATATACAGATGTAGTAGTGTATGGTTATATACACATTTTTTATTTTATTTTACAAAACATAAAAACAATAAAATCAGTATAAAATTAGTAGCAGACAATCCGCCCTTGCGTATAAGGTTGCATTTGGATACAGTTGATTTTAGACCACATTTATGATTTGTTCATTAATTGCTTGAACACGATGCTTTATACCTAACATTTTCCTACGTGCAATACTTGAAGAACGTTCAATTGTACCTGGTAAATAGCTCCCGATATACGGTATCAAAATTTCGTTCTGAGCTTATTCCTTACCATGCCAGTTTGCGAGTGTAATAATGGGTACAGACATTATTTAGTTTAGTTAAGATGAAATTGACGGATATCGAAATTCTAACGGCTACACTAAATAGATCATCAGAAATTAACTAGAAATCGTTTAACACGTTACATCTCTACTGGTAAGGCTACAGTGAATGCTGTACTATCTAGATGTATGTCTAGAATGCTTACCTTAAGGTCTCCCGATATATTGGCGCCTGCTTGAATCCCAGTGACTGAGGGGAAGAAGATTGCGAAGACTGTGAAGAAGTTCTGATCCAAATTCTCGCTGTATCTGAAGTCCGGTCCGAAGTTCGTTTTGAATATTGTAGCTATGAACAGTAAAGACATGTTAAACAGTTAACAGCATGGAAAACAATTACAAGCAACAAAGTCCCTTTATTTGAAAATGATACTTGCGATCGATGCAGATAGGGGATACTTTTGAGTGGGATTGATTTAGTGATAATGAAGTAATTTAGATATCACGAGGAAGTAATATACAATTTAGTCCCCCATAAATCAGTCTCTGGTTCAAAAAACTTAATTAATGCCATTATTTACTTTTGTCTATTTGTCATTTGTTAGCATAGATTTCATTTCCATTTACATGGAATTTTTACAAAAATAGTGAAAGAATTTTGAACTTTCCCAATTAATGATGAACTTATTTTTACCTTTTAGGATTCAATTTTTATTTTTAGTGCCAGTTTCTGCACTCAAGATGAAACTTTAAAATGTGAATTTTTGTAGATAAATGAATAAAAGCTTTCGGTGTTGCCCAGACGCTTTATCGACTAAGCTAAGCGGTTGTGGATGACTTGGTTCATTTATTTAAATAAAGATATAAAAATATGAAGTAACAGCTTATATTGTCCTTGGCTTATATGTGTATGAAGAGTATCAGAACATAGGCCACCGCGCGGCCCCACTGCGGATTGACGGACTTCACAGATATTCGAAATACTTTTTGATTTTTGCTATTATTTCCAAAAATTATGCAGGTTTCGTCACAATGTTTTCCTTCACCGTTGAGCACGTGATAATGTTGGCACTTAAAATTAAAAATTTCATTGGTGCCGGCACCAGGGTACGAACTCAGTTTCCTCTAGTATATTGAATTAAAGGCGAGCGCCCGGACACTGAGCTATCACGGCTAAATAAAGATATTCTGAATATGAATTTACAAAAAAACCTAAAAATTTATTTTTGGATTTCCAACATGATCCGAATATGACTCACCACTCAAACCGACGAATCCCTTCGATACTTCCTCCACATCCTTTGGCCCCATGAAAGTTCCCACCATGAAGTCGATCATGGCGACAACGATGATCGCTATCAGAAAATTCTGAAAAATTTTTTCTATTTAGATGCCATTTTCTTTTATACAATAAACCAACATTAGTTTGGATTCTGTAATTTTCGCGAGCAAAAAAATTGGCAAAAGAGTATCTAGTTTGTTAATTTCTACAACTTGTGTTCTATTGAGAAATCGACATCATAAGCGTTACCGGTGATTTAGGTTTTTTAATAGAATATCCTGGTATTTAAAAACTACAATAATAATCTATCTATGTTCTGTTCCTTTATTAATGAATTCCTTCCTTGAGTTCGTTCATTAATGGATCACACATGAATGATTCAGATAGGAAACTGGTGTAAAGTGGCGGTAACCATACTTATGCATTACGTCTGTGAGATAACCGGAGACCAATACTTAAACAAATAGTTATTTAATTGATCTTTGTTCTGTTCATGTTTTTTGGAAAGGGCGTCGCTGGTTATTAACAACGGAATGCTTGGACTTTCGCAACACTGTGGAGTAAAAGACCTTACTGACCTTTGTGGTAGGACATTGAATAGTCATGTGCTTTAAACACAAACACTGTTCTGGAAGGATCATCAAGTTCCGTTAAGGAATCGAATCTCCAACAGACGACGGAAAACAGCCACGTCTGGTTCACGGAAATCGATGAGTTAATTTAGGCCACGCACTCTTCTCGTGTTCGTAATGAATTGATTGCCCTAATTGTAGCGTACAGTCAGACGGGTGATACAGAAGGCCTTCAAAGTTATTTATTTAATTTACTTGGAATTAAAAACGTTTGCTTGTAATTCGTAGATCGCAATTTGCAAAGCTTTTAAGCTCGGATATCCCGCCTTATTATGATAAAGTTACTGTCATCGTATAATATATGGTGTTGTGAAAATTATTATGAGAAATTCTATTAAAAGATTCTATTATCATATTCGCTGGAAACTTCATCTGAATGTTGTGGAGATTTTCAAAATAATATCACAATATCTGTTCATAGTAACGATAACAACTGCACTGGAACTATCTATATTACTGGAACTACATAAAACCATTTATCACCTTACCTTGGCTAATGAGTCGTAAAACGGACATTTAAATACAGGGTAAGCAGTCTATAATGTGTATATTATAAATATGAACGAATTGCAAAAAGTAAAAAAATCATACAATTAGCAAACTGTCGCAATAATATACTAATCTAATCTCTGTGTTAATGATATTTTAAGGCTTCCACCTAATTTATAATTTATATAAAATGTATTTATAAATAGGTACAATGGAACTGAAAAGTCTACATAATAAAATTCCAAAATCGAAACAGAATTAAAAAAATGGTTTTCAGGTTTCCCATTACCTCACTCAGAAGCCGAAAAGACGGGATACTTTCCCGAGCCGGGCCATCACCGGTTAAAGCTGCAACGTTGCTCTAAGATTTTTGATAAGATTTGTTTTATCTTATTTGGCGTGTTCCGATCTCATTTTCGTGTTCGGCGGTTTCTATTTTCCTTTTGGAAGTTCCGATCTAATCTATTTTACTGCGCGACTCACCTGCGCCTTGCTCTCCCAGTCCATTCCTACCGCGCAAATGATGCACATAAGTATCAGGGCCACGGTGCCCACAATCCTCGTGTCATTCGGGCCGTTGTCAATGATCCTCACGCCCTGGGTGCCCAGCAGGTCGTTCAGGGAGTCGCAGAAGCCGACGGTGTTCATGCTGGCCGCAACAGCGTTCGCAAAGGCGAAGATAATACCGACAGACGCGCCAAACTCGGGGCCGAGGGACCTCGATATGATGTAGTAGATGCCACCTGTTTTAATATATACATAAATATAACTGTATTTATACTACCGAAAGAGCCGATGAGAGGAAATCATGAAAGCGGATCCAGCTAAGAGACGAAGAACGCTTGAAGAAGAACTAGATGAATGACTAATTGTTTCGACTAGGACGGGTGAAAAGAAAGTCGTTTCTATCCTCGAATGAAGTTAAGTTAAACAATTTTAATTAATTTCAACTTAATTACAGCGTTTTGCCAAAGTGCAAGCCAAATTAATTTACTTTATAATTATTTTGATTAACAAAATGTTAGCAATTCATATTATTTTTTTTTAATAATTGGAACTACAGAATATTATCAAATATTATTATGTGCTTTTATTCGTAGCATTTCAGTTTAATTTGAAAAAGGTGCTAAAAATAATTTGCGATTATATTGCCATTTGCCTATTTATATCAGATAACCTGGATGAACTTGAAAAAAAGAGGCGGAAAAAAGAAAAAAACATCATCTAGACTCGAACCGGAGCGCGGGTTTCTGGTTTCGGCACTGCTCGATTTCCCACCTGAGCTTTTATGACCTTGTAGATGGTGGCCAATTAACCATCGTATTCTAATAATATTGTAATTCTAATGTGTTAAAACCCGCACAAAACAACTGTTTCTAAAAATGGAACTTAGCTACATCGATTTCTCACCTCTGGGACCCCCAGCGTACTAAACTTTAGTTTACGAGATTCAGATAATATATATATAAGAATTGCTGGTTTAATGGTATTAGATACATAGCATATAATTTGGTTACTGCATGAAAATTCCTAATTACCAAATGTGAATAATATTTCTTTACATACATTGTTGTTTTATGTTACATATATTTCTTGGACTTACGCTAATACTACATCAATCTAATCTCAGAAAAATTCACTGCGTAAAAAAAATTCATCAAGAAAGTTGTTATAATGTGTATAACTAACACATGTTTAATATTATTTAATCAGTCTGAGCTGACAAGCGATAGCGCTTAAGATCCCGGATTACAATCCCAATAGCATGCAACATGCAACTTAGACAGTTAATAAACGTAACGATTTTTTTATGTGTATCAATTTATACATATGAATACAGCACGTATTCATATGTATAAATAGTTTACCAAATAAAAAAGTTCATCTCGCAAATCATAAACACTAGCTTTTATATTGCTCTACATAACTGAACGTTTACTACGTGCAAATGTTTTCCATCGGTTAAACATAATTTATTTTATTATAGCGGTAAAATAATGTAATAACTCATATTAGTAAACGTGTGGGCATCGCATTACATTCCCGGAGTATCTATATATAAATTACTGTTATTCTTGCAGCCGCACCTAGAGACCTCATTCAGCACTTAATTAACCTTAAACTACTTCATGTGCAGAGTTCACTCTTAAAAATTCATTAATATAACTTGACTCCACTTGGAACCCAGTTATTTCTAAATGTACCAACTGCAAAAATGTGTCAGTTTGTGACTTTTGTTTTAGAGTCTTGATACATGTTTTAATTGGACTTACAGGTCCAGTATCCAGTATTGCATTACTTTAGATTTTTTTAAATATTTATTTAAATTAAATATTCTCAATAAGTCATTCAGTTAGAACTACACTCAGCGTCACAAAAATCGCACCTCTCTGAGTTTGCGCGAAAAATGGCTGTAATGGCTAGAAACGAATTATATTTATTTAAATATTGGTATGTTTGAAATGGGTATTTGAATAGCTTTACATTATTAATAAAAAAAACATGAAATCATTAAAACATTTATCATTATAGAGCGTCAAAAATAAACACTGTCAAATGCTCGTTAGTAAGGACGCTAGTTACACTACCTAAAAAGGGTATAAAAGGGTCGATCTGGATGAAATATGGCCACGCGTAATAATAGTGACGCGTAATAATAGTTACACGTAATAATAGTACGCCGAGGTTCAGGCTAGGCGCCTCGTGCGCCAGGCCACCTCAAGCCCGTCGGAACTGTAAAGGCCCCTAAGGCCAACAGTGGCTCATCCAGCCCAAAAAAAAATGAAATATGGGTCAGTCGTAATTTAGACTTTGCAGTGAACACACGTGAACAAGTAACCCAAGTAAGAACAAGTAAAGATGGACACCAGCTCTGAAGAAGCCGCTCAAGTGATTGCCCTATTGCAGTCGGGGATGCGGCAGTGTGACGTTGCTCGACAGTTGAACCTGTCCCGTTTTTCAGTTCGACGGGTGTTCCAACGTTTTCAGCAGACTGGTGGTTATGTTAGAAAACCGGGATCTGGAAGAAAACGGTGCACATCAGAAAGAGATGACCGTTTCATCGTTACGACATCTTTACGAAACCGTTTTACAAATGCTGTTGAGTTGCATCAACAGCTTCGATCAACTCGGAGAACATCTGTGAGTGTTTCTACGATAAGAAGAACACGAAAAGAGTTTAACAGCCCATAGACCTGCTAAAGGTCCAAAACTTACTGCACAGCATCGCAGAGATCGCCTAGAGTTTGCTCGCAATCATTGCGAGTGGACTCTATAACAGTTGCGGACCGTACTCTTCTCTGATGAGACGAGGGTCTGTCTCTTCTGCAATGACAGACGTAGAAGGGTCTACAGAAGACAGGGGGAGAGGTTCACATAACCCTGCTTCGAAGAATCCGTCGAATACGGGGGTGGCTCGTGTATGTTTTAGGACGGCATTTCCGTCGACGGGAAAACGGAACTTGTGTGCGTTTCCCGGTCTCGGGGTGGCCGTGGGCAAGGGTCATTAAATGCTGGTCGGTACATTACTGAAATCCTGGAGGAACATGTGGTCCCGTATGCTGGTTATGTCGGTGATGGATTCATGTTAATGCATGATAATGCTCGTTGTCACACCGCGGCTATTGTACGGGATTATTTACAGGCGGTCGATATCCCTTTTATGCATTGGCCAGCACGAAGTCCAGACCTTAACCCAATAGAACATCTCTGGGATGACCTAAAACGGCGCGTGCGAGCTCGAGATCCAGCTCCAACCACTCTTCAAGAGCTCCAAGATGTGGTACTTGAAGAGTGGGAACAAATACCCCAAGAGGCTGTTGCGACCCTTCTAAGGTCCATGAAAGATCGCATGGAAGCCGTTATCAAGGCAAGGGGGGGTAACACTAGGTTTTAAGAACTTTTTTTGTATTCATTAAGTTTTTTTTAAATTATCAATTTGCAAATTTGTACATACCCTGTCTTTTTCTTTAATATCTCTTTCGTCTCGTTATAAAAGTAAAATTCAAATAAAAATTCCTGAAAGCTAATGAAATTACCTTTCGAACGATACCCTCAAACCACAACATTGCCATTGGCCTGTTGTGTTAAAATAGTATTTAAATTATTTTTTTCGGATGTGCGATTTTTTTGACGCCGAGTGTAATACATTTTATATTACTGTGGTAGTAAAATTTAAACAATAAAATAACTAAAAAGATTTTTTTTCATTCTCTTACAAGAAATCGTAACACCAGATAGATAATCTTTTTTACAGAGATTATTATCCTAAGAGTGCTCCTGCAACTCGATTTCATAATCAGGTCTATCAATATCATCTAAAATATTGCTAATAACTTTAATTTCATTGTAGAAATCATGACAATCAGTTTGTATTACATGCATCATAGACTTTACCCATCCACTTTAGCCTATGTCATTATGTCATCCACTTTAGCCTGAACAATCTCGTGGCTGTAGTGGTCTTAAACAAATTTTTTAATGTGAAAAATTGCCAAGCAAGCAGACGGTTCACCTGATGTTAAGTGAACACGGCCTTCCATGAATATCTACTACACCCAAGGGTTCCAGATGCGTTGACATCCTTTTGAAAATTGGGCTCCGGCCACCTCACTCGCCAAAAGAAACGCGAAAGTATTATACTTTCACTTTACGCCGGTCTTCTGTGTGGTCGTGGTACTTATCCGGACGAGGCTGCCCATTCGTGCAAGAGCCGATAGACCAAATAATTCAAATTTAACTAATTCAACCCTTTCTGACATTCTTTGTAAGAATTAGAGATGACGATCTCTAATTCTTGAAATTCTACATTTTTACGAGGAGTGGCCACTCCTCATAAATTATTTACGACTACGAGTTCTACCATAGCACCAGTGCTGCAGAAACAGCTTGAAGGATTAATGAGGTGTACGGCGCTGGTGTCGAAAAAGAAAGCTCGATGCGTTTTTGGTTTCAACGTTTTCGTTCTGGAAATTTCGGCCGGAGACCAAAGTGGAAAATGAAGAATTAAAGGCTATTGTAGAAGCGGATCCATTACAAAGCACTTCAGAGATAGCTGCAGGCTTCGGGGGAAGTGATAAACTGTATAAATCTGAAGAAAATCGGGAAAGTAAAAAAACTTGAAAGATGGGTAACTCATGAATTGAGTGAATCGAACTTGCAAACACGCGTCGACTGCTGTGTTACTTTGCTCAATTGACACAATAATGAAGGGATTTTAAATCGAATCATTACTTGTGATGAATGGATACTTTACAATAATCGGAAGCGCTTGTCGCAATGGCTGAACCCTGGAGACCTAGCCAAATCTTAAACGAAAATTGACTTTGAAAAAGTTACTTTTGAGTCATTGGTGGTCTAACGCCGGTGTCGTTCACTACAGCTTTCTAAAATCTGGCCAAACGATTACGGCAGATATTTATTGTGAGCAACTGCAATTAATACTGCAATAAGCCGATATTGGTCAATTGCTCTAGGCCACTGCTGCTTCACGACAACGCAAGACCACACACTGCACAACAAACAATCACTAAGTTAGATGAGCTACAATTGGAATGTCTGCGACATCCACCGTACCCCGGATCTTGCTCCAACAGATTACCATTTTTTCCGGAATTTGGACAACTTCTTACAAGGAAAAAAATTCAACTCCGATGCGGCAGTGCATACCGTCTTCAAAGAGTTTATTGATTCTCGCCCCCATGGTTTTTTAGTAAAGGGATCAATGAATTACCTATGAGACGGCAAAAGTGCATAGATAACAACGGTGCATACTTTCATTAATTAAATATATGTATATTAAAAAAAAAAATTGACTTTATATTTCTCCGCACAAAACGCCAATTTCATATGTAAGGACCTAATATACAGATGTTTCGAGATTTGATGACTGCACATAAAACAAATATATTATACACATTGTTCGTAAAGTTCTTTATAGCAGATATAGATCGCAAAAATATTATATATTTTGAACAGATTTTTGTCGTATTACAAACAATTACAACGTGCAAAAGCAAAAATTTTAGGCAAAATTACGATACGTATTATTATGTTAATGTAATTCTGATTAGATCATCTCAGGTGCCAGTCATTAACCGTTGGCTCGTTTATATTCACATTACTTGATCCTAGAGCGCCACGCATAATTAACAACATCCTAACAATATTGCGTAATTATAATCTCAAATGCATAATTTATATAAAATAATTTGCGTCGTTATGAACTCGTGCAATTGTTCTTGATTGATTGAATTTTCCGCAACATGTCTGTGATCTTTTTTCATTTTGCCCTCATGGCTTGCTCTACCATTTACCGTTTAATATCTGATGGATATGGCAATACTAATCCATACAAATTAACGTACAGAACAAAAAAAAAGATGAGATTTTTTTTAATCTTTCCTATAAAATTGGAACCGTTGCGAAAGCTTTTCACAATGGTTCTAAACGAGGAATAATCTTTTATCATCTCCTACGCACACTGTTATTGCTTTTTCAAAAAATGCTATCGGCTACTGACCTCCTTTCACTTCCCCGTTGGTGCAGATGGCGCTCATCGATAACGTTGTGATCACGCAAACGATCGCCGAGATCGCGATGATGACAAGTGACAGGCCTATACCGGCCTGCGAAACCACCCAGGAGATTCGCAGGAACAGCATAACGCCCCAAATGTTTAGCAGACATGGTATAAGCACACCCTGGGGAAAATTTTATCGATTAGTTCACCTTTCGTAGATCTTTTTTAACCGACCTCAGGAAAGGAGGGAAAGCTATTAATGTCGTTATGTTTTACATGTATGTTTAGCGATAACTCGTCATCACTTTGCCCATCTTCTTTTTACTAGAAAGGAGGTCCCTCAGGGGTCCTATAGGAATTTTATTAAGAAATGACGATGGAGCGACGAGAAGATCTTCAGACTCTTCAATCAATGTTGTGAATATTTTATATTGTAAAAGAACAAAGTTGGCCAAGATTATCTATACAAGTAATTCTTTGATATATATTAATTTATATAGTATTTTAATTAAAGTAATTGAATCGGCGATTCTATGTAAACATATTTTTTATTTCCTACACTAATTTATCTACATCATACATGTTTTATTGTGTACTTCGTCCTTAATCTTCGTAATTTATCGACTTCGTCCGCGTGGAATTTAAAATTACTCCTTATTACATAGCCTAAGTTACTCCTTATTACATCAGCTATCTGCCAGTGAAAGTCCCGTCCAAATCGGTCCAGCCGTTTCAAAGATTCAAGAAACAGACAGTCAGACAGACAAAAATTGTCAAAAAAATTATTTTGGTACATGTACCGTGTATACATCCATATGCATTTAGTTAAAAGCGGTTATTTTAATATTACAAACAGACACTCCAATTTTATTTATCTGTACCGTATAGATTAAATATTATTAGAAAGTCTCAACAACGTCTAGTTGCATGTTGTGACGTGCCAGTTACCTGGATCCATCCTAACTTTATTCCAACCACGGGCGTCGGTGATTTGGTATCCCTCTGGTTGTGTCGTTGCTCGTCCTATAAAAAAGAAAAAAAGTTCAACGATATGTAACTTCGTCAAAACATAAGCGCAACCTCTTTGAGGATATATTGTTACCTAATTTTTAAGGTAAAAAACAAGTCAATTGACAGCTCGTATTGCCAAACCTCCGTGCTTGAAAACCTTCGCGGTTATTGCCGGTTTTGAAATGCGGAGTTAGTAACTTCAAAGGTAATAAATGATTTACTAAAACTGTTTGTTGGAACTTAATATATTACCTGTCATCATTATAGCAAGTTTTATATTTACAGCAGTTATCGTAGGGGTGTTGGACTCATTCAGATCGCATTATTATACAGCGTGTCGTTACCACCGCGATAATAAATGTACAGACTTCTAACGCTACTTGCCAATAATCATAAATAAATATTAACGTTAAAAAAATCCATAATTAAAAAAAATTTTTTTCAAACAAACTAATTAAGTAAAAAAGAAACAAAATTTGTAGCATCCTATACAACTACAACTGACTGATTCATACATTCAGAGACTTTTTCATTCGTTGCCACAGCGTCGCATTACAAGCCTCTCCTTCTAACAATATGTTTTGCCTCTTTTATTCATATGCTTTGTGACCTTTAGAAATGAACTTTACGTTACAGTTTATTTAGTATATTTATTATACGTAAGGTTGTTCGAAAATTGTTTGTTTTGGAAAATTTTATAACTCGGTAAATATTGATGTTTAAAGAATGTAAATGCTTAATACAATTTTAAAAAGTTATCCTCTATATGCTTGTTCATTTATTGTCGCGATTGTAAAGACACGCTGTATATTACGATGACTCCGTATCGCAATTGCTAAGGCTTTGGCGTCGGAGGTCGTGGGTTTCATCCCCACACAGGACAACTATTATGTGACCCACAGACAGTTGTTTCGCATCTGGGTATTTGTCCACGTAAAATTTATGTTTGTAAAACACAGGATACCATTATACTAAAGTAAGGAAAATGTTTTTAAAAGTAATTAAGAGATTAATTTTAGTTATTCTGTGTACTTTTTATACGAACATTTTTAGACGAAACAGAAAAAGGCGGGTAGGCAATCGTGCACATCAATTAAATGAATTATCTAAAATGGCATAATCAGTTTTTACATCGTTAAAATTATAATTGTATAATTGTCCGTTTTATTCTATATATTCTAGACGTTCTCCCAGGGAAATTACCTCGTGTGCGCAAATACATTGGTTCTTATTTTAAAAGAACGTATCCAGAAGTTTACCTTCTATTTGTACAGATACCTCATATTATATTCCACATTAGGATTACTCAGATGAGTGAATACTTAAATCGAAAATCATAGATTTGAAACGCAACAGATGCATCACATTTTGTATACAAAGATTCTGTTCTTAGGGAATATAATTAGGAACTGAATAAGTATTGAAGGGATGGAGACTGGATTGAGACTAACTTACATCTAATGCCATCAGATAATTTTTAGAGTGGAAGAATGCATCAACCGAATATTATAAATAATAACGTTTAACAGTAAATTATGTAACAATTACTATTTTCCTAAAGATCACCTGAGACGTGTATGACTAATCTCAGAAAATTTGTCATTATTTGTATACAATATAACGATAATTTTTCCTTGTCTCCACAAACGCTACGCTACTGGAACTAATCTTGGTCTGCATCAATACAATATTCCGCTTATGAGTACACGTTACGCACATAAAACTATCACGTGTACTCATGCATCATAGTATGAATGAAAAACCTTACGGTCTGACAGGAAGCCGAGTCCATTGCTCAACAAAAATGCTCGAAGGTGTAAGAAGGCTTGCGGTACGTTAAGGAAAAAAAAGCAATTATTAAATATTTCCATATTAAAATAGAGACAGCAAGCGCGACAGCACGTGATACTCTAAAGGTACTTATAACTAATACAACATTAAAAATAAATAATGAAGAAAATTTCATAAAAATGAGAATCTAGAAGGTTTTAAATATTAACTCAATGTCTTTACTAAATCTGCAACTTTCATGTTTTTAACAGTTATCTAACTAGTCCCTGGCATATATTGAGATTTACTCTAAAAATTACAAACGTATTATATTTATTAATTTCCACTGCAACAGATCAACTAGCGAACGTGTTTTTATATTACTTCAATAGCGTATAACATTAAATTTAAAAGAATTGTGGAAGGATTCAATGACTCCTTAATGCCCTCTGTCAGTTCCTGCTGTTCTTGCTACTTCCAAGAATGTTTCTACCTATTTTCTTTCGTTTTTTTACCACCAGAGTACACCTAAGCAGCAAATAGTATGCAATATATATACAGCAATACAGATGATGATTAATTGCTGACAGTCGCTGTATTGCATGACCGTATCATATACCGCCGGAGCCAAGAATGATTTGCATTGAAATGCCATAACCATTCGACCTTGGGATATGTTATAATATACTTGAATATAAAATTACCTTTGGACGCTTAACGATTTTCCAGTACGTTCTAGAAATCCGGATACCTACTTTTTTATATTTAATTATTTTCATATTTAATTAATGTAATCCTGTAGAGTGTAGACCATAGGATCGTTAATATATATTCAAGTCAATATGTCTTCAATATTTAGACCTTTAACAGTTTTGCTGTTATTTCCATCTAACCCTAAGAATTAATTTACACAAAACAAATAATGTTACCTTACAAAAATTATAACAGTTATTTCACATTCGCACGTAAGGGACAAAGAATATACATGAGTACACAGAAGCAACGTGAACAAACGATCGAACAATAAACAAGATATTATCTCCTATATGTAATAATACAAATTGCACATACATCACACGTCGCTAGTACTCGACGAACTCACAACAGGGCTGACTGCGACCATTACTTGGAATCAACTAGTTTAATGTAATGTTGCAGACGATTTTGCAGTTTAATTCAGGACTATATTATTACAGTTTACGTACCGATGAGAATAAAATTGGAAGCAATATGTACTGATAACTATGAGCTTTATAAACACAGCCTCAGAGAGATTATTGTAAAATGATGTATGCTTATTTTGTGACGAGATTGAAATATCATTATATACCTATTATGTTAACCCTAAAATTTTAAATTTGGTTTTAGTTGGACAAAAGTTCAAACAAATTTATATCTTGTTTATTCGTCCTTAATGAGACTTCAGAATTAGATTAAGAACAGCTAGACAAGTTAATTTCTGCTTACAAAGAAAATCTTAAAGTACGTCGTGTAACTCATAATATTATATTGTCAAATGGCACTCGTAGAACAAAACTGAAATTTCTGGAGAGCAATCATTAATTTTTTTTTATCGTCATTTTAAAATTTTTTAGGCTTAAGTTCACTCCTCCGTGCACGCTAACCTCTTAGAGGACTATGTAGTTTCTTATCACCTTGGCATATCTAGAATTATTTTACAGGGTGGGCCTGGGCTTTTACTACAAAAAAATCGACCACTATGCAACGCATTAAAAAAGTAACAGTTCGTTTTCGTTAATAATTTTTATTAATCTATAATAGTGTTATTAACTAATTAGTAGTTAGTACGTTGTGTATTCACAAGTAAATAAACGTAACGTATTGTAAAATAGTATGTAATAAAAACTAAGTAGGTATGTACACAGATTTTTCGGCTGTAATAATTATTTGTCTTCAATTATTTTTTATAAAGTTTCTTAGGTATCCAGCCTAAAATTTCGGATCAGTAACCCAAAATCCTGGGGTGGGCACTAGACGATACTGGGGTGGGCATGGCCCACCCGGCCCCTCTGCTATATACGCCTATAGTTATCACGTTTAATTTATACAAAATTATCTTTTGAAATCACGTGCAAAGGCCCACGTATTTTTAACGATATCGGACCTAGCAGCCCTATCGCACCAGGGATGGGTGACTGCGTGGCGAGCCGTGATGGACAACACCTGCTCCTGTCGAGTTACATAGCACCATAACACGATCTACGCGTTGAAATTGATAGCTCAGGTATTACTAGCATATGCCTTATGCTGTGATCAACGGAATAAACCCATTTGCTATGGTCACCATGTGTATGCGGTTAACAGGTGTTAATACTAAAATACCGAAGCACAAGCGAGCCGGAACAATGAGTTCATACATCATAATAGAATACTGCATTCAATAATGTCTTCTTAAAAGTGACGATGGATCTGAATGGGTTTTACGATGAAACTGTATCTTTTGTAGATCACGATCGGTTGAACAACAACGTAATATTTTGTAAAGATTTATGGATGACTAGCTGTACCTGCGACTTCATCTGCGTGGAATTTAAAATAAAAAAAATCTTAAATAAAAGTAGCCGAAGTTACTCCTTATTACATCCGCTATCTGTCAGTGAGAGTCCCGTCCAAATCGGTCCAGCCGTTTCAGAGTGATGGAATTGCAGGCCTGTGGCCTGTCTGGCTACGAGCCTCGGGGTTATATCCCCATTGCTCGGGCGAGTCTCGAGCTGACAATGGTCAGCCGGTTATTGGTTATTAGCCAGGCCCAGCCGCAGCAGCAGCTTATATGGGCAGGAGTGTATCTACGACCAACGAAATAGTCCTTGGATTCTAAAAAATGTTATTTTGGTATATGTACCGTGTATACATCCATATGCATTTAGTAAAAAGCGGTTATTTTAATATTACAAACAGACACTAAAATTTTATTTATCTGTATGTAGATAATAGATTTTTAATAATAAGACTAATCGTAAAAATGAATAAAGCAGTTTCGGACGACCTCCCACTAGATGGAGTGTCGACCTGTACATATGTGCGAGAAGTCGATGGTTGCAGGTGGCTCAGGATCGCACTTTGTGGCAGTCTATGGGGGCGGCCTATGTTCAGCAGAGGACTCAACCAGGCTGAAATGATGATGATGATGAATCATAATAATTATATATAAAGTGGCTTCTTAAAGATCAATTGGAGAATGTAAACACAAATATTATATAGTTTCGCCCGTTTTCAATTTT